CGTCATTTTAGTACTGATCTCAGGCGTCGGTAGCAGCCGATAAAGTCCAAATCAAACCTTCGACAGCGCCAAGCCCTGGACGGTCACGTGCAGCACATCACAATATCACTCCGATACTCTTCAATGTCACTCCAATACTCCTGCCAATTAGATTAGTTTTTTCTTATAATGTCAGTCGGAGCGAATAATGGACACATGTAGTAATATCAGACGACAGAAGAGCGTACTGTCGCTTACCCAGACATATCACCTTTCCGTCCGAACGATGTTCACGCGTCTCCAGTCCTATCTGTTGGCACGCCGGAGGTCGTTCAAAAGCATGGACGAACAGATTGGAAGATTACAAGAGAGTTCAATACAGGGTCGCCGTACTAAAGGATCCGACTTCTTGGATACTTGGGTAGTTTGAGTGGTAGCATCATTTGACCAGCAATGCCCACCATGAATGCCCTTTTCCCATGAAGAAGACCTCGTTACGAGAATAGAGATCTGACAGCCGTTCGGTGTGTCCCACAGCCGATCAAGGCCTTAATTTCAAGCGATGTTGTGTTGTCTTATCGGCCTGCATAAGAAAATCAATCATGTGAATGCGCTACAAGACTTTAGCTCAGGTAAAGCCACTTGGTAACAATGAGAAAAGAACGGCGGGAGCACAACAAACCAGCGTTCCCTGGCGGACGAGACAATTGGTGGAAGCAGCAGAGCATGTGTTCGGCGGTTATGCGGAGGACCGCGGCGCAATGTGGCATTGCTCGACGGTACGGGACTACGTACCACGCTGAGTCCCTTCAAATGTTATCTTGTGTTCCTCCTCCCTCGGCCACTTTCTGAACTTGATCGTACGATGACTTCAGTTGTGCGATATTCTCGGTGGTACCCATCCAATCTAGAAAGAGTTCCCGCAACTCAAATATCCGAATATCAAGAAGTGGCTGCCTTGCGAAGCGCCTGAATCCCATCAACATGGCACCGTTCCAACAATGTTTGCTAGTCAAATACTGCTGTTCAGAGCACTACAACAATGGTATTGACTTGCGCACTGGGCCGACGGCGACGTGTGCGAGAAGAGAAGGAGCGATAATGTGCCAGAAAAGGTAGAACGCATATTGAGTTTGTGGGATGCTGATCAGCAAGTTGGTGCTCTTATTTCCTGCGTCAGTTTCATGGTCAAAGTCATGCGGCGCTTTCCGAGCACAAAGGTAATGTATCGCAACCGAACAGACTGCCGAGACTAGAGACATCAAGGAAAGCACATCGTGTGTCATGACAAAGCATTCATTAACATCCTCATACATGAGATAATTCGCCACTTGCGCAACTATAGAGGTCGAAGACTCATCCTTACCCTGCGTTCGAAGCCCACACAAGATGTAACAAGTAGACAAGGAAGCACGCTCGATCGTGTGATGAACGACTGAGGCAACTTGCAGTGATTGTGTTCAGGCGTAAGAGCATTACTACAATCCAAACGCGGTAGCTCATCCGACCCCCAGGAACGATAAGGTTTGCCTTTACTATCAAACCAATCAGTGTTAAGCTTTCAAGATTTCAAGGTACGTTTCGCATTTGGACGATGTCAGGAAGGTTTCTGGTTGTGCTTCTGTTTACGAAGGCTGCTACCCGTCCAACTTCCAGACCACATCTACGACATGGGATGGTGCATAAACTACGCTAGCGAGTTGAATTATCGAGGAACTAAACAGAGCGTGAGGGTGTGACTTCCGTTGGCAAGCAAACGGTGGAGAATAGAAGGCATGATGTAATCTACCATCTGAGCACCACGAACCGATGCAAACAGACCTCAGGAGCCTGCCGCACAAGAACCTGGGTTGCGACTGTGTGCATATCCGTCTAGCCTAGAATAGTGCATACTGAGACTAAGTATACAGGACACAGATAGAACTGGCACCGTTGTTACTAAGCTGCACTTTTCGGGACAGATCATCGTGGTTGCAATATTTTAACACGGTCTTGGATAGGTCAGAGTCGAGCATATCCAAGCTAGGCTAACATAGTTAGTACTAACCACGGATGTTCTGGCAATAGGAAGACACCATGACACCGTAGAGGCGAGTATCCCGAAGTCTGTTGTCAATTCATGCCTTGATTTTCATTGAACTCGCGTTATTTCGTTGATTCTAGTCAGCACCAAATTGTACCCTAGAGATGTCTGCTACATTCTATTACGTGCCCAAGGCAAAGCAGGGTAGAACTAAGTGAGTATATTCGCGGTGCATTATGTGAGTACATTGCCTATTGTCAACCTTATAAGCCCTGCGATCCAGAAGGAAATGTATGAAGTGCTTATGCAGAGAGCTGAAAACTACGAAGCAAACAAGAACAGACCTGCATGTAGTGGCACATGTATAGGACAGAGTGAATAGGCAGTGAAAAGCCAGGGATATTATGTCAGAGTGCGGAATGTGATGGAAAGCGTTCATTTGTCGTAGGCGGTCATAACAGCAATGGCTAACACTACAGACGAGCAAGACACTGCATTGACTGGGATTGGAAGATGATGTTTATTGGCGTGAGGGGTCACTCAAAGCCATGTTGGCACACCACTATATCTGCACCATGGTATCGCCGCTTTCCATGCGTAAGAAAGTGCAGAAAGAGAGAATAATCGAGAAGTCCGAGAAACCACGCCGTTGACCATCCGTATCCCATTTTGCCAGCCAATACACCCGAGCCGACTGTCCACGTCTAAATGTAGGTCTCGTAAGGGATGGGTGTGATGTTCTCCGGCTTTTGCTCCTTAAGGCTGACAATGTGCTCGGTGCGGGGCTGGGCGGGCTGGCGCTTCATCTGCTGGGGCTCGCCAGTCTCCTTGGCCTTTTGTTGCTTGGCGAAGTTGAGCTTGACGCGCTTGAGGAAGTCCTCTCGTGAGCGGGAGTGGCGGACGTGCTCGATGCGGACGTTGATGCGCTTCTCCATGTATCGGTTGCCGACCTGCTTCTGGAGGATAACACCGACAGCGGACTTGGTGACGTTGTAGACGATACCGGTCTTGCCGTGGTAGACCTTGTAGGGCATACCCTTCTGGACCGCACCTGTTTGCTCATGAGTCCTCCGCCTTGAATCGCTCTCGCTGGATTTCTGGGGGTTTCGTACCGTTGGCTACGACATCGACGATATCACCGACCTTGTACTGCTTGAGGTAGGTCGAGAGAGGAATCATTCCTTTCTTCTTGAAATCGCGAGAGAAACTGTCGCAGCGTCAGCAATCGTCGCATGGGCGTCACAATAGTTAACGTACGCATAGCGCGTACCCGCGCGAAGACCGGCTGCGTGACCCATTGTGTGTGAGTGTGGGCTGGTTGTTGTTGCTGCGGCGGGGAAATTGGAAGGTCGTGGTGTTCGTGTGATATTTTGACCGACTGCATCGTGCCTTCCAAGCTCGCTTAAGGGCGCCAATCACGGCGCCAATCATTGTAGTGGCCCGGGCGTTCGCACCTTCCGCGACGAAATTAAGCCAAACTTCTCAACGTCCTGCTCCTCCGAACTCACCACTCGACAACTACAATGGCGCCCCGTTCCTACTCCAAGACGTACAGCGTCCCACGTCGTCCTTTCGAGTCCGCTCGTCTGTATGTGATACTCCATGGCCACTGAGCGAGAGCGTGCTCCGCTTATGTCTGGAACACAAGTTAATGTTGGATTAGGGATACTGAGCTGAAGCTCGTCGGCGAGTATGGTCTCCGCAACAAGCGTGAGGTCTGGCGCGTCCAGTTGACTCTGTCCAAGATCCGTCGTGCCGCTCGGTAAGTTTTCATCGCAACCGCCTGCGCGCAATTGAATCGATGCGCAGTGTGCGAGACATGAAATCGCTAACAGTTTGCCAGTTCGCTTCTTACTCTCGACGAGAAGGACCCCAAGCGCCTCTTCGAGGGTAACGCTCTCATTCGCCGTCTCGTACGTGTCGGTGTCCTTGACGAGTCCCGCATGAAGCTCGATTACGTCTTGGCCCTCAAGATTGAGGACTTCTTGGAGCGCCGTCTTCAGACCTGCGTCTACAAGCTTGGTCTCGCCAAGTCTATCCACCACGCTCGTGTCCTGATCCGCCAGCGCCACATCCGGTATGCATCTGCCCTCAATTGATCAAAAACCGTGCGACTAACAACATCACAGTGTCGGCAAGCAGATCGTCAACGTCCCCTCCTTCATGGTCCGCCTCGACTCCCAGAAGCACATCGACTTCGCTCTGACCTCGCCATTCGGTGGCGGCCGCCCTGGCCGTGTCAGGAGGAAGAAGGCCAAGGCCGCTGAGAAGGGTGGTGACGAGGATGCTGGCGAGGAGGACGAGGAGTAGATTACACGTCAAAAGGAATGATTCACGGATGATCGGCGTTCGGCATGACGGGATGAATCTCTTCGACAGTTATCCTGTCCTTGAAAGCACTATATCCCTTGCGGGTCTGGGCTGGTGGATGATCTACATATACATCATGTAGACACTACCCAAAATTTTCAACTGCCATCGTCTGTCTCTATCTGCTCATAATGTCCGTGATGTTGTGCAGACCTCCGTATCATGATTGGTAATCCGACCAAGAGTCTGTACGAATGGTACCCTAGGTCAGACAGTGCGAGAGGGTATCCGCTCTATGCTTTACTTGTGCCCAGTATCGCACCGCATACAAGAGGAAAATGAAACAAGTACAGAGACAATATGCCTTGCCTTGCAGCCTACGTTAGGTTTAAACTAGAAAACTTATGAGACTGATAGCATTGTAGGATTCCTGATCCTTTTCATCTGTACTATATCGCTTAACATATAATTCCGTAGTGGGGCGAGGCAGGGTGCACTCTTAGAACTATCTAGTTTTTCCTCCTGACAAAGTGATTGCACCTTTAGAGTGTTTGCTGCCCCTGATTTACAAGACGTAGCGAGCATCTTAAACCTACCACATACTCATGTCGCAGCTCAAGTAGTACAACAATGACTGAATGTACCTATTGATCAAGTGTCTGAATTTCCTCTTTACTACTTGATATCTCTAGTACTCAGATTCATCGGTGTATAACCGCGTGACCGGGCTAGGTCTCCTGCCCTCGGAATTCAACCCAGCCGCAACCCTCTCCTCGCCTACCTTGGCTCTCGCCTCCTGCATGATCCACAGGCCTGAACTAGTTCCCAGCCTCGTTGCGCCAGCCTCTAGCATTTTCACCGCAGTGTCCAAGTCCCTGACTCCACCACTGGCCTTGACTTCCATCTTCTTCTTGCCTATTTTACGCGATGCAAGGTACTCTGCCGCAGCTACCATGAGCTTCACGTTGGGAAGATTAGCGCCCGGTCCGTTGAAGCCTGTAGATGTCTTGATAAAATCGAAGCTAGCGGCAGCGGCAAGATGAGACGCGGCAAGAATCTGGGCAGAATTCAATTGCGAAGTTTCGAGGATGAGTTTGAGTGTTGTAGGGGCAGGACAGAGACTTCTTATGCTAGCCAATTCCCTGTATATGGCGCTGTAGTCTGGGATTCCTCCTGTTTCTTCTTCTTCAATATCGCTGCTTCCGGCGTTGATGGCTGTGTTGGCAGCGGTGATGCTGTCGATTGCTGAGTCACGGGCGGTGAGGATGTGGTCTGCTGGTGGGGAAGCAGGTCGGTTGTGCTTGGTGAGTAAGGAATAGTTGAGGACGACATCGAGTTCTGCGGCACCCGCTGCTACGGCGGCACGTGCTTCTTGCAGCTTGTAGTATGTGTCTTGGGTTCCTTCATGGAAACCGACGACGCAGGCGACGAGGACGTCAGTGCCTTTGAGGTTGGAAACGCAGCGTTGGACGTAGTTGAGGCGGACGCAAACTGACTGCAAAGCTTGTCAGTCGGAGGCTCCTGGATACCGTGGCGCATAGCGCGTGTCTTGCAGCTTCATAGCCTAACAATATAACTCTTCCTTATCTCGAACGACCAGCCTCAATACTCTGGGAATGGACACACCTTGAAGTTTTCCGTCCTTGCCTCACTACACAGCCCATCGATAGCGGTTGTCGTCGCATCCAACTTGAGCACGGTATGATCCACCGTCTTAGCCAACTCTTTCAGCGCTTCTTCTCCATTCCTCATCCTTGGGCCTTCGTAAACCTTCTTCGCCCTTTCTCCACTGTCCACCTCTTTCATGACATTCTTGATAGTCTCATCGATTTGCGCCTTCCACTCCTCGTTAGTATACCGATCGGTCATCATCTCGACAGGATTCGATTTATCGTCGCCGAGCTCCGGGTTAGCGGCGAGGAATCCGCGGATCAGAACTTCAGATTCCGTCAAGGGGATGGGGTGGGGGTTTGACGGAACTGGTCCTCCCGCGCCTGCTGATGATGAGGTAGACATTTTTTTTCACAACGCGCTGGCGCGTGTTTGTTGATATTGATCTTGATTATTGACGGATCTATTTTAGTGCCACTCGGAATGGAAGCCGTGGGGACGCGCGAGCGAACGAACGTGCGAATGGCTGTATTGACGATGACGTGAGGTGGCTTGTACTCGACTCGTGTCCAAGCATTAATTGGAATAAGGAAATTACACGAACAGTTATGCAGCGGCGTTGCCTCCTGTCTTTAAAAAGTGACGGCCGTATCGACTACTATCAATGAGAATTGGTGTTTTGGCGGAGGTCGGCGTTTTGCCAGTCATGTGGGCAGACGTAGGGAAGGTGCCATGAACTGGCCAGGGGGTCTCGGCCACGCTTCCCCACTTTGACAGCAGAAAACCTAGCCAAGAATGATGTCCTTCTATTCTAGGCAAAGAGCAAGGCTTTTTGCGATACTAGTAAGTCACGGAGGTATCAAATCTGTAAGGCTTGGTATGGGGTCTACAAAGGATCCGAAGTAAAGCGTTCAGCACGTCAAACAAGTTAGAGTATTGCAAAACAATGCGGTACGCGCATGTACATGCCATCCAACAGAGAAGCCAAGATTCACCTTAGTTGTGTGTGAAATGAATGTGAGGATTTGACGCTTTGATTTACAAAGGACCGCTAGCATGCGTAGGTATCCTCGATTGCAAGCCGGTCCTCACCTCGGACGACTGATCCAAAGGCTCTGAAATGCTATCTCTCCTCCCACATGCATGTACATGAAAGCCGAAAGACCATGCCGAACAAAAGGAAATAGATTCGAGGAAAAAGGGTTGTCCATCAGCGCTGAGATATCCGGAACTCCCGTTTTTGTGACTTTTGCATTGACTCGGGTCGAAAGATCCCTCTTCTATCCTGCGGTCGAGTCGATCGGCGCCAATGAGATCTACACCCCTAAGCCATGATAGTCGTCATCGTAACCCATCAATCCCAGCTGTCATCACTCCGACGAAACGTTTACTTCCTTCGGAAAGAGCAGCCCTCGGTCAATCGCGCCTTGCCACCAGTGGGCTGGCACCTGTGAATGCGTTAGCCCATACCCTGGTTCTATGTCCGATTGTCCTAGACTTACAGGACCTGCGAGCAGCCCTGGCAGACGACGACTGTGTTGGCGTGCGAGAAGACGGTGGTGATGGTGAAGCATCCGGGGCACTTGACGTCCATGAAGAAGGAGCGGGGAGCGGGCACGAGGGTCTTGAGCTTGTGCTTGCGGGCCTCACTAGACACTTGTTAGTCGCAGGTCGAGGGCGAAGAGGAGGGAATATGTGCGTACGCGGCCGGGGAAGGGTTGAGAAGGTCAACTGCGAGAACCTGGAGCCCGGTTAGTTCAAAATCTTCATCGAGACATCTGAGGCGCAAGGCACGGCGACGAGAGGTTGCAAATTCGAGATGCAGTGGCGAACTCCGAGAGTCTCGTGTGCCCGCTCACAGACCCCTCTCGCGCGCTCCTAAATGCCCTCGGTGGCTCAAACTCACCATTTTGACGGTTTATGGAGAGTCTCTTGGTTTGGTTGATTGTCGTTGATGGCTTGAAGTCGATTGAATCGGGCGCGAGAGTCGAGACGGCTGGAGAGGGGAATCAATTTCGACATCCAGCGGCCACACATTCATTAGCGAGGGCGCTAGGATTCTTGGCGGTCCGTGCACATTGGTTTGCATTTACTGTTCTCGAAACTGCAGGACCTTTCTAAATGCTTTATTAAGCCTGATCATGTTCTGGCATTCACTCATGTCTGCATTGATCGCTGCAGGTGTCGTTGTGACTGCGTGCTGTTGATCGATGACGGAGTTCCTTCTAGGGCGGCAAAATGCCCACGTGATTCGAACATGAAAAGATCGCTCGCATTCAAGCATACATCTACAAAGACTCATAGAGCTCATGGGAGAAGCACATATCGAGAAAGAGTGTCCGAAAATAAGTGAAGGGGTGCAATTCCCCTGCATACAGCTACAGTAAGATCAGTGACTTGTCCTCGACTGTATAGCGAACTGCATCTCCAAAGCAAAGGCAAAAGACAGCGTCCAGATCGGGCCGAATAGGCAATATGATGTATTCAAGCACACGACACAAAAGATCTTCCCAGTTCGAGGATGCAAGTGAGCTCTCACTGGTCAGAAGTCGTGCCGCAAAATGTGGAACACTCGCTGCTGACCAGGAGTGTGGAAACACAGACAGTACGTTTTCTGTATGGCCCATCTGCTCCAGCTGAGTTATGGTCAGCGCTAAAGTGCGAGGTATTACCCCATTGCATCTGGGGCTGCTTCCTTACCTGTCCTTTTACCCCACTTAGCGTCAATTCCAAGGCTACCGTATACTCTGCTTCTGTTTATAAGGGTTAAGAACAGATGCAATGAAGACAAGAAAATAATACCATCGCTCAAACTACTGCTGATTTATCGTTCGACATGGCATCAAAAGAGAAAGATACGCAAGAGATAGAGACGGCGAAGAAGCTGAAGCATGTACCCTGGTGCGAGGAATACGAGAAGATGATCTCTGGGATGCTGTATGTAAAAAGCCCTTATCCAATTCCCTAGCATTACTTCACTCAGCTGTCCTAAAGTACGACTGGAAGATACTGTTATTATTGGAAATAGCAGACGCCTTCACAACGCAGTATAACTAGTGCTATCTGCAACTCATCGGACATTCGAAGCACATCATCCAGATTTCATCTCCTCACTGTTCCGCATAATTAACACAATCACAGCTACAATTCTTTCAGTCCCACCTTGATAGCCGCGCGCTTCAAAGCCAGAGCTTTCGCCAATAAATATAACACATGGTTCCCGGACCCCGAAACAACCGACTCGGGAAAAGGCTTCGATATCCTCGCCGCAGAACGTCTTCGAATGCTCAAAACAGTCATTGGCCATGTAGCCGACGATGACATCTTCATCGAACCGCCATTCAACATCGATTATGGCTGCAACATCTCCTTGGGCAAACGCTTTTACTCCAACTTCAATTTGACTATCCTAGACTGCTCGCTTGTAACGATAGGGGATCGGTGCATGTTTGGTCCTAATGTATCCATTTTCGCGGCTACACATGAAGCGGAAGTGCAATCGCGACGGGACAACATCGAATATGGAAAGCCTGTTGTGGTTGGTGATGACTGCTGGATTGGTGGGAACGTAGTCATCTTACCCGGAGTGACGATAGGGAGAGGAGTTACGGTGGGAGCGATGAGTGTTGTGACAAAGGATGTGCCAGACTTCTGTGTTGTCATGGGACAACCAGCTAGGGTAGTTAAGAAGGTCGCAGAGGTTCCGGTAGAGGAGAGTGCATCGTGAAAACGTCGAGCTTCTTCACAACCAGTATTTAGAAATCCATTCAAAGTATTGGACTTGTGTGTTTGAAGAGCGTAAGCTATCTGGCAGTTTCCTAAACAATATGACATCGATCCTGAAAGCGCTTCGGACTCAGCTCATCTATCCAAAACGCTCTCACCGCTGAGAGCGTGAACGCATATAGACCTCGCCAAACCAAGGAAAGAAGTGAAGGGAGCCAGCGCCGAAGCTGTACTGGAGCAAACATGTACAATAAAAGTATAAGAGCATCAAAGCGGTATAAAGGGGTAAGGGGAAGGTCTATACCGGGAGCACTACTAGCCAATCCGTGCTCCCATTCTGAGTATGCGTCCCATCCAGCTGGACTTGGACCAACATCAAACAGTTTGCCACCTTTTCCCAAAAAGCACAGAACTAGCGATAGGGTGAAAGTACGAAGAGGAAGTTGGGCGACACGGATACAGTGAAGATGGTGTGATGACAGGAGCTGAGTGTTGTGTACTTCGGTCGAGGTGCTGATAGCGTGCGGCCAGAACCAGTACTTTGTAGTAGTAGGATCGTGTTCAGGAAGGATAGCGAGAGGGTGTCATCGGCCTATAGGATGGTACAACCGCCGCTCTTGTCTTTGCTAGTCTTGACTTGTAGAGCCACACGGGCGGCTTCGGTAAAAGCCTCGTTAACACCTCGGTTCTTCATGGCAGAGCATTCTAGACATGTCAACTGGCTGTCGTTGATTTCAAAATTGACACAACTTACCCAGGTATCGCAGAGCCTTGATCTTCTCTGCTACGCGAAGACCCTCATTATAGTCGATGCATGGCTTCTCAGGCTGTTGGTCATCCGCGTCGTCATCTTCTTTTTTCCGCAGGTCACACTTGAGTGCAACCAGAACGAGCTTAACGCCAGGGCAGTTCTCTGCTATCTCGCCGACCCATTTCGTTTCTACGTTCTCGAGCGAGTCCGGTGAATCGACCTGTGCCCTATAAGTTAGTGTTTCGGCACAAAGACGGCGAATAATCGTACCGAAAAGCAAAGCATGATCGCGTGGGTGTCATCGTAGCTCAGCGATCGTAGCCTGTCGAACTCTTCCTGCCCAGCGGTGTCCCATAAACTAAGCTCGACGTGTGTGTTGTCGATGTAGATATCTGTAGCGCCACGTCAATTGTGTAAATAGGGATTTGTGAATAGGCGCACAAACCGTGTACGTAGTTCTCTGTAAGATTTGTTAGCGGTATGAAGTTAGAGTGCGAGGAGAGTCCTCACCAAATACTGTAGGCTCGCTGAAAGGGCTTTGTTAGCCTCAGACGCGTTTATTTTATGCAGATTACTCACTATACTGTTGGAAAGTAACTATTAATAAGTCAGTAAACTCCAGATATCGCACAAAAACGTTGGCACCTACCCTCTTGTGAATACATTAAGTAACGAGGTCTTGCCGCATGCACCGTCACCGCTGTCGGAGGTACGTTAGCCTTGTTCTGTCGCATCATGCGTCGATTACCCGAACAAAGAGAGCCGGCGCATATGAGAGACGTACAGCAGCACCAGCTTGCGCTGCACAGACTTTGTTCCACCGCACATGGGCATCGTGAAGGTCGCGTAGGGAGACTGGGCGATGGGTTCGTTCCGTCGGCTCAGGGACGAGAGAGCGCGCGCGCGTTGGTGCAACAAAGGACGACGGTCGCGATCGTGGCAGCGGACGCGGACGCGGCGAGGATGAGAGCGAGAGTGAGAGTTGCACCGAGGACTCTTAGCGGACGGAGGATGATAAGGATGTGGGAGTTAAGAGTTAAGCCGGGAGGGTTCCAGATGCTGGGCTGGAGATGCAAGCGATGGATGGATGGAGTTGAAGATCCACCCACGTCGCTAAAGCTAGGCCTAAAAGGATAGCTAGTACTGCTCACTTCCGCAACCCTTCCACGGCTTCGACACTACGCATTTGGGCATCGACACGGACGCAGCACTATGCAATTGTCGGCTGAGGCGCAGTACACTGCACCCGAGATACTCAACAAGCCTGCCAAAGTCGCTGGTGTGTGTGGGGAAAGGCCAAGAGCAAGTGCCACGGACAAGACCTTAGAATCTTGAAGAATTCATAGTTAGGGCTAACATGACGGCCTGTGACCGTGAACCGAGTTAAGGGATCTGCTAGTGACGGCGAGTGGTTGAGGATGGATCTGGGATGAGAGTTCCCGGGGTCTGAGCCTTCTCCACAAGCTGGAAGCCGGACCGAAAAAAGAAGGTCGCGAGCTTAGTATGTGCCGTCTAATGCCATCGTTCGCCGTCTGCTGCACGCTATATTACACTCGAGGTATTATACTTGCACAGCCCTGTGAACGCCTGACACAGACTCTGAGACTTTGCGAATGTTCAAAATCACCGATTCACTCCACTCCGAACTGATTCAAAATCAATAATGCGTCAATGCGACCGGGAGATGAAGCGGAGATTGCTGTCGGGCACAGAGTGTGCACAAGTCGATATGAAGATAGGAATATTGCTCCAGCTCCATAAGCACAAGTTTAGCCACGCCTCAAGAGGACTTTGCAGCAGTCTTCGAGTGAATGCAGAAGGAAGGTTCCGATGCTCTTCATGGGTGCTGCGTCTGGGGAGCTTAGCCCCGCGAAAGTGGGGCTCTTCCGCAGGCACCTACCGCCGCCTCACGTAGGCAAACAGTCGCGAGAGCTCTAAACAAGACACTCGACGCATACTTCTATCAACCGACTTAATATCACTGCGCTGCCTCTTCGATAGAGCTCGAAGAACACGACCCGAATCTCAGTCCTCACTTGACCACCAACAGCACAACAATGTCCGACGACGATGATTTCATGCAAGACTCCGGCGAGGAGGAGTGAGTAGTAACCGCCAGCTCTGACGCGACATGCCCTCTGACATATTGCAGGTACGACTTCGAATACGAGGACGATGATGACGAGCAGAGTGGCGATGTCGACATCGAGAACAAGTACTACAATGCGAAGCAGCTCAAGGCCGACGATCCCGAGGCCGCCATAGATGAATTCTTGGGAATGCCTGCTCTAGAAGAAGAGAAGTCGGACTGGTAGGAAACATGGGCATCTGGGGGAACGGATATACGCTGACGAATCCATAGGGGCTTCAAGGGACTGAAGCAGGCAATCAAGCTGGAGTTTAAGCTGGCCCGCTACGACCAGGTAAACACGGCAACAGCTAAGAATGGACCCTAGCTAATGCTCGTAGGCTGTTGAGCACTACAAAGAGCTGCTGACCTACGTCAAGTCGGCCGTCACGCGCAACTACTCCGAAAAGTCCATCAACAACATGCTCGATTTTATAGAAAAGGCCGCAGAAGACGCCGATGCATATCGCTGCATGGAGAACTTCTACGCCCTGACCCTCGATATCTTCCAGAGCACCAATAACGAGCGGCTTTGGCTAAAGACCAACATCAAGCTCGCGAGGCTGTGGTTGGACAGGAAGGACTACCGTCAGCTTACGGAGAAGCTCCGTGAGTTACACAAAGCCTGTCAGAAGGAGGATGGAACAGACGACCCGAGCAAAGGCACATACTCACTGGAAGTCTACTCGCTAGAGATCCTGATGTACGCCGAGACCAGGAATAACAAGCGGTTAAAGGTACGGCTCGTCTCCATTCAACCTTACCTGCATTATCTTTAACATCATGACAGGCACTCTACCAACGAGCGCTCAAGGTCAAATCCGCGGTTCCGCACCCCAAGATTATGGGTATTATCCGAGAGTGTGGTGGCAAAATGCACATGAGCGAAGAGAACTGGAAGGGCGCGCAGAGTGACTTCTTTGAGAGCTTCAAAAACTACGATGAGGCTGGATCGCTCCAACGAATCCAGGTCCTGAAGTATTTGGTCCTAGCGACCATGCTGTCGGGTTCCGATATCAATCCATTTGACTCGCAGGAAACCAAGCCCTACCAGAACGACCCGCGCATCTCTACAATGACTGACCTGGTCAACGCCTATCAGCTTGAGGACATTCACGGTTACGAGAAGATCCTGCAGAACAATCAGGATCTGCTCCAAGATCCTTTCATTGCCGAGAACATTGACGAAGTTACGCGCAATGTGCGAACCAAGGCTGTGGTCAAGCTCGTCGCACCCTACACCCGCTTCACGTTAGCCTTTATTTCTAAACAGCTGAAGATATCCCTTTCCGAGGTGCAGGAAATTGTCGGGTTCCTGATAGTTGACAAGCGGTTGCGCGGCAAGATCAACCAGCAGAACGGAACGGTAGAGATTGAGAGTAGCACAGACATGGATCGGGTACAGGCGATGAAGGAATGGAGTAGTGCCATTGGGGCGTTGTGGCAGACAGTGCTGAACGAAGGCGACGGCTTCAAGTCAGACGAGAGCGGTTCTCAATTCACGCCTGGTGGTGGCGGGCCCCAAAGCATGAGCTGGAATCAAGGTTCAATGGGTGGCAAGTCCGGTCGAGGTAAAGGCAAGGGTCTGGGGAGGCTTCCGGGAGTAATGGGCAAAGGATGACTTGCAGCATCGGTCGCGCGCGGTTCACAAGGCGACCTGTAACTGGGTTTCCGGGCAGGCCACGGAGTAAAGATAGTTGCACAGTACCGTCACCCGGGCGTTTCTCACCTGAAGTAATTGAGACATGCGGTCAAGTTGCTCAAGGCAAGAGATAGGGTTGGGCAATCGGGTAGCACCAGGCAAGAATTTGCGTGCACATGAGCGGCAGGCGTCTCAACATAGCATGTGGGCAGCGGACATGTTCGGTCACGCAATGAAGTGCAATTACCCACAGGTCAGCGGCGGTTCACTTTTGTCTGTATGTAACATGGCCTCGTTTTCTGGTAACAAAAGCCAAGGTCCCGACTGCGCGGTCATCGCGGTAGCCTGCTGCCACCAAGCGCCTCCGTATCTCGATGCCAGTAAGCCGTGAATCGAATCTCAACGTGATGCATGGTGATCTCAAGCTTCACTCGGTTGCTCTCGTACGAATCACAGTGGGTTTCCCGACGATTGCACTGCGCGCCGGGGAAGCGGGCACAGACGGGGGTGGTGTTCCAAGCGAACCTCTCAGCTAATAGCAATGCTCCCACGCCGTGCCCGCCCTGACTCGCATGCAGCGTGGGATCGGTAACTCGACTAGAGTTTATCTCGGGTGCGCGGGCACTTGTTTTTTCTGTCGCAGAAGCGCCACGGAGCGGCAGAGCGAATCATGCAATACAGGCGGCCACTGCAACGTGAGGGCTCAGGCGCCAGAGGGCGGTCTTGGCATGTTCCTCTACGCCATGGGTGTCTCGATGATGCTGTGTTGAGCGCAATCCACGACGTGACACAGCGTTCTCTCGTCGCATGCATGCACCACCAGCCTCGGGTTCTGCAATTGTTCCGGTTGGCGGGCCTGCTTGAATGCTTGCTACACCTGACAAGAGCGCAAGAGGCTTCTTCATGCCGTCATACTAGCCGTCTCGTGACTCTGATTCTTCCGCGGCTCTTTGCTCGGCGATTCAATGTTTGATGTGATGGAGTAAAGAGTGCACTTCAATCTCCAGATGCTAACCCATGAAGACTAGTGGGAACGTAAATCGATATCACACCCTGGGCTGGTGGGCAACCGTAGCCGGGTGGTCTTGGAAGATGTGGCATAGAGCATCTCATAGTACTTTCTTTTGCTCGATGCCTCCCCGGCGCTGGCTGTGCGGAGTGGCCTCCCTCTTGTACACCGTCGCGCCCTGCCCTTTCTGCCCAGCAGATATCCGGTGCGACTGAAATTGGCCGTTTCAAAGCGGCTGAGCCATAGTGTTGCAGACTGTTCTGGTGCCAGGCAGATTGAATTCCACTCGCACGCCGCGAAGATCCCCCCTCCTGTCTCTCCCATATATTGGCGTGTGCCCCTGGACGCCCGTGAGTATCACAGCAACGACACAACTTCCAGCCTACTGCCGCCGGCCTCTGCACCTACTAAAGACGCTGCTGCCCTCCCCAGCAGCTCGTCGACGAACTGTTGCTGAGATTGCTTGCGCGTTGCCGAATCTGTCGTGGAATCATTCCGTCCAATTGCTAGCCACTGAGGCCAGTCACGCCCACGGCCCCCCAAGGAGCCATCTGAGCACACACGGCGGGGAAGTAAAGGCAAAGCAACCACACACCCACACATACACGGATACACACACGCTCAAAACTCCAAGACGAGATGAGCAGACAGTCTGTGTTGACGGGCTATCACCCTCATGGCCAGCATCATCCACATGCGCACCTACACCAGGGCCACTATGGAGTTCCGGCTCAGAACCACTACCAAGGCGGATTAGCGTTTGCTATCCGCGCGCCGGTCCTTGCTCCCGGGAGCTATAATCACCACACTGGCCATCACCCAGGCCACCAGCATCGCAACCCCCACCTCAACATGGCCGCATATCCCTCAGACGACGAGTATGCCCATCTGCAGAAGCTGTCGAGCGAATACGAGCCCGAGGCTACTGTGAGTTTGCTTGCGACAACATTCGCAGAAGCGCGCTGACCGCCCAAGGGCCCACTCGTTGGAGAACGCCAAAGCAGCGCTGCCATCACGACTGAGTATGCCGCCGCAGATCCCGTCTTCCAAGTCAAGACGGCTGCGCTGCCAGCCAAATATGCCTACTTTCGTACCTGTCGTGGCGATGGCCATTGTGGATGGCGGGGTGAGTGATCATCATCTTCTCTTGGTGCTATTTGCCGGTGCTAATAGGAACAGCAATCGCCTTTACTTATTTTGAAGCCTTGCTACGTGCGGGCAACGTGAACAAGTTGGATCATGAAAAAGGCCGCCTCGATTCGCTGGGCAACATGCTCGCGAACATCGGTTATTCGCGCGACATCTGGATTGACTTTGCCGAAGAGGCATTCGAGCTTCTTGACAAGCTCGCCAACTCGCTGCGCAACATGGACGGCCAGGCCGAAACTATTCTACTCCGTACTTTTAACGACATGAACGAATCCATGGCAATCATCACCTACGTCAAGGTAAGCATCCTGCATCTTTAGCCATTCCTGGCGCTAACCCCTTAGCAGCTCCTAGCCAGTGCCTGGGTGCAGACGCACGCAGAAGATTTCATGCATTTTGTGGATAATGGCGACGTCAAGGCATACTGCTCCAACTACATTGAACCCACTCAATGTGAAGCCGACAACGTTGGCATTGCTGCCCTTGCTGAAGCGCTAATCAAGCCTGCTGGACTCGGTCTTGAAGTATGGTACTTGGACCGCTCACCAGGCGAAGAGATCAACCGTAGCTTCTACGCAGAGCCAACAGACGCGCACCATCGTCCTATCGCTGGTGCCCCTATGTTGAGGCTGCTTTACAGGCCGTAAGTCTGCCTTGCACAAGCCGCTTCTTCCGCGTACTAATCCTCCTCAGTGGCCACTACGACATCCTGTACAAGGCTGGAGACGTACCCCAGATCCAGCATCAGCCCGTTCCCCAACAGCAACCACTCCATGTTGCCCTAGCCAACTACACTGACGAATTCATACCGACTGCGACAAATGTCGGTGACGTCATGAACATGATTCCGGGAATGTACCCCTCTAGTGTTGGTCTAGGCCAGCGGTGGCCTTCGCTTCCGTACGACTTCAGCCCCAGTCCTGCCTCTCATCCTCAAGTTACGCCTGTTCAACCATATGCTCCGACGCCAACGCCTGTGACACCGGTTACCACTTCCCACTTGGACTTTGTTACACCAATCCATTCTAGCAACCCAAGCCAGTACAACCCGCCGAACCATCACAACATACACCTCGACCAACCTCCTGTGACACTACCAATACATCCTCCACCGCCACCCGTGAGCATCGAACGTGCGGCTCCTATGGGTGTTGAGAGGGGTGGTCTATTTCGACCTTCAATGTACGAGCTGGAACCGGGCTACGGCTCCTCATTGCAAGTGCAGCCGTTCCAGACGTCCATCTTCCGCAAGTAGGTATCGGCTTGATAATATGTTTGGCTTACACTAACTTGCTCAAGTTCACACTTCAATACCGCGCACTTCATGAACCCTGACTTTGAACCCGAGCAGTGGTGTCCGGACGGCGAATACTCCGTGGGCAATAAAGGTCGGCACAAGTCTCACTCATCCTGAACATCTTTCTTTTTGCTTGAATCCGACACATGCGCTCTCCTGGTGGCCTTTTCACGATATCTTAGCGACTACTAGCGTGGCGTTCATCGAGCTTGCCCTGCTTTCTGGCATCCTGCATCATACTCTCCACGGCCTCAGCAACCTAACGACCAATGAAGACCGATACCATTTTTAACCATTTTCGGAATATCGCACCACCACCCTCACACATGCAAAACCGACGGTACTTTCAGTGCCCCCTATCCGGCCACACGCGAATGCTTCCAATCTAACATTTACCTACAACTTATTCTCGTCAAAAGTGGGCACAGTGCTGTAGCGTTTTCTTCCTTACAAGCCAACCCCGCAAGGATCCACGACCGTGACGAATACCAAAGACTATCTGCCTCATGGTGATCGACCTTAGAGTTGAACATCTTTATTGGTTTCCCTCTGTTCTTTTCTCCAATGGCATTATTAGCGATCACTCATCACCTGGACATATTTTAATCAAACACTTTCTCTCAGTCTAATACAAAACACTATTCGGTATGCGCGGACCATTCTATCAATCTGAACTCCACGCCTCCTTGCACTGCAAATACAAGACTGGGACATGGACGCTATGTGCATCCTTCACTCAAATTGTTGGTCCCCACAACAGGCTGCTAGCCTCCTACAGGTACCCTCGTTGACAACTCTACGCTCTCAACATGTACCTCGGCTTGTGGAACAGGATATCACGGACTGGTAGGATGCAGGGGTCCATGTTCCAGTTGTTACACGGAGTAGCTATGACCGAGGACAAGGCGCCTCTATCACTGCGAACAGGCAGCCTTGTCGCGGAACCTAGCATGACGGGCGGGATGAACGGGATAGACCGTCAAAAATAAAGCAATATAAACTCAGGTATCTGCCTTGTTGAAGATCATCATGTGATGCATACGTGACGCGTTCGTAGCGTAAACGTCGCCGTTTAGACCATACTGTATCCGATAGGAGCGGTACGAACGAAATCAGAAGACCCTACAACAAAACATTTTGTTTAATTTCCCCCAGGCCTTAGCATCGCAACCACGACAACAATCGTTGTTGACAACAGTAATATGTCCCATGCCTCAAAATATTTCCCGCAGAACTGGCCCCCACGTTGCACTTTGCCAAAACTCGGCTTACAAGATCGCCGGATAAATTCTCCATCCATCGGGCGATCGCCTACTGCAAGCACTCTGATCGTAAATATTGTAAACGGTGTAATGGTAATTGCGTTGCATCGAACCATTATGCATGTGCAAGCAGGGATGGCGTAACGCGCGTTGCCCGATGCTGGGCTAGCGACTTGACAATCTCGCACACATGATTACTGATGGTCGCTCTATACGACTTTTGCTTTTTCCCGTGAGAGGAAGGAGGGGGATGTAGCATGGAGGGGTAGTAAGACGGGAAGAGAGCGAGGCTGGAGGCTTGCAAGATCAAGATTGTGAGGGAGGCTAACGGAGATGATCATGTTTACGATTTCGGGGGCGGAGGCGGCGGGGCACATGCGAGATACGCGGTTCGCTCCACCTAGAAGCAGTAAGGGTACGTAATATCGATCAATTTTTTCTTTGTTGTGTGATGTACAGCATCTACAGGGAAGAGGGATATGGCAGCACAATAACCTATTCGTCCACCGTCTTTCCTGTATGCTCTTCCCCACCACCCGGAAGGGTAGGTGCGGTTCGTTGAATTGAATAAGAACTGCATTGGCAGCATCTTCGAACGGCTGTTCGCAGGATCGCAGGTGGTAGTTCGATAGTCTTGGTTTTTTCCTTGCGAGTCAGGTGTGCAGCAAGGAACAACGCTCCACACTATAGCAGAACGGCCGTTAAAGGGCCGAGCGAGATCGCACATATGCGAGTATACTCACACCGCTCGAGACATGCCTTAACCATCAGTTTGTTTCGCCCGTCGTGAGTGAAGCTTGCTGCTCATGCCGAGTGAGTGCGAACTTTTACAATTGCCGACTGATGTTGGTGTCGTGTCCCACTGCAGCAAGCTATGTCGTCTCCAACTTCTTCCGCAGAGTGTTCATCATCAAAGTATCATCGCATGTAGCCTGAACCCGCGGCTTAAGCCAAGCAGTAGCACAACAGAACGGGTTGAAGAGCTGCGTGATCGAAAGTCGGCAGCAGCCTCTAGATTTGGCTTTTTGTCCCGCAGTGCAGCTGGCGTTGATCCAAGCGTGAAATTCAAGACACGGCATCGTGCTTGGACAGTACAATGAAGTTCGTCAACAGTCGTACAGATGCGAGGGGAAAGCTACATGAGCTACCCCGCTCTGTGCCATGTCGGCTTGGACTAGGCTTGGCTATGTGTTCGATAATTCTGAGTAGATGTGTTGTGGTTTTCGCGATAGAACAGCAGGTCCGTCTAGCCTTGATGGTCTGGGACGGGTGTTTCCGGAACTTGCCGGCTGGGAAATGTGGGCGGCGATATCGAGACCGAGGTCTCTTGAGTGATATTGACCAGACTTCGGGCCCTTCGCCGTGTTGTGAGATACGTACTAGGCGAAGAAGAGACTAGGTGCGTGCACACACTACACATCGAGGTTCAGTGCAATGGTGATGCCAAGAAACTCGTTACAAGTAAGCGCAGCATCTGTTCCGACTATGCCGCAGGAGCCGCCTTGTCGTGGAGAAGCCAAGTTCACGTTGTAGCCTTTGTATGCAGTTCCATCGTCGTTGGTTTCAGGATTCGTCGGCAGCATCGATTCCATCTGAATCAGAACCTGAAGTGGCGTCTGTGCCTTCATTCATCTCCACGTCCCCATTGGTGTGGTTGCGGTTTCCGCCGTTAGTGAGTCTCTTTTTCGCTCGTGCTTTGGCACGCTCTGCCCTCTTCTTTTCCTGGCTTATAAAATAGTCCTTCTCTTCCCGCAGCTCTGAAAGTTGTGAGAAAGTAACCATTTGGATGCGTTGTAAGCTCGCCAGCTGTTTCTTCAGTTCGTTGACTTCGGTCTGCTGAGCCTTGCCCGATGCATCAGACGCGTTCATGCTACCATCATCTAGTGCCATAAAGTCAGCCGTTGGGGCGGCACCACCCTTTGGCTGAGTAGCCCATGAGTCTAGCTCAGCCAAGCTCTCTTCCAGCATGCCGGCGGGGAAACTTGGGTGTACAAGAGCCTCTTCAAATGCACTTCTTCCTACCAGTTTCTTCTCAGTAGCAGAAACGTGGGGACTGCGCAACCGACCGTTTAGCTGGAGGTTCAGGGTATAATTTGGCGGAACCAGGCCATTTGCGCTGCTCGTGAGTCCTGCATCCTGCTTTGGCTTGACAATTGTTGGAATCTTGAAGGTGGGTTCCGCTGTGTTAGGGAAGCCAGTAGGTGGGAGAAATCGAAGGTTTGAAACGGGACCGGGAAGATTGGCGGGAGTAGAAAGATAGTTTGCCTTTGCGACATCCCAAAGTGCTACCTTACCACTGGCATGGCCCGAGATGAGTGAAGTACCATCCCAGCTAAGAGTCAGAGCGAGGGCTCCGCCGAGCTTCTGCGACTCTGCACTGAAGCGGCTCTTGGGTGATGGTTGTATCGGTCGATGAGACGAGGCGCTGTCCCGAAGGACGTCTATCGAAGTAGTCTTCTGCACTTGGTCGTATAAGTCAATGGTTTGCAAGCTGCCATCAGCATAGGCTACGTAGAATGCGCGGTCTGCAGGGTCGAGAGTGACAGCAGTAGGTATCTCGGGCAGCAAATAGGTCCTTAGTGCTTGTCCGTTGTGGTAGTCCCAAACTATGGCCGACTTGTCCCCTGATATTGATACGGCAATGTTGGCAGCGCTCGAGCTGTGGCCGCAGACAATGGAGGATATGGGCCCGCGGTGGGTAGAGAGGGTGTGTATTGGCGAGCGCGAGGCATCGGGGGAGAAGGATAGTATGGCGGGAAGTGCCCATACGTGGATCATAGCATCGGAGGAGCCGGAGAGGAAGAAGTTGTCGGATGGGTCGACTACCATGCTCGTGACTGGCTGGAGGTGGGAAGTGGACGTAGAGACGAGACGGCCTGAGCAGACCTGAGGCATGTATTAGAAAAGCTGGGGACTACCAAGGTTGTTCCAGACTCGTGACTAACCTCCCAAGCCAATATCCGCCCGCTCTCGGTTCCAAGCAGTAGCACGCTGTCCTGCGCTGCGAGTGCGATGCTGTGAATTCTCTCTGGGAAGGGCACCAGGGCTTCTTGGTTGCCCCTCTCCCTGCTATACACATGTACAATGGCCTTGTCCGACTGCGCAGCGAAGACATGTGAGGCGCTCACAGCTATGCCGTTTGGCGCACTCGCGCTCTTCTTGAAAGCATGTCTCTGGGCGACAAGTGGCTGGAACTCATGTATGAAAATGCCCGCGTCTTTTGTGACTCCCGTGTTGGGCTTTGTCGATGCCGAGATGGCGGCGACGAATTGTTCGGTGAGCATGGCCGGGCGTATCTGGAGATGTCGTTGTCGCAAGTTGAAAGTTGCAAGCTCTAGAAACTTTTTGGTGGAGCATCTGCAGCCTGAGGGTCTGTGCAGCTAGCCGCGCCTGCCCCTCGCTATGGCGACAATCTTGCTGAACATCACCTTTTGTCGTGGTACTATGATCAAATCCTTGTCTAGACCATATCTTGTCCCGCCTTACAACTTGGCACATGCTTCTCAATCTCTGACTTAGTTCGGGCCTATGTGCTGGCTGACGCCTTGCATTCACGGGGCCTATTCGCTGCTGCAGGGCAACGAGCATCTCTCCGAGCTACTTCTCGCACCAACCCGGCTTTTCAAGTCCGAACGCGGAGATTGACAGGGGAGTTGATATCAGTGAGCCCCCAACTGTCTATAATCTTGTTTACAAGTATAGACCAATGACCGCCGAGAATCATCCAGCTTAGTACGTTGGAGTTATATCGAGTTACCGAGTAGCACTGGTCAAATGTACAGAGTAAGCACTGCTAGGGGGCCTGACCGATGTTCTGGCCTGTACCAAACCGCATCTGACTAGCGACCTGGAGACTTAACGGACGTGGTACTCGAACCAGAATATGGGGCGTTTGGAGAATCAAGAGATTGGCTCTGCCGGCACGAATCGAAGGAGTAGCTCTCACGGTAGTACACAACCCCGCACATCTGACGGTCTTAGCCTTGCATCTCAGACCCTTGGAAAGCGCGCTCTAGATAGATTGCGGCATCAGTGATGCCCCCAGCGAATTCATTTATCTTGTGTGAGTTCCTACTTTGATTGCTCTTAGATCGCCAATCCGGAATATCGACCCAAAATGTCTCTCGAGGAACTGACAAGCAAAGCATATGGTATGTGGGAATTCTCATCACTGTAATAAATCGAGACCGGAAATCCGATCCTGACACTGCGCCGTTAACCATCTGACGTCTTTAGACTACATCGTCTGTGGAGGAGGTACAGCTGGTCTGGTCATTGCGGCTCGTCTTACAGAAGATCCGAACATTACTGTAGCTATCCTGGAAGCCGGCGGCAATGGACTGAATGACCTGTTGATTGATGCACCAAACATGTTCACCCAGCTCTGGGGCAAGCCCCAATACGATTGGGACTATAAAACTGTTCCACAGGTACGCTTCTAACACCGTGCACTTGGTATTGCCTCACAGCCTTGCTAGGAAGGTACTGCTGGTCGTGTTCATGGTTGGGTTCGTGGAAAGGTTCTTGGTGGCAGCAGCGCTGTCAACTACAATATGTTCAGGTAAGCGCTGCCTCTCAGGTATTGACTGAAATACTGCACATGTTAACTTTTGTGCAGTATGGCCTCCAAACAGGACCTGGACAACTGGGGAGAGCTTGGAAACAAAGGCTGGTCCTTTGACGATATGATACCTTACTATCGGAAATTCGAGACATATCATCCCGCATCAGAGACTTTAGGGAAGGCTGTCGACGACAAATACCTTGACAAGTCTCTTCGCGGCACTTCTGGTCCAGTTCATGTCAGTTTCGCCAAGACTGATGTCACTTGGGGTCAGGATGTGTGGCCTAAGACTATAGCCAATGCTGGATATTCACCCACAAAGGATCCTCGTACTGGCTCAGCTATCGGCGGTTTTAACCAACTTAGCACTGTTGATCCTGAGCACAACAGGCGAAGTTACGCTGCGCGAGAATACTACGAGCCCAACGCCGACAGGCCAAACATGACTCTTGTAACTCATGCCCTCGTTTCTAAAGTCGAGCTTAAGCAGACTGCTGGACAAGTCAAGGCCACTGGCGTCGAATTCACCGTCGATGGCACTACACACACGATGAAGGCGCACAAAGAAGTCATCGTCTGTGGTGGAACCATTAACTCGCCACAGATTCTTGAGCTGTCCGGCATCGGTTCGCCTGCTGTACTTGACAAGGCTGGCGTCAAAACCATAGTCGACCTTCCGGGCGTGGGAGAGAACTTGAATGATCATACAGCGACTGGTTTTGTACTAGTAAGTGTACACATCATCACAGACAATCCCAAAATACTAAATTCCACCAGGGTGTCAAAGACGAATACCCAACCGCCGAAGCTTTCAAGGACCCAGCCATCATGCAGCAAGCCCTAGAAGCGTACATCACCCATAAAGCCGGCCCTTTTGCAGGACCGCCTGGCACGACAGGTTTTGCTTCCCTTTCGAAGATTGAGCCCGACTTTCCAAACGCAGAGTCGCACATTCAATCACTCCTCCAAGACTTCGCAAGTAAGCATCCGGATGCCGACCCTGCAGGTCGCAATGCCATGCTTGCGCGCCAACTCCTCGATCCCAAGGAGGCAGTCTGCCAACTCGTTATGCTACCCACTGGTTTTCAGCCACATCGTCCGGATGACGCCAGCAAGCTATTTCCTCTCGAAGAAGAAGGCATGTGGTGTACAATTGGCGCATGCAGCACGCGTTCCCTATCCCGTGGTACCGTTCACATCAACAACTCCGACCCAACCACACATCCCACAATCGACCCAGCGTACTTCTCGCATCCTCTCGATCTTGACATGATGGCTCGCGCCATTCTTCACTGCACCTCCTTCACATCTGTAGAGCCCCTTGCCTCGGTCTTCCGCCGAGATTCTAACGGCGACATCGTATTAGCCAAGAACTTCAGTTCGCTCCCCAAGACGTTGGAAGAAGCCAAGGATCTTGTGCAGAACAATACTGTAACAGAGTATCATCCTATTGGTACTTGTGCCATGTTGCCGAAGGAGAAGGGTGGTGTTGTAGACGAGGAGCTCAGAGTTCACGGTGTGGATGGGCTGAGGGTGGTGGATGCTAGTATCTTTCCGACGCACGTACAGGGCAATATCGTTAGTCTGGTGTATGCCGTTGCGGAGAAAGCGGCAGATCTAATAAAGGGTGTGAGGATTGGGGGCGAAGATGGCTTGGACGTTGTGGAGAGAGTTGACAGTCCCTCTGTGGCGTAATTGGGAAATCTTGCCGCATTTGCTCGTGTAGTTTTCACAATCCTTCTACCTCCACAATAGGTGTACGAGAAAGGACAGTGGCCTTGTCACCAGTGGCGCGCTTAAGTTAATCCCAGGCTGTCTAATGCCAGCATTTGGCGAACGTCGGTACACACTACCTCAGGGAACACAGCTCCAAAGAGAAATGAAAACCAATTGTCCGTACTCACCAAGCTCACCCCCTTCTCTGCCAGTCAGGTAGATTGTCGAGAATACGGAAATCAAAACATGGTTTTCGCGTCGCGATCGCCGCAATGACGCAGTCCAATCTTACAGCCCCCTTGCGCGTGCGTACGCCCAAGCGCTCCTTTGAACGAACTTGCCCAATCTAATTCGGCAGGAGCACTGCAACGTGAAACCTGCTTTGTCCTTTCTTGTTGGAGGAGATGAAAAATCAGATAAGTTATCGCTATATAACCGAACCAGTTTCTTCTCTTTCTATCGAATTTTAGAAAGATTGACGTTCATGTTATTACCTTGACGAGATACGTTCACAGCACTCTCTGATTGGGCGACCATACTCACTTGCGTGCAATCCCCGTACCCGAACGAAAGAACACAATATCTTAGTTCCGATCATGTCGACACGCAGATCCGGTCGCGCGACTAAAGAGGTGAAGTACACCTCTGCATCAGAAGGCTCAGACTTTGAGGACAAGAAAAAAAGGGCCAGGAAGCAAATGAAAACGGCGATTTCGAAGGAAGACGTGAACAACACCAAGAAGACACCAAAGGCGGCCGGGGTACCGAAGAAGGCACCGCCGAGAAATGTTACCAAGAAGCGCGCCGCAGAGTCCAACAATGAGAACGACGACGCGATCGCCAACCAAAATGATGCCATGACGACTTCCGCAGCCCCAAAGCCCAAACGCCAAAAGAAAGATCCCACCACACTCGCAGCAGAAGCCCAAGAGAAAAAAGCAAAAGCCGACAAAGCTGCCCACAAAAAAGCTTGGCAAGATTGGCTCTCTTCCCACGACATCGAGGGCGAGATGCTGGAAGAAGAGCCGGGCAAGGATGAGAGCATCACTCAAACTGATGCGCTCAAGAAGTATGGAGTGAAGAAAGATGAATTGAATTCACTGCTACGATTCGAGAAGAAGAACCCGTTGTACCCAGGTATGATGAAGTTGTTCCTGGAAGAGGATGTAAGAGAGCTGGCGTTTAGGAAGATAGGTGTACTGGAGGGCGCCCAAGGAGACGACGAGGAAATTGTTGAGAAAGGGAAGCAGTTGTGGACTGAGGAGCATAAGGATGATGTCGATGGAGAGGAAGAGAAGTCTGTGAGGACTGAAACTAAAGGCAAGGACGCGGCAAGAGATGACAATGCAGATGAGCCAGCCAAGGCTGAGAAACCAAAGAAAGAGGACAAGCCAGCCAAAACCAAGAAACAGGAAAAGGAGAAGACACCGAAGCAGAAATGGGCAACCTACATATCCGAAAACTCTATTGATGAGGACGAGAGACTCGCCAAAGAGCCATTCGATCTCATCAACCAAACTGACTGTAAGAACAGGTACAACTTGACGCCAAGGGACCTAGCTTGCCTCCCTTACTTTCCCAAGAAGAACCCAGCCTACGGAAATACCATGAAGATATTCAAGGAGAGCGTAGTGAAGTCGTTGGCCTATAGAAAGACTGCGGTGCTGGCCGGGCTAGAGGACGATGGTAAGGATGATGAGGGGCTTTTGGAGAAAGGACAGAAACTTTTCGAAGAGCAGTCTGATCCAGACAAAGATGAATGAGTAGATGGTACCTGATCTTAGATCACGAGCGTCAATTTTTGTTAAGATTAGGACTGGTGAAATTTCCCTTTATTCCACTATTACGTGTTCTCGCTTTTTATGCTCCAACTTAGGTAGCACGTAGTGTAGAAGCAGATCACCATTTGACAGCCTTCTTGAACACTGGCAGCTCCTCGAAGTTGTCCACGCTCCATTTCAATTTCCCGTCTCCTGTAACCCATGCACCTTGATCGGTAGCCTTCAACCCAGTTTTCTCGTTCTCACAGATCTCGTGCTTACTAGCACCGATACTGTCCTTGGCCAACCAGACTATGGGCGTCTTACTGGTGAAGGCTGGGTTGAGGTATGCCTTCTTCAGATCCTCTTCACTGTATTGTGGTTCTTCGTCTTCGTCAAAATTGCCGTCGCGCAGCCAAGCTTTCAAGGCAGTATGGCTACCGAAGACGTGTGGCTGCAGAAAGCGGGCCAGCGGTGAGACAACGTTGGATGGTACACGCGTCCTTTCGCTTATACGATTGATCCTCGACTCCGCGTGCTCCAAAGCATCCGACTCGCCTTCCTCTGCGGAAGATAGCAGTGGCGCTTGCTCATCATCTTCAGATTCGAGTGCAAGATCTGCAGGTAAAAACTGCTCGAGGGGAGCAAGGTAGTGGTTCGTGGTATAGTTGAACATGATCGTAGCAAGGAGTAGGACGACAAGCATGATTAAGGGACCAGTCGCGTCGCGTAAGCTGAAGAGACCGATAAGACAGATCTCAGCGAGGTAGATTCCAACAAGGATCTGTTGTAGAGAGAGTGTATAGGCATGCCCTTTGGTGTCAATCTTGGGCTGTGCGGTATATAATAGCTGGTATCGATAACTCCAGTAGAATATCACTAGGCCGATGGCGGCGAAGCCAAGAACGAGAGGTGCAATACAGGCGTAAACGATTGCTGCGAGAGATCAGTAATATGCCACTCGGTGTGTCCCGGTTAACTTACCAATTATGACAAAGTTGCCATATTTCGGGAAAAGCTTGCCCCAAGCCATGCCCCTCATCGTAATGTAGCTATTGTACTTCTGGCGGGGCGTCTTGTCGAAGAATCTGTCGAAGAACCAAAACGAGAGAACGTCGGTGTAGTTCAGTATGTTGCTCGGGGCATTAGTCAAAGCCTGGACGACAAAGTACGCGAGGTATGTGTTTGATGCTCTTGGCAGACGCTCTGCGAGAAGTTGAGGTACCGAGCTTGGGTCTTGAACAATTTGTGATGCTACTGCCGCAGCACCCGAAGCGAGTGTTGTCACAAGGAAGACTTGGAGCACCTGGAAAACGAAGTACCACTTCAGCACCTTAATCTCAATGACAGTCTTGGTCGGCTCTCCAAAGGTAGTAAAGATGTCTGTGTTGCGTAAGCTGGAGAACAGCAATATTGGCCAGTAGAAAACACTTACATCTGAAGATGTTCGGTACATATCTGGCTAACGCGCTTAGCACCAGTGGAGGGAGTAGACCACTCAGAAGGCTCATAATCCCTGATGGAATCTTGTTGAGAAACGCGAGCCATTTAAAATTCTCGGCAAGATATTGAACGTTAGAAAGAGCACCAACTATGCCGACTGGAATGGACCAAAATGCAATCGTAGCGATTACGAGAGTCAGGGCGACGCCACTCTGTGACATGCGACGAGCAGGTGCTAGGTTTAAGTTGGCCCAGACAACTTCGTTGGGCGTAGTCCCAACGAAGCGAGGCGTAAGAGAAAGGACGTCAGCCGATGCGATCTGCTGGTACGCTCGCTGAGCCGCAGGTTGCGTGCGGAACTCTACAAAGACTGCTGCAGCTCCACCAAGACTGTCGGCTGTCTCATTCGACTCGCGAGCCTTCTCGATATCGTCCTCTTTTTCTCTGATCTGATCCCGATAATAGCTGATGCTGTCAACTTCCTTGCCAACAACTGGTGTCTTGGATTTGTGAGTAGGCCGCAAAGATTTTTTCATCTGCTTCGGCAGTTGCTCGTACTTGATGTTTCGATTGTGGCTCTTTCCGACTTCTTTGTTAACATTCAGGATCAGAGACATCTCAGCGCTTTCCAACTCTTCGACCTTGGAGTTCCTCTCCGAAACGAGAGATACTAGTTTCTCACCCTTAGTGACAGGCCAAATTCTGACTGCATCCTCTCCGAAGAAACGCTGCATGTTGCCCTCATCGAGGGCTGCAGTAGGCGCCGAGAGGTACAGTACGGTACGTGAAGACAGCCTCTTTGCGTTCGGTTTTGACAGGTTCCATGCTTGCCGTAGTCCAATGAGCCAGAGTCGTTCCCGCGCAACCGTGAACATGACAAAACTGAAGAACACACAGGCCACAACAGCATGCGCATAGAGATGGTCCTTGTTCTTCACATTGCCAATGCCAAAGCGATTGAGCTCTTTCGATCTGCCGCCACCAGTCCAATTGGCAGGTAGAAGAACAGGCCAGGTAATGACAGCGCCGATTACGCAGATGAATATCAAAGTCCTCATGAAACGAAGAAACAGGTAAGAATCAAGCGACTGATGGTAAAGCACAAACTTATCCGGGACGGTTCTCATAGTGTGAATCCAGTCGAAGTAACCTGGCGATTTTGGACATGGCGTGCGATCCTTTTCTGGCACGGTGCCAATGTACGTCCGTGGTGAATAGATTTTGGGAAAGCGATGCCTAATGAGGACGAATGCGACCATGTAAAGAGTTGCAATGATGGCCGTAGGGATGAAAGCTGCAGCGAGTGCTGCAAGTGAAGATGGCCCGCTAGACTTATGACAGTGTATGTTAGTACACGTGCTTTGAGTAAAGCCTGGTTGTAGTTGCAGGTACGTACTGACTGGACATGGCTGGTGCCACTGTCCTTGGCGACGAACACCGTCTGGAAATCCATCTCTGATATCTGTGGTCGAACAAGAGATAACTAGTAATGTCTCATGTCGATACAGGGCAAAGGGTCGGAGATTGGCAAAACGGAAGACGATGTGACGCGGAAGCTTTGCACGCTTCTGCCTGTGTTTGATTAGTGTTGTAGAGAGGGAAGGGTGAAGCTTGTCAAGCAAAGACGCCTATGACGTCGACGCGTTCAGGCGCCCAGCCCCAGCCATGTGGCGCGGATCGGTCTAGACAAGTGCGACTCACCTTGAAACAGCAACCTCGAAAACCAATAACACCAAGAACATACGTGTCTAATCAGACACTCAAAATATTTGAATGATTTAGGCAGTCAGCGCGTGCGGTGTACATGTCTTGAGCTCAATTAAAGTTATTACAAATCTATGTGCGCCATGTAAACCAAGATAAATCCTTCCAATATTCATACAACATTCTAAAACGCGTGGTATCACGGTATCCAAACCGGTCGAACTGCCCATGACCCAAAACTCCGTAGGCGAGAGATGTTCAGGAACACCTAACATCCTCTTATGCAAGGAAACAAATGAAATACTGCTGGGCACACCTAGAGCCACAGCAGCCACCGGATCACTCCCATGGCCACACCAAACACTCTTCTGACGGACCCGACGAGCACAACAATAAGCCACAGACACCACATGAGTGCAACAAGAGCCCACTCGACCAGCATCCATCCAAATCCCCGAACCCAGCGCATTCTACGTTTGCGCGTGCGAATCATGCGGTCTATCTCGTCTGTGATTTGCTTGACTTGTAATGGACCTTGTCCAGATACCTCACTTGTGATGCGCACAGCTTTGTCTCCGCTTTCTAGAATACGCGGCATAAGGTCTGAGTCAACCGTAGATTGCAAAGCTGAAATCTGGTTTGTGAGTTGCTGGATGGCTTTGTCACGGAAGCTCTCAAGCGAAGTCTGTAAAGCCTTGGTCGACGACTCTAGGTCTTTGACTAGTATGCGCGCGGCAAGAACATGTTCTTCCTTGCGCGGCACAGGGTAGATTTTCGTTTTTGATGTAGCGGCAGCGCGCGAAAGAAAGTCGGGGGGCGGTTCTCTTGTAGAATTCGCTCGTCGTGTAATCTCTCTCGCTTTGACACCTGAGCAGAGAAAGAGTGCGCGGACGCGAGCGATATCTGCCTGAGTGACTGTGTTCGCATCGTTCTTGTTCCGATCAACGGTATTATCGTCACCGTCAGCGATGCTCCAATGTCTACCGTTAAGACCAGGTCGAGAGCTACTGCGTTGTCTGTTTGCGTCCCTTAGTCCAGTAGGTGGCAGACCCGCCATGTCACCACCAGGCCGAGCGAGCACTTGATTAATTCGCTCCTGGCTGTGGCTGCGCGTAAGAGTGAGAGACCCCGTGGAAGAATTTCCAGATATCGTGCCCAGATCCATGCGTGGTGGCAATAGCCGATCGACCCGAGGCGAGCGACTGTTCTTTTGCTCTCGTGCCTGGCGTGAGATGTGATGCTCATGATCCGAGTTTTCGTCGGCAATCGTGTGGACCGGCCGGAACGAGGGCAGTTCCAGATGGCTACGTTCTTTGTTTGTGATGCTACCGTCTGTACCTGCCGTGACAGTTCGACTGATCGGGGGCCGTTTGGTATGCTTGGTTTTGACAGGACCGTCGTCATCAAAGTCGACAGAGTTACGGTCGGACATAGTGTCCACGTCAGAGTCATCGGCTCGGTCTCTTCTGAAGATGATGTCACCGACTTTTGTACCCTCGTTCTTCACGCCCTTGAAGAATCGAGTGACAGCAGAATGCGGCTCTTGGGTGTCTCGGCGGCGGAGCTTGTCCGGACTAGGCAAGCTACTGACACTATCGTTCTTGCGGTGACCGAGTAGATTCATGACAGCACCGGGAGCTGCTAAAATGGCTGTGCCGATATGTTTGTCGTCTGGCGTTTCCTCACTGGTCTGCCGCGATCTTCCTTTCCTGTCTGTTCCAGCAGAGTCCGGACGCAATTCGTGCTTATGGTCTTCACTATGCTCATGCGAATGAAAGATAGTGTTGAACTTGCCTCGTTTTGCTTTCCTTGTCTGTGACTCAGATCGGCTTGGAGGCGGTGATAAGTCGCTGCCAATATGCGGGAACCGTTTGGCATGTGGAGTGTTTGGTGCCGTGCTGTCCTGATCATCAAAAGATGATCGGGGCTCCGGATCATCGATGGATAGATTAGGGTTCTTACGAGGCTTTGGCGGCATCTTGAAGTTGCCACGATCCTTGATGAATGCAAAGCCACTTGTAGGTCGGGGAACTTCCAGCGAGTCTCGGAGAGGCTTGCTTTCGGAGGTAACGTCTCCGTTGCGACCCCACTTGTTTGGCGTATCTGGCGTGAAGTCAGGGGGTGGCCTGGCTTCGCTCAGCGACTGTCTAGCTTGTTGCTCTAGAAGCAAGGCCAGCGGACCGAAGTTGTGATCTGGATCAGTGACAATACGAGCTTTCCGTCTCCTGGTATCGGGTTCCGACTCTGAACTGTCGCTATCGTCATGGCTGCGCAGTCGCGAGCCCCGCCTCGAATGTTTGCCTCCTCTCGGACTGTCAGTACGCAGCGCTGGAAGTAGCCTTCGCTTGCGCCCACGCTCGCTGCCCTTGTCGCTTTCATCGCCTGTCGTATGATCAACTGCGATGCTGGGGAAGCCATCGACCCAGCTCTTTCTTCGGTCCCCAGAGTATTCTTTGCTTGCGCGTGGTGATAGAAAGTCTTTCTGCTGCACCTCCTTGGGTGGGTAGACCCTTCGGCCATAGCGGTTTTCTACCAGCATTTTGTTGTCGTCTTGCTCTAACCAGTGTGCATCCGCAAGCAACTCTTGTGGGCTGAAGATCCAGCCTTTGTGAGGTCTCGCAGGCTTCTGGGGCGCTGGTCCCACTTCGTGATCGTGATGGATTTTGGGAAGCTGTACCGCATCGTCTCGACGATAGCCGGCTTGTTTGGCCTGTTGTTCCACACGATCCACCCAATCACGTACTTGCTCGACGTGCTCGAATTCTTCTGACGAGTGTTGGAGCGTCACGCGCTCCCGAGCCCTGCTCCGGCGGTTTCGAATGTATTGCAGAGGGTTGTACGGCCGGCCGAGCTCATGCTGTTTGCCCGCATGAGACGGCACACGAGTGAGCTGCGCTTGGGGGCTGCCTGGACTGTTGGTCGACGTGAAGACAAAATTGCCTGGGGCGTTCGCGTCGGGCTTCAGGGGCGGGAGGAATTCCAGTAGTCGGAGGTACTCGATGCGGAGCTCGATGTATGCGCGGGCCTTTTCTACTCGTGCAAGCGTGGCAGCTGAGGGATTGATGTTCTGGGACGTGGGAAAGGCAATGGATCCGCTTCTCTGCATCGAGGTAGACATGTGGCGGGTAGGAGAGCTCTTGCCCATTGGAGATATATTGCGTGACGTCCGCCGTTGCTCGTTGAGATAGTGCTTCAGACTGCCGCCGGCGCCATAGTTGGAGAAGCTGCCTTCGCGCTGCGAACCAGAGGCGACACGTGGCTGGGACGACAGAAGCTGGCCGGTGTTGGTGTGTCTCCTCCGGCTCTCGCTCAGGTTCAGGGCCATGTGTACCAGCTGGTTCGGATCAATGGCCGTGGACGGCATATCGTATGCACTCGTCCTCGTCTTGCCAAGGCGCATGCGCTCGTCGTGTCGGTCCTGTGAATCGGCAAAGTCGATACGGGATGCTGCGCCGGGGACAGCAGGACTGGGGCCGTCTCGCTGTACCTCTCGCGACAGCGGCGAGCTTCCTGCTCCCTTGTCGGGGGCGCCATGGTGTCGCGAGCTGCGCTTGCCTCCTTTGTCCTCCCCGCGAGCCTTGGAGAAGTTTGAATCGAGGAGAAAGCCGCCAGATCTCCTCACGCGCTGCTTCCGGCGCGCAAAGTCTTCTTCGTGCACCGAGTCCCTAGCCAGCAGGTTCCCCGATGCTGCGCTTCCTCCCAGGCCGTTGGTTGCACCTGTGCCGGGCCGCGAATCTTGGCTTCGCCGCGGGGACGAGCTCCCCTCGCCATTGTCTGTGTATGCGCCTGAGTTGCTGGCAATGTACGTGTGCGAGGAGCTTGTCCAGCGGTCCGAGTCTCCCGAGGGCCGGCCATGGCTGGACGGTGCTGACATTTCTTGAGATAGCGCCTATGTCACCTCGAACAGCCAGGGGGTCGCATGGCGATGACGACGGCTGCGCAGAGCAGAGGAGCGGCTGTGACCGTGCTATCGCAGTCAGGCGACGTCGCGACGAGATGCTCACGTGAATCTCCTAGGTCGCTCTCCAGCGAGGGTATGAAATCATATGTGGGGTGAGCAGGAGCGGCTCGTTGCTGTCCAGAGATTTGGCCTCGGGTGGAGAGCATGATCGCCTGCACCCCTGTTGGTCACCCAAACGTCAATAGTGGGTCCATGTCCAACGGCTTCTTAGCTTTCTCTTTCACGTATCCAACTCACCAGGGCGAACATCGACTTTGTTGCGAGACGTGCGGAATCACGTCTTGACTGTCCACTCGACTATCTCTCACTAAGCACAAAGTATCAGTCTTGCTACAGGGGATGACCTAGGTAAGCCAACACGCCGACGCCAAATCCTTGCTCCCCAACATCGCATTCTCTGCTGTGAAAGCCATGCGGTCATGCATGGCCTTTTCAGACGAGTTAGTCGGCTCCAGCACACCGAAAAACTTCAGGCGTCCAACAGTACCGGCACTTTGGTAACGGCGCTTGTCTTTCCCTGTCTTAGCATCAACGGCAGTACTTCAGAGTAGGCTAAATGCTCGTCGCGACGAGTGATGCTCACATGTAAAAGGGCAGGACATGCGTGGATAACAACACTCTCTCCACAGAGATTCTGAACGCACAAAAGCATCTGCTCTCAGTACATGACCAGATCTTGTATCACGAGTACATGCGATAGAGGCTATTAGACACGCGATTGTCTCCAGCCATACATGGCTGGCATTGGGGATCCCTTGGGTATCTCTACCAAACGTCGTGCTAAAATGCCTGGTTTGCATTTGGAGAGCCGATTTGATCATCTCCCACTCACCATATCACCAGCTACTCCGTGGCGCTCATAGGCTTTATACATGGGTTGATACGGAGCAGTGTTCTGGGTAAACTTGGTAGATAATGGCATCTGGATGGAGGTAGTGTCTAGAAGGAAGCTGTTTTTCATATCTAGAATCTCCATGACGTTCCCATAGACGTGTCACCAAACGACCAAGACGCATTATTGGGCACCATGTGAGCGAGTGCGACTATCGCTCCGGCGGGCTAAATCGATCGTACGTAGTAGAATGCGAGCTATATGCTCAGCTCTTCTTCCGAAAGACTGACCGTTCGTTGCACTGCTTCCTGGCTACGGAACAGGATAGCCATGGCCCACATCGGCCGTGTTAGTTGTACTGTACTATGCCCGCCTCCGTGGCGTGAGGCTGAGGGAAAAAGCGACACTTGGTTCGGAGAGAGGGGCAAGCCGAGAATCAACTGGTTGACCAGTGCGACTAGACATGAGCGAGTCAAGAGCCAAGAGTCTACCCATTTGCTAAAACTTGTTAATCTATGCAGCTAGAAGCAGTCTTCATGCAGAGGATCAAGTCGAAAGAGTACGCAAGCCTCGATCGCATTGCGACCGTTGGTTTTTCCTGTACTCTACAAAAGTGACGGGCTTTTCGAGACCTGAAACGTGGATCCAGCCCTATGCAGGCTAGAAGGCTTACGAATCGATAAGCGTTTCTCGCACCTTTTACCTACGTAGGGCGCGTGCGTTGAGCGTCGGGCGGGAAGGCTGACATGTAGCGCGCTGAAGCCTGTCAGAGTCGCATCGGAACAACGTCAGAAGCGAATCAAACAGAAATCATCTCCATGGCATGCCTCAAGGCAAGGCATATCGCAATTGGCATTGGTTCAACAAAGCATGTCCGATGTTTCGCGGTCAATGCTCTGATGGCAGCCAAGATGGGTACCATGCCCGCGGTAGGGTCCTCGCATGCCAGACGGTGGATAAAGTTTCGTGGCTGTTGGACGTCAGCCTCAGACCAGGTGTGGACCGATCTTACGTGTAGTGCCCATATACCGCATATCGAAGCTGGCAACCTAGTCTGACTTGAGCAAGGCGAAGGATCAATGCCTTCGTACAGTCGGATTGCGCCCCACCTGCTCAGACGTGCAAGACGGAGAGCGCAAGACCAACATGAGCCAGTTGAAGAAGGCTGCAGCCGGTCGAGAATGACGGAGACGTCGTGCTTCCTAGGTGCAGACGATGCCTCTACAGCTGGAATCGAGGCTTGACGAAGCACCAATTGGGTCGTTGAATCGGCGACTCCTCGTAAAGCAAGCAAATTCCTTCGGTCGCTGATTCGCCCAAAACCTCGGCTCCGCTTGGGCCAGCCAAAAAGGCGTCTTCCGGTACTTGGCCGGAGCAAGGCTGAACAAGGAAAAAGACGAGAGCAAAGGGCGGTAGATGCTGATGCCATCTTGCCAGAAGCATCTAGAAGGGATGTACTGATGTCGGGTGATAATGCCATGTGAATTGTCAATGTCTAGGTTCGGTGGTGCGAGATTCGGTCGCGACCGGAACTTCTAAATAGGAAAAGCATGATCCAGCCATGAACCACGACAGCTCGCTCCCCCTAGCAAGCCCGACACCCTCCGCGCTCTTGGACTTGCAGTTCGTCGCGAGGCGGAATGATCCGAGCAGGGTTTTGGCGGCATCCTTCGTTCCTTTTGATTATCTGGCCCAGCTTCACAGGGTTCCATCACTTGATTCGCCATGACACTCAGCAGAAGTCGTTCAGCCTGAGGCAGCAGATCCAATAAGCACCCAGCTCGCCAGCTTGCCGTTTATAGCGTGGCTTGCAGCTCAAGGCTCGCCCACTCATGATGGGAAACGAGGCTGACTGCGCCATTCCAGCCTCGTGCGCACTCCACTGGGCCCAGCGAAAATCGGGATATCTTGCTGCCTGGCCCCCCGCGCTTCCCTGATCGACTTGGAAACACATCACACGTCCCTAGCACCCCAGGATTCCACTTGCCATTCTCTAAACCTGTCGGATTTAGCTGCCGCTAGAGCGATAATACTCGCCCCACCAAGCGAGCCTCCCCAACGTTCGACTGTATCGGACCGCGGGACAGAATCGCACAGAACAACAGTATTCCAGCCTGGCCGGATCCTATCTGAACATTATCAAGTACCGTCAGGTTTATGCCTCCAACAAGAACCAGAGCCAGGATGAAAGAAGATGCGCCGACCAATACCCCTACCGTCACGGATACCAAAGCTAGCGAACCAATAGAGCCAGCTCCAGCCCCGAGGGAAACCATTGTGACAGCACCAAGCGTTGAGACTACGCCTAACACTTCACCGACATTCGAAGCGGGCTCCAAACCTCCATCACGCAGAGTATTGCGACTAAAGTGCCCCGTCTGCTCGGACTATCCCGATGGCTTCCGCAGTGAGCATGAGCTGCGACGTCATACCAACCGCGTCCACAAAAAAGCACGTAAAGTCTGGGTGACCATCGACACTTCACCCGACAAGTCATTCCTGGCCAACTGTAAGGCGTGCCAGACTGGGAAGAGGTACAACGAATGCTACAATGCCGCAAGCCACCTCCGACGCATGCACTTTCACCCTCACAAACGCGGGGAGAGGAAGATGACTGCAGCAGAGGCTCGACGCGGTGGGAAACCTGGCGACCTGGATCCTCCCATGGAGGTCCTCAAAGCCAACTGGCTGCGAGAAGTAGACGAGATAATCGGAGAAGAGAATGAACCTACCGAGGACGACGTTTCCATGTCCTTGTCGCCGACTCAGAGTATGCCCGCGGGGCAACTACAGTCCCTGCCACAGCCGCAGCCTCAAATTACTCCCGTCAAGGCTGAAGCAAAGGCACCGCCGACACCAACTACTCCTTCCACTCGGTCGATGGCGATAGATAGCATAGTTGAGAAGCAGGACGCGGCGTGAACACGAGGCTTGTACTAGATGGCGGGCGAGAGGAACTGGTCAACCGTATTCTCGCACGGCGAGATGGATCATGGATCGTCATATAAAAGCCCGGCAAACATACCCGATCGGACCGTGTCATCTGGCACCACTTGCCTTGCAGATGCAGCGACTGGCTCGCCCGATAGAGTGGGCCGGGGTTCCAGGACCATGTTCGCCCATGGACAAACAGCCATGATGATGGCTTGCGCTACTTTTGATTTCTGAGGTGGAACTCGAGGCGGGAAAATTATTTGGCGTTGGTGGGTTGACGATGCGATATGTCATCAGGCTGTCACTATTTTGACCGCAACGGCATGGTTTTTGGGTAAAGTATTAGATGGCAGCCAGGCTGAAACATGCCATGCACATGCTTGATCAGAAGATTACAAAAGACTGGGTTGTTCTTCGTCGATTTGTGTTGTGAGGTATCCAGTTGTGCATTTGTAGTGGTGAGTGTGATGGACGGGAATGTAGGAAGATGCGGCTGCAAGTAAGGAGAAATTTGACGAGTACAGCAAAATTTGAACCATGTCGATTGCCCGGAGAAGGGGGGGTATGACGAGGTAAAAACTCAACGTGAGGTGCAATTAAGATACATGTCGATCAACGAAGGGGTAGTGGCGGATCGGTACACCCGACTCAAACGGGCTCGTGCGCAATAATCTGGGTGCTGCATCGTGAATCCTTCCAAGCCACCACACCAGTGTTGCAGCAACCACGAGGTACGTCTCTGCCATGTCTGTCATATGCCAGCGTCCGCTTCTGCGCCGAGGCAGGCAGTCTGCATAGCGAAGCTGATGGTCTTGTCTAGCTGCATAATTTTACGTGCGGACGCGGTCGCCTGCTATGCGCTTCGTCGCTTTTCGATAGCCCTAGCCCTATCCTACCCTACCCGCGGAGTCTAACAAGTTGCCATGGCCGTGTCGCCTGCATACCCTGAACGCATCACGATTCGCCGCCGCCGCAAAGAGAGTACTTGTCATTCGCCAAACATACTGTAGAACACAAGGTTAGGCTTAGGACCGCGGCACCCTTGGCAGCAGCCATGTCTCGTCGACCGGTACTCCGTAATTTCGTCAATCTGGGGAGCCTGTACAGCATTCGGCCTTGGAAGTCTGTACCTTCCCTGTATAACTCTGTGAATTTGGGGAGCCTGTACGCCCCCAGCAAACGAAAGGACCCCTCCGGATATGCATACTTTGAGGATGGGTCCGTCTTTATACATCCTCAGGAATGGCTTCCTCACGATGCCTTCGAAGCGCATATGAAGATAGTCGCGCATTTTGTAAGTGGGCCTACACCCAAGATGCAGGCAATTCGCAAACAAGACCCGCATAGGACGCGCCTCGTCATAATCGAGTAAGCCAGATTGCCCACCATTTTTGTCTACATGCTAACGGCAGTATCAGCAGGAACTGGAAACTGAAAAACACATTCCGCATCACGGCCCGCAACGCCCAGGACAACCAAAGAGTATCAGTCGTCGACCAGCCCTTCGAAGACGTTGAATTGACTCTCGACTCCACCAAAAGCCGCCCCATCTCCGCAAGCTTCAACGACGCCCCCTTGTTGGATAAATGGGACAGGTTGCGGAATAGCGAGGCTCTAGAGACGTTTCGGGGTACGCTGATCGATGGCATCTTGCAACCCAACGTTCGCTTGGGGAATGGTCTACACCTGTCGCCTAAACCGCAGATAAAAAAGCCCCTGTTAGCGGAGGAGAAGCAGGCGCGAAACCCCGAGGCCAAAAGACCTCGTGAAGCCGCGGGACTGCCTCCAAAGGCACCAGCGAGGCCCCTTCACTCGCTAGATGTACAGTCTCCGGCGGGTCCACCTCTGCCTTCCAAAGTACACAAACCGAAGCCTCCCCGACAAGCACCACCCCAAGAGCGTGACGTGGAGCTTCGAGAAGCTCAATTGGCACAGAGAGAGCGGGAGCTCATACAACTACAACAAGAACTCTTGCGGCAGACTTTGCGCATTCAGAGTACACTGCCGCGTCAAGACAGGCATTCTCGGTTCTCCCCTCACCATGACACCAACGCAAACAAGCATCGGACACGCGGACCAACCGAAGCGAGTTTTCGTAGCGAGTATGACACAACAGCTGCGGATATAGAGGCAAAGGAAAAGGCGCTCGCGCAACAGGAAATGCTCTTGAGATACAAGCGCAAGGCATGGCTTCTCGAACAGAAGCTTGCTCGGGTTCAGAGTACCGGACGTCCCCAATCTAGGCGCGCAGCTCGTCGATACGGTACGGAAGTTCAGGAACACGACGCGCAGCACTCCCCTGATTACCCATTGGGGAAGGAAAATGTGCCAGATGCGCAGCATGACTACGACGACGTCCCTGTTGCCTTCGATTTGGATCATGCATCGCCAACTGAAGCCCTGGAAACGCTGAGATCTCGCATCCGGCTTCCTACCAGAGGAACGATGCGCTCACGTCGGAACCCACGCTGAATAAGATACTTTGCCTCCACCTCCCCAATGTTCGTGGATATGATGATAACATAGTTTAACAAAACCTATGCCAACGTCACGCCACTTCAGTTATCTAAGAGACGACACTGTACAATAGACACGCCGAATTGAGCATGATTGTACCATACTCGATCAACATACGATACCCTGTACAAACAGCAAATAGATCCAATGACACTAGACTTACGCCTTTTCCATGATATCTCCACGCTCGTTGCTATTTTTGCACATCATGCTCTTCGGAACTTACCTCGCTGTTGGCCTCTGCTTATTATCATGTTTGTAGATCCTTTCGCCTGGAACTTGCCATCATGTTGAGCTGGAAAGACAAAATGGTGTGAGGAGATTCCAATAGTTGCACTTGCACGAATTGATATGGCGGCTTGGTGTCTGGGTGTGCGCTCGATAGCCTGGTACAGTACCCGACCCGAAGGACGATCCAGTTTCATTCCATCGGTCTCACATAACCCTTGTTATGTAGCCAGTCCAGTTGGTACGATAGCCGAGCAAAGAAAATATAGAATATCTGGGCGGCACCACAACCACTTCCCCGAAGAGCCGCGCGGACGACACTGACATGTGAAAGGAGCCGCGAAGAGCAGAAAAGAAAATGGCTAAAGGGTTCTCCAACACAACGGGGTCAAAGTGAATAAATTTACGTTGGACATTTGTTTTCATTCGGATATCTCCATGTGGCCTGACTCTTGGTCCATGGTGTGGTTGATCAAAGGGACAGAAGTAGATGCATGTATGTCTTGATATTGGTTGTTGCTTACTTGGTTCGGGTATCTCGATGCTACCTCTTGGTAGACAGTTTGGTACAACAGGCAGTGCTTGAAGAACAAAGGAGAAAGAAATGAGCGCCATTCCAACGCCTACGCTTTGCTGAGGGAAAAACAGTAGTAGCATACAATAATAATTTTGGAAGTGATGTCTTCATCAAAGTTCGTGTAGGAAAGGTATGCTCCATGCCTGAATCATCATGATCCTCGGCTATAGTCGTCACTCCAGTCTTTCGACCGTGGTCGTCCTGCCTCAAACACCTTGTCCTCAGCCGTCTCCACCTGCACACTTGTCTCCGTGATAATGTTTATGCCATGTCCTGAAACCGTGTTCTTGAGGATCGAGTCTGCTGATCCCGTTCGGGTAGGACTTTCATCTTCGTGTAGCGTGTCTTCATGCCGTGACCGCAATGTATGACTGCGCCCACGGCGGTGATCGACTATTCGCGATAGTCGATTGCTGCCGCCTACTATGGTGACGGTACGTGCAGTAGTCGATGTCAGGGCTTCTTTGCCACTCATGGATTGTAGGCCGTAATGGTCGTCGTCGCCTGGGCGTGCCGCATTGGTGAGCGTTGCGGTGACAGTTCTGTTGTAATTCCCTGTACTCAAATCTCCGGATACCAAGACCCGCCTTGTCAGGGCGTATAAAAGCGCGTCGATCCATCCGCATGATGTGAGAAGACACCCAGCGACAATGAAGAAGAGGTCTGGTGGTTCGGTACCGGTCATCGCTACCATGCGACCCACTGCTATGGGCAACGTGAGTACGACGTATACAAAGGGGTACATGACCATGAATTTCGTCGCGCGTGTGAGCTTGCTAGTGTCGTTTGCGATGATGCTTCGAATGCGGCCGCGTAGGTGGAAGAAGACATGCGCGTAGATGATGATCGTGCCGAACTCGACGATGAAGATCCAGAGGTAATGTAACCAAAGTCTTTCATTTTGGTATTCTCTTGAAACCCAACACTGGCTGAAGTCAGCTCCGTATTGTTTGTTAGTGGAAGAGAGCATACCCATGCTGCAGCGCGAGCGAAATATCGCTCCTGGTACATAGCCGGTCCAAGTAACGTAAGGATCAACGAGAAGAGCCAAATCGAGAGGATTGATACCACAAACCACCTGTACGGCATTTTGTATCCTTTGACCACGCCCAACCAAGTATGTATCGCAATTGCGAGAACGAAGAAGCCACTTGCGACATCTCTAGACGATAGCATCGAGAGTTAGTGCATGTTTCACATATCTTGTGCGTGAGAATACTGACCCAATCTGTAAAAACCACGCTTGGAGGAAGCATGCGCCGGTCGGTGCTACGATCTTATTGATTCGGAGCCAGTGGAACGATATAGAGAATGCGACAGACTGTTGTAGGTCGGCGATTAAGAGGTTGTAAATGAGAATAACATATTGGTTGTATCCGACGTATTGCCTGTAGTGTCTTCGCCACGAAATCATCCGCTGTGTAATGAATCCCAGTAAGGCCGTGACTGATATTAAGCTCATTGTGGCGCAAATAGCGAGTGGAATTAGCCCCGCCCTATAGAGGGGGGTGAGCGGGTCCATACTGTGCGGAGCGTCAAAGTATCGTTTTTCGAGAGAGCGTTCAAGTAGAACAGAGGTTATATCGGTCATGTCGAAGGGCGCCATAGTTGTAATGGAGGGTCGAAACCGAGTATCAAGCGGCCCGATAGGATGTGCGGAAGTACTTGTGCTCTCAACGCATCAAGGTACCATGGTTGGTATAGCGAAGGGGGGGGTCGAATCTGTTCGCGACGAAACCGTCTCGCTCTCGTGCCCTCTGGAGGTCCGGTCGCGGTTCCACAGTCTGCCGATTTGCAGTCAGGGAGCCACTATGCAACTCTCGTGTGTTGATTGATCAATCGGGTCGGAGATAACTGGTGATTTGGAGTTTAGCTTGTTGTATACACAAAAGAGTGATCAACACTAGAGGTATTCTCCGCAAAAGTGATCCACAGGTTGGGGTATGCGCAAAGGATATAGGAAATAATGGCAATAGATGCCAGAACTAGCTGGGGTGGAGTAGCACGCCTGATATGGGTAGAACACTTGAAAGGAAGGAGATCGTCCAACTGATTTCTGTGTCAGGCCAGGCGGATATGCAGGTCCACCAGACGCGGCATGTTGGACGGCGTGGACGGGTCCTAGACGATCGCCTAAGCTTTCCAGCACGCTACAGTTGCAGGGTTAACGAGTGTAAAGTTCGGCATGTGCCAATATACCCGTCCCCTGTCTATCAGCCAGCGTATTACCAACCGAGCGGATGCTCAATATTGAGTGGAGGTACTCGTCTGATACGGGGAAAAGACTCGAGAAGCGGGTTGTACTCAGCCCTCCTGGGTGAGCTCCACTGCTTCAACGTAGACAGGCTGGGCGCTCCCTGTCGGCAGGAAGAGTAAACTTTGGGGACATGGGAATGCTGTCGCGTGTGAGTTTCAAGCGGTACAGGACGGAAAAGAACAACAGCCCGCCACCACGTGGAGCACGCCCCTGTCGTGCCTCCGAATGGTCATCAGGGCCAGCAATGCCTGCACAGGGGCCAGCAGCGACAGCCATTCACGGTGCCTAACCGCGTTGCCAGCCGTGGTCTCGCCGTGCTGATGTGCGTTCGTAAATCTTGCGCAATTTGTTCCTTGAACGCCATGGTTGGTCTTTGATGAGGCGTTCGCCTCTACAGACTACGCCGCAGCTTGTTCGGTCCGGATTCCTTTTCGACGAGTCGTCCAACCTCAGCTGCGTCAACCCAACATTGGCGTCTTCTTTTTGCCGCGGACAGTTGCGGGGGAGGGTCTTGTACAATTAGGCGACTGTGGAGGATGCGACGCTAGACGGATGACCACTAACCACTTACGCTCTTAGCGGCTACTAGCTAAGGGGTTGATTGTTGGAGAAAAGTCCACCCCTGGACGTTGCGCGGCCCGAACTGACATATCTCCCCTCGCGCTGCCCGGTGGGTACATTTGACACACCATTATTCAAACCAGTTGTCTAAGTCCATGAGTCGCGCGGATACTGGCTGCCGCCACCACCAGAGTACTAGAACTGCCGTGACTGATCCAACACGGACGACGGGAGAAATGTCAGAAACTTGCGCCATCCCGAAAACCAGGCTCCATGGCTGAGATGGTCGAAGCGTTGAGTGTGCGTTCGCATGTCTAATCGCCCATCTTCGAATCGGTGCCACAACACGCCAATGCTCTGTAATTGTTGGTTATGATAAGATGGGAACTGGTACATGAACCGTCTTGGTGTGTTCCAGAAGCTTCTGATCATGATGCAACGCTGCGCCGCCAAACCACCTATTGCTGGAAGATGGTGGACCAGTAACTCCTCCTACTCTTCTCTCGCCACGTGCAATTGTTTTGCATTGGTGAAACGGCGTTCCTGCATAGAACGCCCTCGGTGCGCATGACACCGATGTCCATGTGCAGAAGTAGCACCGTCATCGTTGCGTATACAGGTTCCGTATTCCGCTTCCACTACCAAGACGTATAAATGGCAAAGACGACAGGGATTATATTGGTGGACAGGTCCTCGGGTTATCATGCAGCGCACCTGAGGTCCGGTTTGAGGTTCGCCATCTGCAAACCTGGTCTGCAGTAGCATGGTCAGTCGATAGTACCCCAGACTTGGCTTCCCCCATACCAAGGATTGCATGAAGGTAAGGGCCGTACCTGAAGGCACAACCGAGCTCCGCTCTGTATCTGGCGCTGGAACCAGATGACCCGTAGGGCCGGTAGTAATTTAATATAATTGAGGTCGAGACCAAGGGAACCCATAAGGTACACGCACGAGGTACCCTGAGTTTACCCCGCAAGCCGAGCAACAGCGTGGCCGTCTCCCTCCTTGGACCTGGTATGTCATAAGCGATGCGCGAAACTTGGATGTCTGCAACGCGTCCCGCCTGTCACTTCCCAAGCACGAACCGTTACCAGATCGCGGCTATACTGACGCCACTTAAGGCAGTCGCGTTTTGTCTGTTCCTATGACCGAATTAGCCTGCGGCTTCGATACGCGAGCGGAACAGCTGACCGCATCAAGCCATCAACTAATCGAGAGCGAAGGCACTCGACACAACGAAGTGACTTGTCCGCCTTGTCGTAGGTTTGACTCAGCAACGATTGGCGAGGCCGAAGTACCTCCAGTGACCAACAGGGTGGCACAATATTAGCCGGTCAGCCAATCTCTCATCCAAGATTCATTCGTATCTGCAAGCCGCCCCAACGACCTTTGCGACAGCTCTAGATACAACGGCTGTGAACCAAGATCTGGCATAGCGCCAAATGGCCTGCTTATAGCCGTCATGCACCTCCAAATATGAGACCATTGTGAAGGACATCTGTTGGTGTTTTTCCTGGTCCTCCACATTCCGTCTGGGCCACGATCGAGATTCGGAGCATGGAAGCGAGAAAATTTGAGCGGTGGCTACTTGTTTGAAACCGTATGGGAGTATACACACGACCCGCGAGTCTAGCTTCAGACGCGATCGTTCTCTATTACCTCGATATCCCGGATGTAGTCAAGAGTTTCTCATCAGTGGCGCTCCTCATCACTGTCCGGTGACCGCAACTAACGCCATTATTTTAATATCATGCGATAATGAGACAGTTGGTAGTTGGCCGAGCTGTATTGGCTATATGTTCTTCTTGTTCTACACTATAGGTGTGAATATCAGGCCCAGACGATTTTAGATACGACTATCCTGCTACTCGCATCCAGACGCACTCTCAGTATCAGTCACAACGTGTCCATCGCCAATAACTCACTTTTTAGGATCTTGCTGCACTCCAATTGCGGAGAAATCGTTCGTGTAGCAATCGCCCTTGCTCACAGTTCCCACGTAATTCGCAAGGTCGGCATAGAGCTCGCAGAGGGTCAGCTTGGGCTCAGAACGTTACATAGGAAACAGCTTGCAACTACAGGTACCCTCTGATTCAGCCATGCCCGGATCTTCAGCGATATAGTTGAAGTAAGCTTCAATCAGGTCTGCTGTAGTGTTGCGGCGCACAATCTGCACTGTGGTGGCGTCGTCTAAACGAATATCCGCGCACGCGAGGTAGATCATGCGATTCAATGCATATAGTCCTTTCTCGCCCAGATCCCACTGGTCAGATGTTTACTACTACCGACGCTGTGGAAATGTACAGGACATCGGTGTGAAATGTTTGACGTTGTCACAGTAGTCTGTAGCCAATGCATGATGTCCAACGTAAGTATGAGGACAGTGATCTAGGTTCAGTAAGATTTGTGCTTGCAGTGTGTGTCTGGAGGTGGAACGGAAGCTTGAGCCACTCATTGGAGCATCACCGCGATATGTTACTGATACATGCACATATTACCGCCTGAGGGTCGCTGTTGGAAGTCTTTTCCCCAAGGCTCCTGAACCCGCTGCTCTTTACGCCGGAACAGCATATGAACAACAATTTGTACCTGTCAAATGCACTTTGTCACGCTGCCAGAATGTTATGCTTATGCCATCCTACGCAGAGCCTGTGGCGGATTGTATGAAAAACATATTTCTGTTGAGCTTCGTGTTGTATATCGCATGTTTGTTAGAGCACCTAAACAAACAGCACCTGGGCATCATGCAGTTGTGGTGCAAATAGCGAAGACTGAACAAGTTTTGTAGTTGTAGTAAGTATCATCGAATGGCTCAACGGTCGGTGGCGCCTTCTCATGGGTAGGGCTGGATATAGACCAACGCTAACCGCATGCGGTAGCGTGTTTTGAAGCTGTTTGGCCGCGGCCTTTGAGCCCAACTGCGACCGCATTGAACGACATCATACCTACCAGCGCGCCTGTCTTCTTAGTAATGTATAATCCACGGACTGTATGAAACGTCATGCATGCGAACAACCATCCCGGCCCTACGAAAATGGCAACAAAAGACGAGACGACGCGCACACGCACCGATCGAATTAAGGCCGATTTACGGTCAATCTCAACATGCACAAACGCCACAGCGACTGCGCTCCAGGACTTGCTGTCAAGAAAAGCGGAAGATGCGCCACAAAAGGAGAATGTCAGAGCAAAAGCTGTGCCCGCCGCACGGAGGAGAGGCGCGACAGCCACAGGTGCAGCGTCAGCGGATATGGGGAAGCAGAAGAACTCGAACCTTGGGCCCAAGGAGAAGTACATACTAGCGACTGAGGTTGCCAACACGACCCTCCAGACGCTTGCAGATGCGCTGAAGAATCCACCGCACGCGACTGCCGCCCGTCCCCCTACCAAGTCGAAGCCAACCGCCGCCGAAGATGCGCGCAAGCCTGCACGACCGCGACTCGGTCAGACAACGAGCTCCTCGGCATCACAAAAGCCTCTCAGGGAACGATCCGTCTCGCAAATCAACAACTCGCCCCAAAAACGCGTCCCTCGGCGGTCGTCTTCTTATTCTTCCTTCCTCGCCCCAGGTCCCGACCCTGGCCTGCTCGCAACAGCTGAATGCGCAAGAACCGCGTTTGCGTACTTGGGGACGCCAGAGGCACAGAAGGTCTTGGGCAAGGACTCGCAAGAACTACAGTACGAGAATGGTGTGCTCGTGCTTATCGGAAAGCTCGTCGCACTTGGCTTAGACAATATGGCAGTCAAGGAATTAAGAGGGTTGAAGAAGAAGCTGGAAAGATATCTCGGGCAGGATGCGGGCAAAGACGAGGTCAAGTCTGGCCTGCACCAGCAGGGACTTGCAGAGAAAGAGAGCCTTGCGTTCCTTCTCGACTTCGCGGCAATCGACCCGAAGAGCCCTGCTATCCCGCTAGTAGCAAACTTCCAGATGTATACTTTGCGCATTATTGCAAAGCTGAGGAGGCCTCGGACTGTTGAAGCCACTTGGGCATATCTCAAGTTGACCAACCCTTCATCACCTGCGAACCTACTCTTTCACACTGCCAAGACCCCGAACGGCCAGGCCAAGGCGGCAAGACAACTGGAGTCGTTGGCGCAGACTGTGCTCTCCCTATGTCCAAGTATATCGACATCCGAAGATGCGAACAATCTACAACCATCTGCCGAGACCGTACTTCTGTTACAGCACCTGGCGTTCAGCGTTCGAAAGAAATGGTGGAGTCTGGTCAAGCACCAAGGCAGTGCGGATAGAGAGCTTTCAGAACCATTCACCAAATGCGTAGTTGCTTTCGCCCGCAGATCACTACTCAACCCAAGTAAGAAGTACAAACTCGCTGAGACATTGTACATTGATTTGGCTGGGTTCCCGGGCGAGTCTGCTCCGCAAGCAGCAGCCAACAAGACCCTGTCCTCTCTTGCTCAAGCTGCGGGCCTGTCTGACCAGGCCCTTCGATGGCTGGGCTCCTCAAAAGACACTGCGGACTCCAATTCGTCCGCAGCAAAGCAAACAACACGTGCGATACGCGTTGCCACAATCAATCTTGAGGCTCATGTGAAAGGCGAGAAGAAACCGGATTTGGACGAGACCATTACTACCGCACTTCAGATCTTGGATGGCGCTCTAGGTGGTTCAGTGTCTGATTTGGAAACTTTGTTTGCTGAAGTGAATGCACTGCGACGCGCTGCGACACGGTTACTAGTCACAAGCATGTCAAAAACCACAGCTAGTTCTGAGAGCAATCCTACCGAACAGCATGCTGTACCCATCATTGCAGCCAGTGTACGTTTCTTTGCCAGATTTCTCGGGGCTACATCGTCAGGTGAAACAGACGCAAAATCGCAAACCCGAAAACAGGAGCGAGTACTTCTAGCATGGAAATATGCCAAGAGTACGGTCGACTCTCTGATGGCATGTTGCAAGAGAACGACAAAGACTCAAGATCAATGGAAAGAACTGGATACTATCCTCCAAGAATGCTCACACATCATACGTCGATTCGAAGAAGAGATCGGACAAGGCACACTTCCTAGAGAAGAGAACATCTCTCTTGTGGGCACGTATATGGTCAAGCTATCAAATGCGTACTGGTCTTTGTATCTGCAGTTGCGAAAAGCGCATTGCAATCCCGAAGCCCTTGTTGTAGCCATGGAACGCTCAATCGACCTTGTGCAATCTCGTTCGTCACCTGAGAGAGAAAGTGGACTCCTCTCAATGAAGCTGGAAAACTGGGGAGAGGCCTTAGAGGATCTGAACCGTACCGAAAGCTCTCGCAACGCTTTTCGGCAATGCATTCAAAGCCACCTCACTGTCAATATGTTGCAGCAGCTCTCCGAGAAGACGTCAACATCCTCCTTGCACAATGTGTTCGAAAGCGAGGGGCCATTCGGTGCCCTCGTTCGCGTAATGAAGACACTTCATCACTCCTTCGTCACGTCTGGTCTTCAGAATTTAGACGAACTCGCCTTCTATGACGATGACGAGCTAGAACCAGGAACTAGGGGAGCCATCCTAGAGTTGCAGCTTGGCTTTTACTTACGAACTCTGACCAAGAACCGACAGTGGGACTCTAGTCTTGACCAGTCGATACGTATTCTGGTGGAACGATTGCAACAGCTTTATGTACCAAGCGTGTATCCCGTTCGACGTCTTCGACTCTGTATCACACTTCTTCAGCTTTATCAACAAAACCCGCAAATATTGTCTGAAGAACTGACATCGCTTAACGCCACAGATGACGACGAGATACAGAATGTAAGTAGTAAAGATGAAGCATTAAGACGATACGAGGTTCATCTTAAAGCGCTTCGCGACCTCAAAGCTTCGATGGAACAGTCATCTTCTACCACAACAACCTTCCAGCAGTGCTTCACAACGTGGGAGTCACTCGTTGGGTCAATGTCTTCGTGGGAGGCGCTCACAGATTGTGTCGAGAATACCGAATCCTGGCTACAAGATCTGCAAGCATGCCTTGAGTATCTCAACGCGAAAGGCGAAGAGTATCTTGCGTTGCCTCTCCTACATCTTTTGGTCAAAATTTTGGAGCTCCAAGACGGTTCTGATGCATCCGAGCGCATCGCCGTTTTGTGTGCCCTCGGCCTGCAATTTCTTCACCTTGGATATACCGGCAAAGCAGGGTTGTCTTTGGCGAAGGCTGAAGCGTTGCTCGAACGTCCGACATCATCTGTAGAAGCCAAGCTGCAATGGCATATGGCATACGCTGAATATCTTGTGAGTACCGGGAACACCACAAAATGGTATGTAACGAACTATATCATCTTGACAGCATCACACTAATAATATATAGTCTGACTACGATGGCGGATGCTCAATCTCTTGCGCTCAACGATCGTCAGTTCATGGATCTCGCAAAACCTACAACTACGCTTTCTGGCAGATTGCGATTTAACAAGATAGTGGCGGCTGCCGCTTATGTGCAGTCGCTTCTTGCCACAGCTACTGGGTCATTCAAGACAGCAGCTCGGCATGCGAGGCAGTGCGTTACAATCAATCGTCGCATATGGGCCGCGCTCGAATCACGGGCCAGTGCGAAAAGGACGACACCCTCGGAGAATGCAGAATCCATGGCGCCTCTTGTCATGTCCGTGACACATGATGCTCTCAATGGACCTGAATTCTGGTGCCTGGTTCCTGCGTTGTATCGGGCACTAATGCAGCAATCTCAGATCTTCGCCCACCAAGGCCTATTACATGAAGCAATCCATGTTGCTGAACAGGCTGAAAAGGTGGCTGCAGCCACACAATCTGCGACTTTGATCACAGACAACGCCAGCTGGCGCGCTGACTGTTGGGCGCAGAGTGGCAGACCTGACAAGGCCGAAACCATTCTCAAGTCTCTGAGTCCCGATCTTTCCCGAAAGTGTCTCTCAACGGCAGGTTATCATTCGGCCGTAGCCAGGATACATCACTGGAACGGTCAATATGAACAGGAGATACAGTCGTACGACTGCATGGAGAAACTACTTAAGGACCTGAGTTCGCCATCGTACATCAAGACTCTGGAGACTTTTTCTACCTCCGTCGATGCGCTTGCTAATCGTGTCTCATCTATGACCCTAGAGGCCACGGAGAATGTCAAGAAACCAGCCACAAGAGGTCGCAAACCTGCAGTGAAAGCTGTACCGAGAGCGGCTTCCAAGTCTACCGCTAACGCTCGCGCCAAGGCCACAGAAGTAGCTGCAAAGCCTGTTCCAAGAACGAAACGCCAAGTAGGAAAGCCCACTGTTTTGGAGACGACTAGTCTCACCGAAGAGTGCTCTGCGCTGTTCGTGTTCCAAGCGAGCATGAGAGACCGAGCTGTCCTTGCGAACCTCCTCCACGATGATCTCGCAAAAGCTCTGAGTATACTTGGTGAAGCGGAACAGCTTCAAACTGGACTAAGCCAGGAAGTGTCGCACATGTGGGCTATCTTCAAAGCGAAACTCGCACAGAGTGCGAAGCAGATTGCTGAAGACTTTACTGTCAACACACTCCCTGAGTCGACCATTGCCTTTCCTGCTTTTGGTCTCGACGCAGCAACCGCCAAGAAGGGTGCTCTGGCTACTTCGATTGCTACCAAAGGTGGCCGGGCGAAGAAACAAATTAAGGTGGACTTCATGGACACGCTTCGTGATGCACGTGCGCGACTCGTCGAAGCACACTCCCTGTGTGCTACTAATGGGTCCAATCATCTGTTCCGTCAAACCTCCATGGCGCTCGGTCATGTCACTGTGTTGATGTCGGCTGTCTTAGGAACAGAGCTGCCAGGCTCGCTCCACCCATTATACGCAGCTTACATGAGCGAACTTCCAAAAGTAAATGCCTTGCGGCTTGTGCAGGAGTCGACAGAGGCGGAGAAGGAGCAGCTCTCACGCGATGATTGTCTGAGATGGCCAACTTCTGATTCGTCGCATTTTGCCTTCAGCTCAGTATCCAGTTTCCAGGAAGAATATGTTGACATCATTCCAGAAACGTGGTCTGCTGTATCGCTGGCGCTTAGTGAGGCACGCGATGAGCTATTCATCACCCGATTTGAGAGTGGTTTATCTCCGTTCGTATTACGTTTGCCACTTGCCCGTCACGCTTCCCGCGAGATGGACGAAGAAGAGTTTTCTTTCGAGGATGGCAAGAGAGATTTTGATGAAATTGTCGAGCTCAGTGACTTCAGTACTCGATCCGCCAAGGACATGACTTCTAGGGAAGCGAGACACCAGTGGTGGGCTGAACGCGAAGCTCTCGACACCCGGCTTCGCGAACTTCTTGTCAACATGGAAAACATCTGGCTTGGTGGTTTCAAAGGTATCTTCTCACAACACGAAAGACAGCCAGCTCTTCTTGCTCAATTCCGAAAATCACTGGAGGATATACTCAACGAACACTTGCCATCTCGCAGGAAGAAGAGTAACCAAAAGCGACCAGTGCTGGATACACGAGTGCTGGAGTTGTTTATTGGACTGGGCGACGCTACTAATGACGACCTCGATCTTGATGAAGCGCTAATGGACCTCATATACTTTGTGGTGGACATCCTCCAATTCAACGGCGAGCGTAATGCATACGACGAGCTCGACTTTGACGCCATGGTCGTGGAGACGCATGAAGCATTACGCGCCTACCACACAGCGTCACAAAAACTTGATGTTACCTCTCGCCATACGATACTTATTTTGGACAACAACTTGCATGCCTTCCCATGGGAATCGCTGCCTTGCCTAGAACAGCTTTCTATCTCGCGACTACCCTCACTTGCCGCCCTTCGAGAGCGAATACTTTCTGCACGATCTTCAGCAACCCAGCAGGATGCTGCTCCGGGCCATTACATTTCTACAAGCACTGGAGGTACGAGCATGCTAAATCCGTCGGGAGATTTGGCGCATACCTCGAAAACCATCAAGCCACGTCTAGACGAACTTACAGGTTTTTGGAATCACATCGCCAATCGCCCACCGTCGGAAGTGGAGTTTGAAGATTCGTTGCGAAACAAAGACCTAGTTTTGTACTTCGGTCACGGCAGCGGTGCGCAATATGTCAAGTCGAAATCAGTGCGACGTCTCTATCCCGGCGAACAGAATGAAGGAGAACGAAAACCAGGCTGCGCGACCACACTCCTCTTTGGCTGCTCGTCTGTACATCTTACAGAGAACGGAATTTTTGAACCTTCGGGTATGCTCGCTTCGTATCTCACCGCTGGCGCACCAGCAGTACTTGGCATGTTGTGGGACGTCACTGACAAAGACTGCGATCGCTTTGCCGTTAAAGCAGGTGAATTATGGGGATTGTGGCCCGAGGCGCAAGAAGACGTGTTGCCATCCAAGACGTCTACGAAGACTCCTGCAAAGAAGAGCAAGGGCAAGAGTCGAGTTGCGCAGTTGGTGGACGAGGTAGAGGGTGCAAGGGCCGCGGAGAGCGCAAAGAAGGGAAAGAAGTCTGTGAAACTTTCAGATGATCATCTGGATTTGGAAGGCAATTCGCAGAGGGGGGTTGGATTAGATGAAGCGGTGCGGGATGCGAGAAAGGCTTGTTATTTGCGGTACTTGAATGGGGCTGCTGCTGTGGTATACGGAATACCGGTATATTTGGACTAGTGTAGCGAGGTAGAATGAGGCCACTACAAAACAGAGCAACGAATAATGTACGCAAGACTTTCATGTTTTGATAAGCACATAAACAGGTCCTTCCGGTTCGGTCCTGATCTGTAAACCTTATTATGACGCGCGGCTGCTGCTCTACGGAAGCAACTCCGATGGTGTTATGACGGGACGAGGCCACGGTCTCAGTCAGCGGAAGCGACAGAATCGGTCTTCGCATCCTCGGAACTCCACATTCTCCAGCGCGTCAATACGTCCGCTACAGTTTCCGATCTTGTTCGCAACGACTTCGAAAGCAATGGCCGAACGACCCGCCAAGTCAGGGTCATCTCGAAAGCGTGCGCTCGTGAGCTGCGACCGCTGCAAAATTCGACGGGCACGGTGCATTCGCGAGAATGCCGACGTGCCTTGTGCGGACTGCAAGGCAAATGGCGTGGTTTGTGAATCCAAGCTACCACGTAAACAGAGAGTGTATGGGAGTGTGGAGACGCTCAGCCTGCGCTACAGAGCTCTTGAGTCGCTAGTCAAAGGGCTTTTTCCGGATGAGAATGTTCAGGACACAGAGACCCTGTTCAAGATCGCCACGGCAAGCAACATAGCAATGCCAGCGAGCGACGACTATACACCTGCAGATATCTTCAACAATAGCAGTAGCGACAGACAGGCTTCTTCTTCAGAACAGCAACAAAAGCAGCAGCAGCAGCATCAGTCTTTGCAAACATCACCCATTGCTCAGTCCCCATACTTGGACCCACACACTACTACATATCCCCTGCACACTGCTCACCGCACATCTTCCTTGTCTACAAGCAAAGAGCGCCTACGCCAGCCTGCTTCCGTAACCCAACAAGTATCTTCCCAGGCAGAAGAGGTCATTCGCACAAATCGAGGCGTCTCGCATTATTTCGGTCCTTCCAGTAGCTTTCGGCTTGCAACGACTATACGAGCACTTGCGTCCCGCTGGAAGGTCGTCTCTGGTGCAGACTTTCCTGGACTCCGGTCATTCACATCAAATCCCTCAAGTCGATCAGGATCAGCGCTGAAACGCAGCAGCACAAATCCTTCGGAAGACGAATTTGCTATACCCACATCGAGCCAGCGTCCCAACTCGAGCCATGGAAGTCGGAAGAGATCCAGAACTGAGATGGAGGCATCGAATGATCCGTCGCAACTTCAAGATAGTACTTCACGTCTAGATACAATTGGTGATTTGATTCCCCCAAAACACATCACTGACGCTTTAGTAGCGGTCTATTTTGATCAGATTCATATGTACTTTCCCCTGTTCAATAGAACCGTGTTTCAGATGCGACTGGAAACTACATACTCGCGAAAGGGCGACTTCATTGACGAATGTAAGGACATGGGATGGCTAATTTCACTGGCTTTGGTCCTGTCTTTCGGTTGCCAGCAATCAAGAGCAAATGATGTCGACCAAATGCAAGCGCTCCGCCACAAGCTTGTTGTTTTCGCCAAAACCTACTTCCGTGTACTTTTGACGGCGACGCAATTGGACAACGTTCAGGCACTTGTCCTTCTCAACATGCACCATCACAACGTTGGACAAAAGAGCAGTTCGTGGTTACTGATTGGTCTTGCTGCACGCATGGTATGTTACTTGCTGCACACGCTTCCGGTCCTCTGCTAACGCTTGATGCTAGGCAATCACCATGGGAATGCATCGCGATAGCTCGAATCTACAATTTGAACCCATCGAATGCAACGTGCGCCGGCAAGTCTGGTGGTCCATTTACATATTTGAGAAGATACTGTGTGGTATATTGGGTCGTCCTACGGGGATTGACGACAGAGAGGTAGCGATGAAGGTTCCCGACGCACCAATGCTCGAGCAAACGCGCATCACCGCAGTTTTCATGAACCTCTGCTCCGACCTCGTGTCTTTGTCGTACCGTATCCGACAACGTGCATACTTCGACAAGACCTCGTCCGAAGAGCGATCGCCGACGCTGGCTGTTGCCATGACCCTACTCCGCGAATGCGACAATTTCTACGCGAACATCCCTCTACATATGTCCCTTGATCAAGCCCCAGGAGGTACAGACTCGAAAGCAATGATTCTGTTGCTGCACATGTACTACTATTATACACGCTGTGTCATCTCCCGAGACTTTCTCATACAAAAGGTCGAGAGCAACGTCTGCTTTCTAGAGAACAAAGCGTTACCGGCTTCTGAGGATTGGCCATCGACTCTAATACTTGCGGAAGACTGTGTTGACTCGGTGCACAAGAGTCTCCAGTGCATCACAATTGGGATAGATCTTGGTATCTTCGAGATCATGGGCTACTCATGGTTAGACTTTTTCTTTGTATTCCATGCCGTCTTAATAGTATGCGCAGACTTCCTCGCTCGACCCAAAGGTCAAACAGATTCACCCAGAGACATCGAGCGCAAAGCGACGGTGTGCACCGTCCTCGAGCAGGTCCGTGGAATGCAGCAAAAGCTCCCATCCACATACAAAACCTTGGGTCAAATTGCGCTGCAGTTCGCAGGGATAACCGGTGTCACCCAAAACAGTGGTTCACCAACGATACAAGACGCACCAGCCGATGCGTCTCTAGAATCTGTTGTGGATATGGCACATGAGGAAAGCAACGACCAAGTCGGCATGCTTGACATAGGAGGCGATTGGTACACGGATGCGACAGCAGATCTAGGTTTAGATTTCTTCGACCTGGGCCAAGCGACGCATCCGGTGACATTCCCTATCATGGATCCTCCAACACGTTCTGAGAACGCGGGCGATCCGACGGGTGACGTTATAGATGATTGGACGGACAGGGCGCTAAAGGGGATGCACACCCTTTAGACGCGATATCACGCGTTGAAGTCCAAGTAAATTGTATGAAAACATTTATCTTGCCGTCATAAAGTGTCCTTGAAGCGTGGATGACATCATCACCTAGCGTGGTGTTTGTGTTGAACTAGCGCTTGGCGATGCACGATCGTCCGATAGCCGCAGCCAGTCAAGATCGGCCCAAACCTCTTTGGGATTTCATGACGCATTTGTTCACAGTTGGTGTCGTTACAGCTGCAGACAAATACAGGTCGGCGGTAGCTCGCATGGTCGCAGCATGTCGCATAAGTGCTGAGATCTCGTTTCGATGCCACACTCACACGATACAGAGCCTATTCTACCAACTACGAATATGGCAGGCGGCAACAACAGAAATGGAAAGAAGAAGGTGCTTGTTGTGGGAGCCGGCGCCGCTGGTACGTTGAACGCGTCTTTCGAGATCTATGGTTTCTAATTCGAAGCAGGAATGTCAGCCGCTCACCACCTTTCTGAACATCCCGACAAATTTGACGTTACCCTCATCGACGCAGTAGATTACTGTGGGGGTCAGGCGTTTTCTATTGGAGTCGATAAGGAGCGCCATGGAGCTGACTGGCTGAACCAAGGTGTTCAAGGTGGAAGCTACATTTTCCATCACACCATGACAATGTTTGCGAGACAAGGCCATCATGCTGATCCCGTGAACCTTCAAGTCTCCTTTGGCAAGGACGATATCTTCTGGACTAATGTCTTCCCGACCGAGCTTCTTGCGCGCCATCAGAAGGAGATCAAGAAGTTTCACACCATGCTCAAGATTGTTCGATGGTTCGAGCTTTTCTTCGCGTTAATCCCCATCAAGATTCTTTTTAAAATGTTCTGGTTTTCCGAAGAGTTCACCAACACTGTCGCCATGCCCATGATCGCGCTTTTCCTGGGAACCGGAAATGAGACACCAAACGTACCTAGCATCATTCTCGAAAGGCTGGTTACTAGTCCAACATACGGAATGTGGTATCCAGGAGACAAGCATAGCGTTGCTAGCAACTTGCCGCCCATGGTGGTTTTTCCCAAGTTCAGCGAATTCTACGAGCGCTGGCGACAGGATCTGCTTAAGCGTGGCGTCAACGTCAGACTATCAACAGAAATTACACGGGTAATGAAGCGAGACAAGACTGGCGTCACCGTAAGGCTGATCAAGCGCACCCCAATGCCTGATGCGCATAACCCTAATAGTGCCAACGTGCCTTACGACAATGACCATAACGCCGATTCAAACGCGCAAGAGAAGGAAGAGCACTTTGACGAATTGATTCTCTGCGTGCTCGCCGACACAGCAAAACGTATCCTAGAACCCACTGCCTCCTTCCGCGAGAAGAAGGTCCTCGGTTCCGCCAAGTTCTCTGACGACATCACCGTCACCCATTGGGACAGTGACTATATGCATAAGCACTATGAGAACTTTTACGACCCAGACAAGGCCGTCACGAAGCTCTCTGACATCGATCAAACTGCGCGTAACACTATGGCCGAGAAATCCTTCAAGCCGATGTACTACATCAAAATGTACCCCCAGGATCGATCAAAACTTGAAATGTGCTTTGATTGCACAAATTACCAGAGTCAGTTTCCACCGGAGGTTCCCTTTGACAAGCACATCTTCCAGACTATTTACTTGAATAAGGAACGAGACGGCCATCTCTGGAGTATCGACGAGATCAACAAGGACAAAATCATTCGCAAGGATTGGTGGCACCAGCTGTGCCATTCCTGGACGCATTACGTTTTCGTCGTCCCATGGATGTGGCTTCTACAGGGCCGAAAGCACACTCGGTTTGCAGCGGCATGGACACTCATCAACGCCCATGAGGTTGCGGTTATGAGCGGAATTGCTGCGGCTGTTGATCTGGGTGCGCAGTACCCTGCTGATCTCGAGCGCGACAAGTTTGCTTTCTTGAGCTTCAGGCTATACTACCTATTGGCATACGGAAAGTGGTATAGCCGAAAGGCGACAAAGAAGACGAAGGAGGGACCGGGCAAGGACTGGGCAAGTGGTCTTTACGGTAGCGTCTACCGTGGTCCAGGTGTAAGCGATATTGACAGACTACAATGGAGGAAAGAGAACAACATACAGGATGCGCCGATCAAGTACGGTTTCCCTTCTGACAGTGGAAAGCGATAGGCTGCGAGTGGAGAAGGCTGAGGACGACGAATGAAGTCTCGGAGGTATACATAGGGACGACGCAGTTACACCGAACATAATCTTTAATGCGCACTACAGATATGTAATTGGTTCTTCTGTGCATGTACTAGCCCAACTTAGATATCTGGAGAATACATATCTTACGAGTAACGCCCGGCTGACCACGAACCGTTAACTCCAAACTCCGTTGTCAAACTCCGCCAAGTCCCTGCAGATCAGTGTCCACCGAACTCCACATCTCCACATAAAAGGTAAGCATGATGTCGTTGCTGGAAGTATAAGTACTCCACCTTGACAACATCTTATATATAAGACTTGATACCAGAAACAAGCCCGTTACCGTTCTCACCCAATATGTCTTCCAAAACGCCCCTCGACGTCGTCTTCGGCTGTATGACCTTTGGCCGCGAAGGCGAAGAACAAGTCCGTACTTCAAGTCTGGATGACTGCGCGGCTATCCTAGATACTTTCCAGTCTTACGGCCATAGCGAAGTCGATACCAGTCGTTTCTATGGAGTAAGCACACGCACCCTCTTAGCCCTATTCGCTAACGCCACTAGGATGGTTCATCAGAAGAGTACCTCCAGAAGCTAGACTGGCAGAAAAGAGGCCTGACAATGGACACAAAGTTCTTCCCTAATGTCCCGGGTCTTTTTGGTCGTCCTCAAACACACTCCAGATTAGAGGATATGCGCAAGAGCTTAGAAGAGAGTCTGACTGCTCTTGGAGGAAAGCAGGTAGATCTGTGGTATCTCCATGCACCTGATCGTACAGTACCACTTGAGGAGACGGCCAAAGCCGTCAACTACCTGCTCAGAGAGGGGAAATTCAAGAGATGGGGCGTGAGTAACTTCATGTCTTGGGAAGGTATGTTACATATTCTTCTCTTGTGATTCCCTACGCAGGCACATTGCTGATACTTTCCCATCAACAGTGGCTGCACTCTGTGAAATTTGCAAAGCAAACGGATACCAATTGCCCAGTGTATACCAAGGCGTGTACAATGCTCTCCACCGCAGTATTGAACACGAACTTCTCCCTTGTTTGCGAAGATACAACATGTCCTTCTACGCGTTCAATCCGCTAGCAGGCGGATGGTTAACTTCGCGTTACAAGCGCGATACACAGGATAGCACAATCGAGTCTGGCAGTCGCTTTGATCCAAACCGTATGCAAGGAAAGATGTACCGCGCGCGTTATTGGAATGACGAGTTCTTCACAGCCATCGAGGGGTTGCGTACCGAGCTTCCTAATGGCCAAACAGAGAGCGAAACCGCGCTGAGGTGGATGATGCATCATAGTCAACTTAAGAAGGACTATGGGGACAAGGTCATCATTGGAGCTAGCAGTAAAAAGCAGCTGGAGATGAATCTCGTTGACTTTGAGAAGGGGCCATTGGATGAGAGCGTTGTGAAAGCATTGGATCAAGGTTGGGCTGGTACTCGTGGGGTGACTTGGAAGTACTTTCATTAGACTTGTGGATGTGAAATATGGGTGATAGGCTAGTTGACCCAAGGTTTTTGCGTAGCGAATTTGTGTTGTGAACCACAGTTCAGTCACCACCAGTACAGTGAACCATAGTTGGAGAGCGACATGCTAAGCCTTCGGGTAGATAAAAATGGTTGGAATCTTCCCTCACGATGTGTTCGTTTTTCTCTTCACATAACCCTAACAGCAACTCTGAACCGACACGATAGAACAGTCGACGGAATGACAAATCCCTACAATCAACCAACCGAATGCGTCTCTACCACCACCAGCTGGTTCAACCCCAGTGGCACAGCACATTACGTGCGTCCTATTCGTCAGCCTGACATCTACGTGGAGACAAATGATACCTTGGAAAGGATCATCGCAGGGAATTCAGTTCGAGTAGCCAAACTCGAATCCCTACTCAAGGAGAAGCGGGGACAGCATAGGACTGAAGAAGCCGCAACTGCAGCCAAGGCAACTGAAGAAAAGCGCCAACGAAAATTTGCTGCCGCGATCCAACAACACCGAGATGAAGAACTCTCAGCCATAGATATGAGGCGGCGTACACGGTACGGAAGCGCTATGAGCCATGAGGTAGCAGACGAAGAAGCAGCTGCCACCGCGTTCCAGGCGAAAGAGGCCCAAGACTACCGCAACTCGTGCGACTGCAACTTCCAACGACCCGCAAACAGCAATAAGGGAAACTTGACACAAAACCAAGAGGAAGAGCGTAGGAAGAGGCGCATAGATATCTCTTCACGGTCCGCTTCGCAGGCCGACCACGAGGTGACGCTTGCGAACTGCCACTTGGAACTCGCGAAGTGGGATCTGCAACGCAACGCTCGAATGGACTCGGAAGCTACATTCAATGCCTTCTTTTCCGTGGAAAACAAGCCACGTCGCACAGGAACCCAATGGCGCGGTACTGGCAAAGTGATCCGCCCGTATACCACCTCATCTGGCCTTGGACATGACACCTGTTGCGACTTCGATCACTGCAATGGGCTTTGTGCAGAGATCGAGACTACCCGACACGAGTAATTGCGGTATGAGTGCCGAGGTAGACACACGTGCAGGCTTATGCGATTACGACATGTCAACCTCAAGTAGAATATATCCTAATACTGCACAACAAGGTACGATAATTCAGTATGAATGGCCGTGGGATGTTACCTCATCAGCAGAAGTACTCGGTACAGAAGGAAGAATCACTGAAAGAAAAGCACAAATGTTTTAAGAAAGCCAGCAGAGGTGAATGGTAGGGTGTTTGGGTATTAGGTGTAAGCTATAATTGAAGATGACAAGACTGAGCGAAGGAAAGAGGGTATATCAACCAACCAACCAATCCTAACCAGACCGAAAGTCAAACGCATGCCGATGCATCCCGAAAGTGAGATTGGAAGGCTCACAGTAAACCACCTGGAAGAACTTAACGCCTAGGTTATCTCATTCTGAAATCGTGTAGATAGTACGTGAACGCCCCTTGTCCCATTGTCGTAGTGTATCTGTCATGAAAAAGGAACCGTCAGCATACTACTTCCTTTCCCTTGTCTCTCCATCCACAGGCTTGATGCTTGTAGAGCCTTCGAGTGGAGGGATATAACCTAGTTGCTTCTCATTCCCGCCCTCCATTGGTGTGAAGGGTGTAAAGCCACCTTCAGGTGACGCCTGCCACTTGGCCATATCCGCCTTGAGCTGTTCAAGCTCTTTCTGGAAGCGATTACCAAAGACATCGATGTAGTAGGTGGCGCCATTGTAGACACTCCAGATGAAGACGACGCTGAGGAATAGACCTGAGGGCCAGCGGTACCAGAACCAAACCGGGCATGGTAGCATAGTCAAAACAGCATAGCTATATTGGATGAACATGAAGGCAGGCTCCTGCAGGAAGTCGGGCAGCGAGAGAACGATCTTGCCGATCCATGTTTTGGCATACGACTTCCGCAGCCATGTAAAGCTAGTAGGCCGACCCGCCGCAATCTTGTCACGACGACGTACTGTGATGAGAAAGTGGTAGCCCAGCTGCCAGAAAGCGTACGGTACAGTAGCCCACAGCATCATCTGCAGCAGACTGTAATGGTGGGGGGAAGTTGGATCGGAGTGGCGGATTTCGTAGATGGCGGGATAGTGTTCTTGCTGATATTCTGGCGAAAGCAGGTGGACAAGGCAGTGTAGCGTAACACAGGGCATGATGTGGATGAATAGACTAGAAATGTTAGCATGAGTTCCATGTTGCAGGACCAAGCAACCAACCTGACAACCTTGTCCATGCTGTGGAACACGAGCGAATTACGCCACATGACGATGGCAACAGCGTTGTTTCCCATGCAGAGGCAGTATGTTGCAATGAACAGACGCTTCGACTGCGGGAAGACCCACACGCTCAAAACGAGTAGTATGTTGACGAAGTAGCACAGATCCGCGAGAAAATAGTGGTAGCCCTTCTTGTGGTAGGTGAAGAAGCGGAGGGGCATGAAGTAGAGTAACTGCGCAGTGTACCAGTGTGGAAGTAGATCCGGATGGCACCCAACAAGGTATCCTGAGACGAAGATGTTCATGACGGCAGCAATGAAGGAAGCCTTCTCACGCGCAGTGACAGTGAGCGACTCGTTCCAGCGGCGATTTAGACGATCCACCGAGTGGCGCATGCGCCTCTTGTATTTCTCAAGTTGTTCTGCCTCAGATGGAACTCTCCGTCGCCATTCTTCCACGACGCGATCTTTTGTAATGCCCCGATTCTTGGCCTGGTTCTTGATTCTCTCCGTCTGGGAAGCTATGGAGCTCTGTATCTTCTCGATGCGCTGCGATAGGGCGAGGTTCTCGACAAAGTCGAACATGGTAAGCTTCTCGACGGGCGGGAAAAAGGCGGCATCTTCAAAATCGGACTCATCGTGGTAGGAGCTATTGGAGAAGGAGGCAGAACGGGAGAGGCCAGGTGTAGAAAGCGGCTGCGGGTTGGTGGAGGAGACTGGGTCATCGAGTAGCGCCGAGCCAGCATGGGTAGAGTCGCCTGGTGTCGGACGCGCTGACAGCTCAGAAACTCCCAGCTGTGGCTCTGATCGGGACTTGGGCAGGCCGCTCCCATCCGTATCCTCTGGGGTCGCCATGTTGAATATTTCCTCCTGGACGATTTCGAGATTAGAGGGAGTCCGCCGATGAAGTGGTCTTTTCAAGTGACGCGGGGGTGAAGCTGCAGCCATCATGGCGGTTAGCTGATGTATCTCGACAGATGCGCCAAGGGTCCATGTTTGAGGGAGGGTGGGTATATCAGAGGGAAGAGGCGTACAGTGGAGGTGGTTTGCTTAGAATAGATCTAGTCAGACCCTATGCTCTCATGACAATGCGAGTGATGTGCGGGGTTCCTGAATCGTGCTCTTCTGCCAGTGTCGGTGCCTCTGGGGGAAAAGTCGTGGGTGAATGCAAGCTGGTGATTGGCAAGCTTCACAACGTCATGGCAGGCACCTGGGGCATGCAAACTGAGGACGGTCACGAGGAAAGGCGGTTCTGGGAAGGATGTTGGACTAAGGAGGCGCAAGATACCGACAGACTCGGGCAGATGTAGGGAAGTATTGTGTATAGGGCCAAGTCGGTGTGGTCAGCTCCCCTGCCTGCGTATCGGCCATGGTTTCGTCACCGCGGCCCACATGCCAGTGCATATCGGCACTAGCACGCTTTGGGTCCAAGGCTCAACGCGTCTGTGGACGCGCTCCAACACGACGAGAAGGACGGGCAGGCCCACCCCGCGACCACCAACCCGCCCAACACCACTTCACCACAGCGCATTCGCCGCATAGGTGTCGCGCAACTCGACCGCCATCATGGGAAAGCTGGTGCGGCTCGAGATATACAGTAGGTACCCAGACACGCAGTTGTTTGCACTCACTGAACATGCGCAGACTTCAAGTCCTACCGCGGACGCCATACCCTCCTCTTCGGCGACTCGTACTTTACATCCATCATCGGCCCCAATGGATCCGGAAAGTCGAACAGCATGGACGCCATCTCCTTCGTCCTGGGAGTCAGGTCGTCCCATCTACGGTCCGAGAAGTTGAAGGACATGGTCTACCGTGGCAGGATCATCCAAGAAGCTAGGATCAATGCCGATGGCACCGTAACTGGAGCCGACGGCGATGCGGGTGGCGGCGACGCGAATGGTAATTCCAATGGCGACTCGCAGGACAACGGCGATTCGCAAGCCAGCACCCAGCGCAACGACCCACAGAACGCCTGGGTCAAGGCCGTCTTTGAGGATGATGCTGAGCAGACACACGAGTGGCAGCGTACCATTACGAGCTCTGGCTCAAGCGAGTACCGCATTAACAATCGGGTCGTCACTCAGAAACAGTACGGCGAGGCGCTCGAGGAGCACAGCATTTTGGTCAAGGCGAGGAACTTCCTCGTCTTCCAGGGTGATGTCGAAAAATTGGCGACGACAGCACCAGAACAGCTCACACTGCAAGTCGAGCGCATTTCCGGCAGTCTGGAGCAGAAGGCCGAGTACGATCGCCTGAAGGAAGAGTCAGAGGCCGCCACCGAGGACAACGCGAAACATCTGCACGAGCGTCGCGGTATCAATGGAGAACTCAAGACATACCAGGAACAAAAAGCCGAAGCCGACGAATACGAGAAGAAGCTTGCCGAGCGCGATGAAGCCATTGTCACCAAGAATCTTTGGAAGCTCTATCTAGACCAGCAGGTTATGGAGAAGGCGCGGAACAAGATTGCCAGTCATCAAGAGGAGCTCAAAGAGCACAAGCGCAGCGTCGAAAAGTACCACCAGAGACACGAGGCGGAAAGGCAGGCCGAGGCTAAGATCAGGCGAGATCTTACCAAGACGGACCGCAACACCAAAGCTAAGGAGAAGGAGATTGAAGATGCCTCCAACGAGCTCGCACCCATCGAAGAGAAGATCCGACTGTCCAACGAGACGCGCCGAAAGTACGAGAGCAGACTTGACGAACTCCGAAAGAAGCGCGACGCAGAAAAGAAGGCAGTCGAAAAGTGCCAGAAGGATCTTGATCTGGTGCAAAAGGCCGAGAAGAAATGGGAGGATGACTTCAAGGCTGCTGCTCAGAATCAAGGTCGTGAGCTTTCCGAGCAGGATCTCCAAGAGTACGGTCGACTGCGCAGCGACGTTACGAAGCGGACACACGGAGATCAGATGCAGATAGACAAGCTCAGGCGGGAGGTCGAGACGGACAGGGATCAAGTCAAGAATCTCCAGCAGAGCGTCGACAGCCATGAAAAAGCTATTGAAAAGCTGAATGCAGACATCAGTAAGCTCGAGGAACGCCAGCAAGCCTCCAAGACACAGATCAGGGATCTCGAAAGTGCAAGAGCCGCCAAACAGCAGGAACTTGACAGGCTTCAGGCCGACCGAAAGCAGATCGAGATGCAGTACTACGAGAAGAATCAGCTGCTACAAGAGGTTCTGAAGCAGCTTAGTATTGTAGAAGGTAGCCGTCGAGAGTCAAGGAAGCAGCAAGAGGCCCGCAGGACCATTGATCGCTTGAAAACTCGCTTCGGATCCGAGAAAGTACACGGTCGTTACAAGGATCTCATCACGCCAAAGATGCAAAAGTATCGCAAGGCCATCGGTCGCGTGCTCGGACACCAGATGGATACCGTCATTGTCGACACGGAAGCTACTGCCAAATCTTGCATCGAGTACCTCAAGGCAGAACGCATTGGAGTCATGTCTTTCAACCCGTTGGACTCTATCCAGATCCAGGCAGTAGACCCTCAGCTGAAGGGTATGCACGAAGGCATGCGACTTGCCATAGACTGTATCAACTACGAGCCCAAGCATGAGCGAGCAATGACTGCCGCCTGTGGTAACACCATGATCTGTAATACGGAGAAGCTCGCGAAAGAGCTCAGATATCAAAGGCGCATCGAGGTTAAAGCGGTCACCCTGGATGGACGTGTCATTGGTAAGGGTGGAACACAGACAGGTGGTGAGCTTGACCGCGATGACGATTCTAGCGAACAACAATGGGATGAGCGATCTTACCAGGCCCTGCTAGACAAGAAAAACAGATACGAAGAGGAGCTTCGTGCCCTTCCCAAGCAGGACCGACAGTACACCCAAGAACAAGCTCTCCAGGTCGAGCTACTAGACTTGGAGGAGCAAATCACCCGAGCAAAAGAGGAAGCCCGAGCGCTTGGACGTAATATCGACAGCTTGAAGAAGGAGCTGGCGCATCACAAGAGTGAGCTGAAGGGAGTTCGTCCCAATTACGAAAAGCAGGCACAACGGTTACAGAACCGAGAGGCAGAACTCGAGAGCTACCAAGACTCAGTGAACCAGGTCAATGATCAGGTATTCGCCGCATTCTGCCAACGGCTCGGTTACGAGTCTATACGCGACTACGAAGCCCAACAGGGTACGGTCCAGCAAGAAGCAGCTGAGAAGCGTCTCGAGTTTAGCAAGCAGCGTAGCAGGCTTCAATATCTAATGAAGCAGGTTGACTCATCCCACAGAGGTGTTGAAGAGCGCCTCAAGCAAGCAGAGGAGGAGATCAAGCGCAAGACTGCCGATATCAGTGAGCTCGAAGCTAAGCAAGAAGAGCTGCAAAATGCCCGAGACGTTCTCCAGGCCGAGTTGGAAACGCTACAGGACCAGCGTACCCGTTTAGAGCAGAAGTTGGCTGAACGAGTTGCGGCTGTCAAGGAGGCACGACGCACCCTGGACCAGCGCAACGAAAAGGTCAAGAACGTGCTGAAGGAGGTCGACGAAGAAGACGCAAAGATCAAATCGAGCGCGACGAACCGCTACAACGTTCTTAAGGAGTGTCGAGTGAACGAGATCAAGATTCCGCTTACAGAAGACTCAAAGCCACTGACGTCGCTACCGATGACCGACATGCCGCGACCAGACGCCGATGCTATGGATGTTGACGAGGACACTGATTCGACCCAAATACAGCCTGCAGAAGTGGACGACTACGGTATCGACGTCGACTTTGACGAGCTAGACGAGGAGTTGAAGACAGAAATTGTTGAGATACTCGAAACTGTGAGTACTGAAGCTGATTTTTAGCTGAGACATTGCTGATAACATGTAGGAGGACGAACAAGATGACCGTGTAAAATCCCAGAAGCTCAAGGCTGCTGAATCCAAGTTGACTGATGTGATTGCAAACCTCGAGACCGACATCAACAAGGCTACACCTAACATGCGCGCCGCCGAGCGTCTCGCTGCAACAGAAACACGTCTCAAGGCTATAGATGAGGCGTTCGCCGAGACACGCAAGCGCGCAGCGGCTGCAAAGAAGGCGTTCGAGGAAGTCAAGACGAGACGCTACGATCTGTTCATGAAGGCATTCAACCACATTTCCGAGAATATCGGCGGCACCTACAAGGATCTGACCAAATCGCCACAATTCCCTCTAGGAGGGCAGGCCTACCTCGACATGGAAGACAGCACAGAGCCGTATCTAGCAGGTCTCAAATACCACGCCATGCCGCCGCTCAAGCGTTTCCGTGACATGGAGCATTTATCAGGTGGTGAGAAGACCATTGCTGCATTGGCTCTGCTGTTTGCGATCCACAGCTATCAACCTTCGCCATTCTTTGTCCTCGACGAGGTGGACGCTGCACTGGACAACGTCAATGTTAGTCGGGTTGCCAAGTACGTCCGCGAACATGCTAGTCCGGGTATGCAATTTATTGTCATTTCCTTGAAGGCAGGCTTCTTCCAGGAGAGTGAGACACTGGTGGGCGTTATGCGGGATCAGGGTAAGATGACGAGCAAGTACCTCAGTCTAGACGTAAGTTACTCCCTTTGTGCGGAAAGGAAACATTTGCTAACGCTGTTCCAGTTGCGGAGATATCAACCTGCTTAGTCTTTCGGAATGAAAGCGCAACGATCCTGCGGCGTCTAATGATGATCGTCTTTCATGAAGTGTGCACATAATACCTTGTTGCCTTTTTCCAGCCATCGTCTCATTTGTGGATGTCGCATAACTAGTGTAGTTCATTGTGTTACAATAACGTTCTCACTCGCATCACAATCAATTCTTGCATGTTCACATAACGCGTTCACGTTAACGCGACGTCCCGTGACTTATTGAAACGACCTGCCTATCTTATCCAGCCCCACTCACGGACATAACGCGGCTGAATAGCTATCATAGCAGCTATGCTTGAAGCTTATAAATTATTGCCATGACAACATGTCGCTATGGAGATTCCTGAATGTGAGTCATAGTTTGGCTGTTCGCGACTCTATATCTTGAAAGTTCAAGCTTTCAACGGTCCGACGTTGCATGCACAACCCTGACCCCGCCATCATGACCCCAGATATTCCGCACAAGGATCGACCTGTCAAACCTGTCAGCGAAACCTCACCACTTCTGCCAAAGCCCACAGGCGACGCGCAGGTGATTGATGTTCAAACTGGCATCGCACCGGAAGGCGTACATGCTGAAGATGGAGGAGATGTTGAGCGACAGGTCAGCCATGGCGATGCGTTCAAACACCAGGGCCTGCCGGAAGTCAGAAAGCGGATGAAATATATCTTCCCAGCAATAGCTATCGGAGTAAGCTTTCTATGCCTGTCTCGTAGCTGAAATTTGCAAATACTCGAAGCTGATCAGCAAAAAAAGGTCTTCCTCTCATCGGCCGACCAAACCCTCGTCATAACGACATATGGCACCATCGGAACCGACCTGCACGCTCTGTCCTCTACATCCTGGATCGCGACAGGCTACTTCCTTACGCTATCCGCTTTCCAGCCTCTCTACGGGAAGCTCTCGGATATATTTGGTAGAAAGCAATGTTTGCTCTCCGCGTACCTGATCTTTGGGGTCGGGAGCGTGGGCTGTGGTCTTGCGAGAAACATTGGTGAGCTCGTTGCTGCAAGAGCTTTCGCTGGCGTAGGTGGTGGCGGCATGAGTGTGTGTACAAGCATACTGCTGAGCGACATTGTGAGCCTAAGGGAACGAGGGCAATGGCAGGGCTATGTCAACCTCGTGTATGCTTTCGGTGCTTCTGCTGGTGCGCCCCTCGGCGGATTGCTGGCAGATAGCATTGGTTGGCGGTGGGCGTTCCTGGCCCAGGGCCCAATGTGTGCCATGGCCTTCATTGCTGTGGCGCTTGTGCTTGAGCTTCCCAAGCAAGACCAGTCGCATTGGAAAGAGAAGGTAAAGAGGATTGACTTTCTAGGTGCAGTGATCCTGATCTTTGCCGTCTTTGGGTTACTTATCGGCCTCGATCGCGGCTCCAACGTGTCCTGGAACAATCCAATTACCATCGCCGGTCTTGCTTCTACGCCATTATTCGTCGTCTTCGTGCTTGTTGAAAAATACGTGGCGACTCATCCCTTTGCTCCTGGCCGCATCATCCTCAACAAGACACTCTTCGCATGCTATCTTTGCAACTTCTTTTCCTTTGGAGGATGGCTGGCTGCACTGTTCTTCATACCACTCTATTGGCAGGTCATGGGCGACTACAGTGCTTCGAAAGCCGGGTTATTCCTTGTTCCATCTATCATCCTTGGTGTTAGTGGCTCGCTCTTCAGCGGCTTCTATATGCGACGTACTGCGAAGTACTACTGGATCACCGTAATAGCCTATACAAATCTGATGATTGGGTTGTCATTGATCCTCCTATTCGCTGGACTCATCATGGAGAGCCTACCGGCTATGGTGGTGGCAACATGTGTATGCTCTTTCAGCAACGGCATAGGTGTCACGACTACCCTTATCGGACTCATCGCAAACGCCTCTCATACTGACCAAGCAGTTGCCACCGCTTGTTCGTACCTGTTCCGTTCTCTCGGGTCTGTCTTTGGTGTCTCCATGTGCGCAACCGCGTTTAACCAGACCCTTCGCAGATCTCTTCAAGAAAAGCTACAGGGCGACGATGCGGCCGAGATTGCAGATCGTGTCAGAGCTGGATTGGCTTACTACAAGGGTCTGGATCCGGCACTCAAGAGCATCGTCAAGGAGTGCTATGGACAGGCTACCAGGGCAGCGTTGTGCGTGGGTATCGTCCTTGTTGCTGGGAGCGCCATCTTCGCGTGGTTCATCAAAGAAAAGAGCCTGGAGGATAGTAAGAGTAGGAGTGCTGATCCTGAGATAGCCGAGGAGTGAAGCAGGGGAGTCCTGAGAACGTACGAAAAAGCTCGCTTTTGTTATACGATTAGCATTGGTTGCACACTCCACCATGACGATTGGATGCCAAAGGTTAGCTTCTTCGTAAGCCGTTTCAGAGCGTTGGATTCGACGGATCTGATTTCCGGGCTTGGTCTCGGTGTGTTCAAGCTGGCGAGTTGCTGTCGACTCTGGACTCACCGCTTGGTGCTGGGCAAACATGACTCTACATCACAGTGAAGCGGGGATTTCACGACAGTGTCTCGGAGATTCGACATCCAGGACTGAAATGCAGGTTGATTGTGTAATAAAACAGCAAGAATCTCACTACCTAGCTGTCTTTTCTGATGCGTCAACTGACTGTATCTGTAACACGTGAAATCGTAAGCAAATCTGACGTGCAAATTCTCCTTGCTCCTACGTCCTGCATCCGGGTAAGTACTCCAACCCTGTATCACTCAACATGGAGAAGTACATGGATATTAAAACTTCCGGTGGTTGAGCTCGATAATGTGACAACGAGCGACAGGAGGCACTAGCGGCACGCTAACGAAAGCGATGGTGGAGAGCCGCCACGATCCCAACCCATAGTCACACAGTTACCTTCGCTCCAGATTACACGATGGCGCCCAAAACAAAGACCCGATCTAAAAGGCCCGTCTTCGCACCACTCGAGCAGTCGTCGCGGGAAGCGCGTAGCTGATCGCGCACTGCGCTTCTTGAATACCCGATGACGTGTTCCGACACCGCATTCCTCAAGCGCGTGTTCCAATGCAGCGACGAAGCACATGCACGATACAGTCACTTCAATAGTTCGGCCGCTCTGACCGCTTCCACGATGCTTGGCTTTGATGAAAAATGGGATTTCGAGGCTGTGGGCAAACCCACCCTACAATGGACCGTTTGAGTATGACACAACCCGTGATACCCGCATTCGGCTCTTATCATACCCACTCTGACCCAGAGAAGTAATGCGACGCATCCACCCCGCGGGCTGTATGCATGTCACACCCACACTTCGTCCCAATGGCGCTACACCTGACAATGACGTCAAGCTCCATGCGGGTACGTTCCTGGCGCGGCCCGTAGCCGTCGGTATTCCAATCAAAACATCGGAGGGGCACCAATGGCGCGGTGCCAGCTGTACAAGCCATCATCAAGCATGAGGCAATTCACAAGAGTAGGGCTTGGGTGGAGAAAGCATCCGTTCCGGAGCTTATTGAAGGGGTCTGAGTGTGAGGCGTGGGGCGTCGGTAGTAGAACCCTTGTGGTGCCTAGAATCGGGCTCTAAAGCTACGTTCCTTTTAAGCTATCTAGTCCGGACCGCTTTTCTCCTTTTCGCTACGAGTCAGGTTGGCCTGGTCTTATATCTGGGAAAGCAGGATCACGAGAGAACAGATAAACTGCAGGTTTCATGATGAGTATCGCTGTAAGCTGTATTCGGCCCGTATGCAACGGCATATCGTGTATTGACATGTACTGATGCCATACAGAACCCTACCGTCGATCCTGTGCATATTGTGCAAGCTCTGGTGGACACACTCTTGGATGTGTTCGATGCTACGAGAGATCTGTACGAAACCCTGACGGTCAAGGAGCAGAGGGACTATGAACAGAATCTACGCAGCAAAGGCTACCCTGCCTCCAGGAGGATCGAGTACGTGAAAGATGAACGCCTTGGTAGCGACGAAGCTATCGTTACGGATAAGGCGGTAGTCACACGGCAATTTGATATTGGGTACCAAACCATTGGGGTTGAGTTTGCTGAGGGTGATGGTAAGCTTGCTCTTTCTTATGGCGTGATCAGGTAGATGGGTTTGCCGCTCACGCCCAACAACGTTGCTGCATCTCGAATTAACGCGCATTATACTTCTGGAAACTCCATCTAGATCAGTGGGCTAACAGGGTACATAACAGTGATTGCGCATACAGCTCTCCAGTCGCAAATCATCACTCTTCAGAGTGTGTTGGTGACGACATTCCTCTACGGACCTACCTCCGGTGAGCCTATCGCAAATCAGCTGGCCAGCATCAACACAGCGTCAAGGGTAGCTGCTGCAACGTGTGTCGAGATACTGGCTGCTTTGCAAGAACGCCAACAAGATGAACGACCACTCACACCACGGTCGATGCATTCATTCACGGCGCGCTCAAGTCCAAACAATGCGCCATCCCACGTCTCTTCTCACCATACGTCTTATGTACCATCGCACGCTCCATCCCACCATGCTTCTCGAGCACTGTCTCGAGCACCATCCAACGCAACATCTCGCACACGATCTCGGGCGAAATCTCTGACAGCATCCCACGCGCCCTCTCATGCCCCGTCTTATGCACCTTCACATATGCAGTCCCATGCACCATCTCGTGCGTTGACTCTTCAACCCGGTACTACTGCTCCCAGCTCGACTTCCACAGCTCTGGTGAAGCATGAACCACGGTCCCGCAGTTCACATATGCGAAGCAGCAGCCCTGTCAACACGACGGTACTCACATGGCGTGACAACGTCGAACCAGAACCCTCTATCACTGACGCTACCTCGATGACAGGTCCTACCCTGGCGTCCAGGTCTAACAACCTATACTGCGTGTACGCCTACGACCTCCAGCGATCTCCCACCCAACAACTATCACCTAGCATAACATCAGACAGGGATCCATATTGTCCGCACTGCAAGGGCGCACTTCACCTCTCACCAGGAAAAGCATGGGAGATATCCAAATGGGCCGGTGACACGGAACGAACCTTTCAAGTCCAAAACCGTTTTGTCGTCAAGTGCCACCGTGATGGTCCTGATGGCCAATACTGCTGCGTCATATGCTCCAAGTACGCCGAATCAGACACCGTTTGCGGCGATGTCAAGGCTCTCATTAAACATCTCTCGGATGACCACGACGTTCGTGAGCTCAAGCATGAAGAAGATATCATGGAAGTCATCGAGCAGCCTGGGAGTCGCAGGGATAGCGGACTTGGCTTTGCTTCTGCAAAGGGTAGCAGGAGGAGTGCTAGTTTGGCATCGGGGAGGAGGAGGAAGAGCTTGCCCGCGTATGATCGCGAAGTTGACGTCTTTGACGTGAGGTCCTCAAGGAGGTAGTTTGTGCATCGATTTACTTGCGTGCGGCATTTCTACGTGCCCATTCTTTCATCGTCTAGCTTCTCTGGACTTGTACTATCATCAAAAATGTCCCAAATGGGTTCTCACTTCGTAGAGTGGCCGGCCCTTCAGCGGTTGTGCCGATGATTATGTGTTCTGTAATGTGACAGAGTCTTAGTGTAATATCGATTGCCATAATATACAGGAACTGAATCATGCTTTTGCTTGGGATATCGAGCTTGCTATCTAAGTCACTCCAAAATCGGGTGCCAGACATGTTCGAAGAGATGCGAGGCCCATACTGTGCTCATTCACCATCGTGAATGCATTCCCCAAACACAGATCTCCCCCTACCGGTTGTGTAGTATTCGCAGCTTCTCAATGCCTCATCTTTCTCAAACGTAGTCTATCTGATGGGAAATCCACGGACTAATTTCCGCATTGCTATGCCACTACTTCTGATAACACCTTCATGGCCAGCATGTGCGGAATGGGGTTGTAGGGGACGCCCGGAACGTAGCGATCAACTGGGATCCGGCGACCAGATGAAAGGTAACGGTCGAGTTTCTGTAGTCTGCGCCCACGTCGTCGTTCGTCCACTATCCTATTGAGCTTGCCTTGTGCCACCCAGATGGCTTCTTTTCGCTCGACAGTCAAAGTGATGTCGCGTGGAAGGTTGCGTAAGATGTTTCTAAGAGGGCCTTGGTCATTAACGGCGGCATCGATTCTTCTTTGGAGGGTGAAGAGGCCACTGAACGAACTCGGCTTAATAGTCTGGCCTGGATAGGTGCACAGTGCGACGATATCGATGATGCTGTCTGTCTTAGGCCCAGTCCATCTTCGATGTTTTGGAGAACTTGATGCATTCAACTCATTGCCATAGGCAGAGTCGCGCCTTGTGTCTGGGCTGTCGTCAACGGACTCGGTCTTGATGAAGATGGGTTGTGCAGCGCCTTGCCGGACTTGATGACGCTTCCCCCGCTTCCTCCTCTTGTTCTTCACCGTGGTCTGTTTCTTGGACACTACTTCGTTTGTAACCTCTCGCTCTCTCTTTGCGTCTAACGGCTGCTGCAGAGGATGTTTGTCGTCTGTGCAAACCCATTGTCGATCCGGCATAGTTTCCTGGAGTGCCTGCATCTCTGCCGTCCGTTGCTCAGGAGGTAGGATATGTGGGTGCATCACTGGAGGGTTAGTTTGTGAGGCGAGTGAGGTCGTTGGGATGCGAGTAGGCGTTGTGTTGTTGTTACCCTGCTGCCTTGCGTTTGCAGGAAGGCGCGCATTTGGACCCTTCGTCACAACTGGTAATGACACTGCGTGTACCTCTGAGCAGACGCGTCTTGTTGCTTTGTCTCTGAGTCCTGCGAGCTTCTCGCGTTGCAAAACCACTTTCGATTTCCTGATTCTCTGCTTCTTTTCCTTTCCCCGTCCACTCCGTACTGCTGGGCTACCTACCATCTTCTGCACAGCGGCCGCATATGGAGGAAAGTTCGCAGAAGAAGCCGCCATTGGGTTTGTTTGGACTCGCGGTATGCAGCGAAATGAACGCGTTCATTGTGAACAATGGCTTCTTGTTATTTGAGAATCTTCTGTCTCCTCCAAGACGTGACGCGACGCGCCATTTTAGATACACGCGTAACAAAGCCAACCCGAGAGGTACACTTGATACAGTTCGGCTGACGGCCAAGCTAGCGAATCGGGAACAGGAAAGAGATGCGAGGGGGAACGAGGAGATCGATTATGGAACTTACACAACATAAGTCGGAAAATCAAACCTCCTCAAAGTGCGCAACACCACAGTTGTTGACTCTCTGTGAAGCGTGGGCATGTCGAAACCCCACGTTGAGCATCGCGACACTTCGCTGTGAGGTGCGCGCCCGCATATCCGCATTTTGCTTTTTCTTGTCCGGGCTTATTCTTCAAGCTTTCTTGTCAGACGACCAAATTCTGCTTCTTTTGTACCGATATTCGGTGATGTTGCTTTTACTTTCTTTGGATAAAACCACTGATTGCAACATCGCAGTGGGTACAATAGTTCGCGAAGCTAAACCATGGTGACGTCATTACTTCCAACCCGAGTGGCAGCTTACCACATCTCAAACAAAATCACAACGAACAGCTACCCAAGTATTCTCTGGTTCGAAGATATTTCCATTTAGCGAGGCTCAAACCCCTTTCAACGTCGCTCCCGATCCCGTCACCTTGCTGCTCCGATTCTGCTGCACTAGTTTTCTAGTTCTCTCCCTATCGAAGCAAGAGTCGCATACCCCTTAGGACGCTCTGTTTTTTGTAGGCTTGACAAGATGAGGGGTGACAGAAAACTGCACATGAACATAAACTACTCGGAAGTCTGCAACATTGCTGAGGTCCTTTGAGCTTCCGCCACATCTCGATAAGCTGCAATTCCCTGAAAATACATCACTCTGGGGTATCTCAGATCCTCTTTAGCAAAATGAGAAAGGAAGGAAACACCAGGGCTCGAACAGGTAGCAACGTGCTGTTGTCATTGACTGCATCGTACGTGCCAATCTGAGTAGAAGCAGACCCTTCATCTTTACACTCGTTCAGCTTTCCCTCTATATGGCATCCTTGAATATTACCCATGTGGGTGTGCACATATCAAAGGAAAAAAAACGGGTAAAACACTGGTTGATTTGACTTGGGATGGTAACCAAACTATATATCCAAAGTCTGTAAAGCCGCGTGATCCTCCTCTTCAGTAACGTGGATCTCTTCCCTGTCTAGAGCAATAGACTTCCTCAAATCGAGAGCATGTCCGCTCATCGCATCCTCCCCTTTTCATTGTTATGTATCAATCCGCAGAGTCTCGCGATCCGCCGCACTAAAAGAGATCTTCACCCGTACCCATTGCAACTGTGCCAACAGACTGTTAGTCTCCACCCACATAGATCTCGCTATGAGAGACCCCTCTATCGACTCAGCAAGATCTAGTGGTGGCAGGGTGAGAATTGTCCAGCCATCGCTATCATACCACGTTCGACCAGCATGCTGAGACGTCGATGTTGAAGGTGTCCTTTTGACAACGCTTTCACTTCCTCCCTGACCCTGCAATTTACTTTCGAGAACAGCCATATCGAGGACCTTTTGGGCATCATAGACCCTTTGCTTTTGTTGTATGTTCAACTGTATGGACTTGGGTATACTGAGCAGAATTCGGAGCGATGGCCCAATGCCGGCTATAGCATTGTCGACTCGGGTTTGTAGCACAGTGAGCTCTCGGACCTCGTGGTTGGAAAGACCACGGTTATGCGGTGTTAAGAGAGCGTGGACGTTGATAGGAGAAGAGGAACGGAAGGGGCCACAGTGGGAAGCTTTCGGTCCTGTTGGAATAACCATGGCTGGTGGTAAGCTCTCGGAAAAGGTATCGCGTCGTGATTCGTGATGGGAGAGAGTAATCCAGTTCGACGCTTGATCTTTTGCCCATGAGCAAACCGTGCAGTCGTCTTGCCTAAGAAACTCACTTTCGATATGCCTTCCTTCCCCGACTCTTCTCTTAGCCATGATTCTTTGTTCATCCTCGTACTCGTCTCTGACTCGCGATGTACGGGCAATATCTACACGCTGCTCTGGGGATAGTTTCCGCTTGTCAGCCTGACGAATTAGTTCTGCGCTCATACCAATCTGCGCTCAGATCTTGCGATTGAAAATTAGTACTAATAATAACAATAGTAGGAATAGAAGGTAGTGGTCGGACAAGAGGTGAGTAACGAAATGCGCCCTATATGTATGTGTCTCGGTGGATGGCATTTTGGACTGCAACCAGAGTTCTCGACTAACATTACGTACCATGGTCTTTGGAGAGGACGAACACGATGAGGCAGCAAGTACCATGGTAACGTGCCTCAAGGAGTCGAAGCGACCTGGACATCTTTTCTCCTACTACCAATCATTTGTGTCTTCTTCTGCCCATCTCTTCCTATTTCCAAATGTCATCATTTTATTCGCCTAGAAAATCACTCGGGCTGCTTTTTGTCTCGGCAACCCTCATAGGCTTGGTGATGCTGCTCAGGTTCATGATAGGGAGTTGCCCAGATGGTCTCTGTGCGACACCCACGTGACGAGGCACTGACATAGACGCTCATCCAACCCCTTGCGCTATCACCAAACTCATCACACTACCATAAAACAAATTGCCAACTCCACTTGTTCGTCGCGACCATCTGGCGCAATCACTCGCATACGGAGGTCTGCGGAACGAGAAGAAATGTGATTGGCCCGACAAGATGCCAAGTATATTCTAGGGTTCACCTTGTGCCCTCTTCGAAACGGCTACCTCGGCTTTACTACACTACCACCAAGATGCCGTCTTAGCAGCAAACTAAATTCGTACCAAGAAGTGGTACGTCTGCTGCGCCAACGCCCAGATCAAGAGCTCCAAAATGGAAGCGTGAATGACTTCGTGGTAGGTTGCACCTGCCTCGTTCTTTTGCTCTGCTACTTTCACGGCCTCCTTTATTCTCTGCGCTCCTTCACAAGATTCATAATCTCCTCTTCTCAATGGCACTGTAGTTATGCAGAAACCTAGTCTCCTAATGCGTCATCATAGGTCATACTCCTTGCGCCGACTTCCACGATCTTCTGCATTTCGCATACTCGTCCTTCTTTATGTCCTTCTGGACTCACTACACTGCCTTTCCTTATACAGATACCAAACGGCGACAATCACTGCCCCGCCCCCACCTCGCAACACGAAGCGCGTATACATAGCCTCCCAGCACTGGAACGATGCGCGACTGCTCCGAGAACATTGGAACAACGCGCTGGTAGCGTTGGTACAAGAACTAGGCATTGAGAACGTGTTCGTATCGATTTACGAAAGTGGTAGCTATGATGACAGCAAGGCTGTGCTAGGAGAATTGGACACGGTGCTGGAAGACCTGCAAATCAGGAGGTCGATACAACTGTCTGAGACATCACATGCGGACGAGATTGCACAGCAGCCGACGGAACATGGATGGGTCAAGGCACCGGACGGGAGGGATTACAAGCGGCGTATACCATTTCTAGCGAGCATACGAAATCGTGTCCTCCAGCCCTTGGAACGTCTGACAGCTGAAGGCGAGCACTTCGATATCATACTGTTTCTCAACGACGTGGTTTTTACACCCCAAGATGTTCTGAGATTGTTGGATACAAACGGCGGAAAATACGCGGCAGCCTGCTCGATCGACTTCAAGAAGCCGCCGCAATTCTACGATACATTCGCACTCCGAGACTCGAGCGGCCATGAGGCGGTCGTACAAACCTGGCCTTATTTCAGGTCATACACCTCAAGGCATGCAGCTGAAAGATATTCGTCAATACCCGTCGCCTCTTGTTGGAATGGAATGGGTGAGGATCCTCTTCTCGCATACCCCAACTTTACTAACAAGCGCCAGTTGCCATGCCCATCGAACCCTTCGTCGCGAGCCCTCCCCTACGCTTTCGTGGCATCCCCGATTCCCTCGCGTCATCACACGTCGAAGCATCGGAATGCTGTCTGATACACGCGGATAATCCTCTTTCCCTGACTCAAGGCGTCTTCCTCAACTCCAACGTCAGAGTCGGCTACAACGGTTCCTCGTACGATGCCCTACACTTGCCAGATGCCATAATGTCTCCCTTTCAAATCCTCCTGTCAGTATGGTGGAGTCGTATCATAAGACTGATCACAACTCCTCTGTTCAAGGAACGAATTGTACGTACGAGGTTAGGAAAATGGATTGCAGAGACAAACAGCTGGGAGCGCGGCGACTTTTGTCTTGTCAACGAAATGCAGGTCCTCGTTGAAACTGGGTGGAAACACGTGTGAATGTGACGTTAAAATAAAAGTTCTTTTCCGTAAACATTTTTGCCAATATTCGTATGTGCTGATTGCCATGAGATTTCGCAAATTGCGTAAAGTGGTAACATAGACGTATCATGCGTCCTCAAGAAGGATAGGATGAAGCATCTCTATTCTTTAGATGTGCGGGATTTAGCTCCAAGAACAAGAAGAAGAGGCGGCTTCAGCATGAACTGAAATACGTTGATAACAACTTGGTATGTTTCCTCGCGCTCATACGCAGACGCTTATATGAATATATACAAAGCTTGAAGCGTAAGACGGCTTAATCTATGTCGGGACAGACTGCTATCTTCCAGGTGTCTGGTTGGTCTTGATTCGTTGTATTAGCTGCTAAGTTGAGGCCCACAAGAAGTTGTCCTAGCTATGAGACATCGAAACATGCTACGACTGCGCCATGCTTGCACATACGACTAGAACTGCCCTTGCATGTAGGAGATGAGGATGTAGCGGGTATTTAAGGCATGTAGATGCTGCAATGTAAATAGGCAACTACACAAGGCAACAATTGTGTTACAGCGGCTCCCTGCTCTTCGAGATCTTTGAGTGTAGTTGCACATGCTCTACGTACACGCTCTATGCACGCCACACCTATGAAAATACTAGGAGAATGAGATTTGATGTTGGCAGCGTCTCTTGTGGTCTACTTCCGGACAAGTGACCGCAGCCTAGGAAGATGACAACGATGATGAGGCTAGCAGAAGGAACATTAGACGCTTTGAAGGCGCAATAGGGTGGTTGAAATCTTAACAGGAAGGCCGTCTATATGCAGAATTGTATATATTAGCTCTACGAGAAGCTAGGCAAAGGACATGGCAGCAAGAAGGGATGATTGCGTAAGCAGAAGGAGATTAGGTGGAGGAGGAGATGGTAGAATAAGATGCAAAAAGGTTCGAATACACAGCTAGTATACTGTGGTACTCTACTCCGAAGCAGACGAAGGCACACTTCTCATTTACCTAGAACCTCTTGTAGTTTGAAAGAAAGATATAGCGTACCTTGAATCCGGAAAATACCTTGTGATACCTATTGGCTTCCATTTTATATTCCGAGGAAGGTAGACCCACCCGGTGGCGATTCGAACCTCGAACCCCGCTGGCGACTTGATAAAGAAAGAGAGATGTACTTACTAGCAAACCAATCCTCACCGCGTTGCCCGTGTTAGCTGAAAGTAGGGGAAATTAGAGCCTTTACATGTTCAAAAGACGTCAAAATAGATGGGTTTGGTGCGAGAGTTTGTTGAATATTAGCGAGGGAGAGACGAAGGTGACTGCCACAGGTAGCGGCAGGAGAGCGAGGATTATGTGTGTTTGGCTTTTGGTGATAGCAAAGGCAACGGCAAAGGCAACAGGGCGTAACGGTAGGCATTTGGTTCCCTTTTCTCATGTCCTCTTTGTAGTCCAATACCCCGACAAGCATCCAGCAGCTCATCAGGTCCTCATGTCCGGAACAGTACACGGTCTGATATCCTGGGTGTCTTCTACAGCTTTTAAAACGGACCTGAGTTGTATCAGGACCCAATGCATTGGCTGTCGACCTTTGACCGCACTAAGGGGCTGATCGCTCAATCGCCTGGCATTCACAAGGGCCGTGCAGTGGTTCGACAAATTTGCAGTACTCCGATGCTTACTGTGAATTGACCCCGAAGTCTCATGACCAATCTCGCAACCATGACAATCTCTGCCTCAACTAACAGGGCGCAGGCTGCAACCCTCCAATGCAAGTGGAGAGGTACTGCGATTCGGCGGCGGACCGTCTGGGAGAATACCAGGGCTTCACACCGTCAAATGCAACGAGATATTATGTTTGCCTCTAGCAGGTCTGCGGTCGTCGTGTTGAGACAGGCGCTGAAGTCGGGCTCCTCCGCGGCCTCAACACCGTGTTTGCAGCACCACTATTGCTCTGGCCAACACCGTCGGACTGACTGAGATAGATCTGCTCGACTGATGCTGCAGCAAGTCTCAATCGCCTCACTCTTGTCGACTCTCTAACTGGTCGAGCCTCTTGGAGCGCTCCCTCGATAACGGACCTCTCGCCGCAGCAGTACGTCTTCGCACAGAGATTGCGCCTAGACAGTAACACTATCGAAAATTAAGACAACAAGAAAGTCTCTTCCCAAGCCATCGAGTCACTCAAGGCCTCGCCATCGAGGCGGAGATATTCCCACGACGAGCTTGTCGCATTCCCGAAAGTCTCACGGCAACGCCTGACACTCGACACCAACAACGGCGGCGAGAAGGGAATTGGATACATTGGCTTGGTGTCGAACTTCAGGAGGACCATAGCAAGGAATGTACAAGTGCGACGCGGAGTCTGAGTAAGTGCCCCTCGCAACCTACACCCAGTAACACCTGGAGAGTAACAGATGGGTATCGGATAACTCGAGAATGGGTAACCAGGGTACAGCCCTTTTTCCTTCAATCGCAGTACTAAAGAATACAGGCTGTTGCCCTTCTCCTCATGCCGAGCTATCGTTTCGAACTGAGAAAACGTCGAATCCGAGCCGATCGTAGCACCTCACCAACAGGCCTGGATGGAATAACAGTACATCCTCAAACAACAGCTGATCAGAAAGCTGGCAACGTACCAGCCTCACGCCTGCGCATAGACTGAAGACGAGCAGGCCGAACGACAGACCATTTCTCCACTTGATCGAAAGATAACGAAGGGTTATGGCCGCAACCACAACAATGTTGAGATATACACTGGGATATGGAACAGCTCGAGCACAGGGGCGACAGGACGTTCTCAAGGAGTTCACCCGTGCACGACCGAGCCGATCGAGAATGTCGAAGTCATACTTCTGAGAGAAGGATTTCACCAGACCGCTTGGCGCTCGACAAAGGATACAAACAACAAAGGCTGCGAATTCATGACCTAGTTGGCAGTACCATCTTCCGCAGATGAGATATTGGAAGCGTCAATGCTGACATATCTTAGAAAATAGAGACAAACTCGCTGTCGTTGAGCTGGTCTTGGGCTATGATCATGCTCGTAAAGAACTTCGTTATCGACCCAAACACTTCTCGCCGTGTACTACCCACGTCACGTCTCTTTAAATTGTCTTCTTCATTATACCGACAGAGAGAAGCAGGAGCCGTCTAAGTGCCTGGAATCGCCCAGGTGTAGGTGTGGCAGAGTAGATTTGACTCTCCGGAGATAGCCTCTTGCATCGATGCAATGATCTTTCCAAGAGCTACCGGTTGGGGCTCGAGACTCAAGAGACTTTTGTCATGTATGGCTCGGTGCCTTCTGAACCGGAAAAGTAGAGATGCTTCACTGGCCATCTTATCGATCACGGAATGAGGTAGTCAGTGGCCACAAGGTACCACCGCCAACGGAAGCTTCTCAATCTCGACGAAACGGGGATGTCGTGGTAACGTAGAATACAGTGGACATGGCCATGCACCCGAAACACTTCGAACGTTTGTCTGTAACTTAAACAGCCCAAATTCTTGACGCCTACTCTTGCGATTCGAAGCACTGCACGCTTTCCATCCTGAAGGTATCTCAGCATGGTTATGAACCCTGTCGCTACACCGACACATTCCAGTGTATCTTGCTTTTTTGCGGAAGTGTAGTGTGAGCGTATGGCGCCTGGGATCAATGCACAGTATCTGCTCACTGACGCAATACGGAAAGTACTGGGAGTCCGTTCTGCTGCGTTGGTGTTGGTGCTCGATCCAATTAGTCCTGATTACTTCACCACGACCTTCGAATCTTCCCCATTTGTATGAACATTATGGTATCGTTGACATTGCGGAAGTCGTGGGCGATTTGTTGCCTGTGGTTCATTGTCATACCACTGGGCGGAGTCGAAGGCGGAGAAGCCTTGACTAGCTAGTTTATCACTAGACGGTACAGTTAGATTCCGGCTCTCAATACGCTTAGAGCTACGGTGCGGCTGAATCGTATCTGTGGGAGTGGCGAATGCCGTAGTCACACGGCCGAGGAGATGTTGCGCCGCACACTTGTCACCTGGCTAAGGCGGCGATATGGGCGTCGCTTTGAAGTTGGAAGTGAGTGACAGCCGGCACTGAGTCTGTCCGCTTTCCGTCATGTTGTAGTAGAGGTCGAGCGGGATCGCTTGTGTGTACATCGGAATTGAGCTATTCGCCGCTGGGTTGATCGTTCGCAATGGGGACAGACCCTTCGTTCGAGGCCTCGTGGCTTGTCTGCCCGTGGATACTGATATCAGTGCCACCGTTTGATGGTAATATGGCCAGAGCTGGTCGTATGTCGCTATCCCGGTAGGCGCGATGTGTATGCGGCTTTACTCGTCAAGGTAACTGGTGGTGGAGGCAAGGTTGACGTCGCATCTACTGGCTGAACCGATAAGAGCATCCTGATTGCAAGTAAATGAGGTTGCTGTTATCCTCAGTGAGAATAAATCAGCTCTCGTATCTGCAGTCGCTTAGCTAGTGTCGTCGCTCTCGTGTCACGGCTTGGGAGATGCCTCTGGGCGCTTTGCCCACGGTCATCGCAATTGTCGCGGCCTCTCCTGGTTCTAGAGAAGAACAAGGGGTCCTGCCGATCTTCTATGTGTCTAGTCCTGTCCCTCCGTCGCTTCTTGTCATGGTAGTGTCATTGGTGTAGAGTCGGAAGCCCACTATGAACGGCGGGTATCTGAGCGAAGCTGCGGCGACCTGGGCAGGAGCGAGAAGACAACACGTTGAGCACGGATCTGCGAAGTCTTGCAAAGACGTACGAGCAGAGTGTCGAGCACTTGTAGATGGTGCTGCCGTTGCCGTGAAATGTGGTGGCGTGGGCTTCGTGGTTGGGGGAGAAGGCGCAGCCACCAGGAGAGAAGGCACAGAGCTATCAACTAGCGACACCGCAAACATCAGCGCGAATGAACATGACAACAGCAAAACACGCTGACTGCGCGCGTTGCGAAGGACTACGCCGGTCTAGAGACTGCGACAGGCACAGTATGGGAAGACGAGCAAAGGAGTAGATTTTCTCCTGTTCGTCTGACAAGAGTCTGCATCATGAGCATACGCTTGGTGGATCTGTAAACGTTTGAGGCTGGATATGAGTACTTGGCTCACATGCTGCTACGAGCGGAAGAACTGCTTGTGTCCACTCTCCGCGCCATCATAAGGCAAAGCGGGCTTCGGAAGCCCTCAGGATGTGTAAATGCACCTGTGAAGCGGACCGTAGCGCTGCGAAATGAACCACAGACTCAAACAGAGGGAAATCGATGGGATGATGATGGAAAGGCGACATCCAAGCCATTCAACGACGTTGAAAGAGCACTGACATAAGCTTCGGCTTTTCCCTTTGAGGCATGGCTTCCGAGTTCATGAAGTCGCCATCTAGAACTCCATCTCATCTTTCTTCATATACCCTCAAGGGGTTCAACGATCAATAGCAGTTTGACAATGTCTCTGGAAGTACTTTATGTCTTCTTCGCTATGTTTTTCCCGTCCACGAATTTGCTCGTGGGGCATGGGCAGATAATGACGTGCCCACCCCAGTCACAAAACAGATTTTTGTCTACCTATCTCGGATATCTGACTCCGAGAGCCTTTCACTAAGTATGAGGGGTCTCGTATACTGTTTAAACATACATTCGAAAGTATCTTATGGGAATAGCAAGCGGATTGAGTCTCCCAGAACAATGCTCTACAAGTATAGTACACGATTCAAACTGCAGGAAAGCTCAAGAAGGCAATGAACATACCTTTCTGCGGCTATATGAGTAGCGGATCAATTGCAGATAGCCTGCGACATAGTTCTATTGTTGTTGATTTTCGGACATTGGTATGACAATATGGCGCCAGCGTAGACAGGGCCTTTGCAAACACGCGGTTCCTCTCGTTTACCTCGACACCGACTCCGTCAATTTCCACTCTGCACACTCTCAGGAAGTCATAATACCGTGAATCTGCCACCGCGCCCCCTGATCCAACACACAGCACTTATCAGCAAGCTGCGACTCGAACACTATGTCACAACCACCTTGGACTCTTCCGGTGACAACAAGCTCTGAGTCGAGCAGCATACCACAATCCCCCGCAACTCCTCCGCGACCAGCAAGCAACGAATCGGACGTGTCAAAACCGCCCGCAACTGCTATCCCTGGATACAGTTTCCCGTCAGTCAAAGCGCACCGGAAATTCGTGCAAACGCATACAGAACTCATAGTCGAGACGATGAAGAGCGGCAACATGAAAATGCTCGTCCACAGAGGGCCACTCGTTCAAATGGCATCAGCTTTCATTCATGGAATTCAGGAGGACAACGCTAGTCACTACCTTCAGGCCCCGGACATTGACGACCCCGAAACCTTGACCGAAGCTTATTTCACGCTCTGGGCACATACATTATGGGGCAGGAACGAGATCATGCCGTGGAGAGCTTTCCATAGAAATATTTACGATACCTTCGAAGCTCCACGCTTTCTCCGCGAGCTGCTCACCAGAGGCACTCGATTGTATTGGGAGTGGACTACCGGGCGAGGTCTGAGGCTCACGACTGATCAGAGGATAACAATGGCACTGCTTCGATCAGAAGACCTGATATTGTGTGCTGTATCAGCACAGAACATGGTAGATGACCTTTTCTTCTCCGTCCACAATTATGAACTCTCCTTACATGATCTGAAGTCTATAAAGGAATTCCTCAGTCTCCGCGAGAATGATTTCGATCAGGAATTCCCTACCATCAGGCAATGTTCACGTCAAGCCTGGTTCACTCTGCCACCTGGCCAAGAAAACAAGATTTTCAGGCCATGGTACGACTTTGGGCAGATTGGATACCACGATATCCCCGACTGGCCTGCAAGCTCGAACATGCCTTCACGGCTTGTGACAGATCTACCTGCTGAGGTCATGTTGATGATTCTCGAGAAGGTCTTCAAGATCAATGGAGACATCCATGTCGTTTTTGATCGATTCGAGAATGAGCATATTGCACTAGTGGAGAGGGAGCGAAGATTGCAGGAGCACCCATTTGGAGTTCACGGACAGAGACTCCCTTATGGGAACTACTGGAAGTTGCCGAGTATGAGGCACTTCTTTGCATTTGGTATCACCAGTAGAGGTAACTGGCTCATGATGAAGGAAATGTTCTATAAGAAGAACAGATTCATCATACATGAGGACTAGTTGGACAACGCTCTCTACTGGTGTCACTGAAAGCAAACGGGTGTCTTATATTCGTGCCGGCAGATACATAGATTGTGAAAGTGCGGCGGTGTCGAGGTGGAAATTTGAGTGAGCCTCCTGGCATATGTATAGAAGATAGAAATTGGAGATGCATTGACTGTTAGACATATACGACACTACTGCATTCATGTACAGATTTCACACAGGTACCTTACCAGCGACCTGAAGCCAGTACTTGCATCTGTCCTCCATCATGCTAATTCCACCTTGTCGTAGCCCACTCGATGTGACCAAGAACTGTTTGCCCTCCTCAACATCTGGTACGCCAGCAACAGTGGCATTAGTGACCTTATGGGCGTTTGGATCGCCAGTTTGGATGAAGGAAGCCATGGCACCAGCATAACCTTGGTAAGTCAAAGCATCTGTCTGCTGGATTGAACCGATTGTGTTCCACTAATTGAAGTCAGTATCCTGAGTCGATATGCTGTGGTCAGGTAACAATGAACGTACATATTGAACATCACTCGCGTGTTTGGCGGGGGAAATGGTATACTCAATCAACCACCCATCCTCTGCCTTCTTCGATAGCCAATACGAAGGACATGCCAGAACGAGGTCTCGGTATAGTAAGCCAGCGCGAATATATGTCGTATTCCAGCTAATTTCCTCCGCGGTGCCTGTCGCAGGGTACATCGTCTTTACGTTGTCCAGGTCCTGCTGAGTAAAGTCCGGTAGGAAGCCCCTGAGCCAAGCATCGAAAGACGCAGCTGACGAGTTGAACCCATCGCTTCCTGTCTTGGCGTTCTGGAAACTAGGAGGAATGAAGTTTTCGCCTTCGTGCAGGTTGTAGCTTGTCATGATCGTCTCAGCGTTCAGTTTTCCCGTGCTGATGACGCTACTCAGCGGCTCCGTGAGAAACTTGTCATCGATAACTGGACCATAGGTAAAGGAAGCAGTGGTATACTGCTGACTAGTACTCAAAGCCAATGCGCTATCCCTTAGCTTCTGTACATCCACCTCTTTCAAACACCTGATCTCATCTGCCGCACCCGTACAACCAACATCCTGCAACGTCTGCTGATATAAGTCTTCCGCCCACTCACTATCGTACCGGTATGTCTTTGGCCAGAAAGGGCTACTGGCCATGGCTTTGGTGAACAACTTTTTCCTACGGTTACCAGTAGCAATCGTCTGCGCAACGACACTGCCACCACCCGCCGATTGTCCCCATATAGTGACATTCCGCTTGTCGCCGCCGAAGTGGTGAATGTACTTCTGTATCCACTGTAGCGCAGCCTGCTGATCTAGTAACCCAGGGTTGAGATCGACATCCGGGTGTTCTGCAATTTTTGAACCGGGCAAGAAGCCAAAAACGTTGGTGCGGTAGTTCGAGTACACAACTACATAGTCGTTCCTGTCATCGACGTCCAAGACCGGGTAGCCGGAAGGCGGGATATTGAAGCTGGCGCTTCCTCGGATGAAACCGCCGCCGTAAAACGTTAACAACACGGGCCTTAGATCTTGCTTCTTCTTCTTCTCCCAAGGCCGTGAGTATACACCTAGGTACAAACAATCCTCTGAACCATTTACTGTGCGCTGCGGGCACATGTCGAAAGCCTGATCGGTGTCGTACGTGCCATTAGTGATGCGCAGCGGTGGCTGAGGGGCGCGGAACCGGTTTTCTCCTGCTGTGGATGCTGCAAAGGGGATCTTGCGGTAGTATGTTATGTTGTACTGGGACGAAGACGCGCCGCGAAAGGTACCATAGTCAAGCTTCACAACCGGATTGGTTGCATTCTGCTGTAGATGTTGGGTTGGTGACGCGCAAACGGATGGAGCTCCTACCAGAAAGGCCAGGACAGCAGACGCAGCGGAGAGTAACATCGTAGCAAACGCGTATCGACGAAACTCACGATCCTCGACGGCTGGGTACATTTACATATACTGAATCGGATCCACTGATCCAAGGGCTAGATTTAGCCTCTTCTCCATGTCTCCGCAGATTGCAGCATGCTCATCCCCGACCCCGGATTGCGGGGACGCCCCAAAACCAGGATAGCATGGGTTGAGCATCAACAACAAACGTTCCATGAATCGTGGGTTTCGGTATAATTTGCGCCGAGACTTTGGTTAGGAAGTGGGCTATGTCGGGTTCTAGAGATGTTCCGCATGACGTCGATCATGAGTTTTTCCGGAGAGGCTGGAGATAACTAGCACACATTCGGTGTGGTGGAGATTTGCAACACTAAATAGTTGAACAGCGTTGCCACAAAGCCTGCTAGTGGTGATATGGAAGGTCACGACGGCTCAAGTAATAGACGAATGTATTGTCTATGCGACTGGTATCTCAATTAATCGACAGAACCTTTATCTTAGACGCCTTCGTCACTCATAAAAGATAAAACTAAGTCATAAACATCATGAAGTCGATCATGCGACTCTATTTCCTTTCTCCCTTCCGCCCAGTCTTCTTCAACCTCGCTGCAAGATCCAGCATACCATCTGCCCAAACCGACATGCTTTTCTCGTCTTTGACCTCATTGCCACAAAAGTCGCGTAAGAACGCGCCCATTTTTTCCTCTCCGTATTTCTCGCCGTACACAACTTCCGCCTTGATATCAACATCAGTCTCAAAGCCCTCCTTACCAAGACCGACGCCGACTTCGAAGGTAGCCTTGATCTTTGTTTGGAGGGTGGGCAGCAACAAATTTGTGGAGATTGCCATGCGTTCATCCGAGAGGATTGATTCCTCGGTGATGTAGCTGTGCTCGAGCCACCGAACACCCTCAGCAACAGCAGTTGCGGTAGCCCATGCATTCTTGACAAGAGAAAGGAGTGAGGAGATGCGGGTTTGTGATTGAGGAATGCCATGGAGATGTGCGCGGATGAGCTGTAGGAAAAAGCGCTTGCTCGTTGTCAAGGAGCGAGGGTGCGGTGTCGCTGAATCACCAATGTAGGCGAGCGAGATAGATCCATTGGGTGTATTCTCGCCGGTGGCAAAGACAGATGGTACGAAGTACAGTTCAAGGTCATTCAGATGTGTCATTGTGATGCTAGTCGAAGAAGCAGAAGTGATGCACCAGCCGTGAGCCTGCTCAAGAGCGGTGAGTTTGGCTATAGTGCTATGTTAGTAGGACTCTCGTATGGAAGACAATTCTGACATACCTCTCAGACTGCTGACTTCACTGGTAGACCAGCCACGGCACTCTTCCCGCACGCGTTCAGCTGCTCTGATCTCTTCAATGCAATCGACTTTACGGTTCTTGGCTGCCTCTATGCGTGTCTCCTTGTCGACGAGCTCCTGTTGAAGTTGGGCCAGAAGCAACTTCTTCTCCTCCAGCTCAGCATCCGTAGCCGTGAGCTTCTCTCTTGTTTGCTCTAGCTCTTCCCGGTCACAGCTGTTGAGTTCATCATGACGCTGCTGTAATTGCTTACATTCAACGGAAAGATGTTCCTTCCTCTCAACTAAAGGCGGAAGAGTATCGTTAAGAAGCTTCTCCTGCTTGTGAAGGGTAGATTCGTCGTGGTTGAAGCAATCCATGGTGTGGAGAAGACCAGCTTTGAGATCGTGCAATAGCGTACTTCGCCATGTGTACCACTCTCCACGAGCTTCGAGGCGCGCGTTCGTCTTGAGATTCTTGAATTGGTTGTCCATGACCTTGCGCTGATCCGGGGGAGCAGTGAGATACTCGCTGAATAGCAGTGGGTTCTCCTCTAGAACATTGTTTTCCAGAGTACGAACGAAGTGGCGACCGTCTGAGATATACTTCTTCATCTCGTGACACGCATGTTGGTACAATTCGTACTCGGGTAGCGTGCAAGCACCAGCCACGACATATCGGTCTAGAGATTCTTCTTTCTCCTCTATTTCCACGTCGTGGAAAGCGGCAGGGGCAGCAGTATGGCGTCGCTTGGTCGTACTAAGATCCATGAAGCGAATTTTTGTCATGTCAAGAAAATCTTGTAGAGAGATACGCTCGACGTCCGACAGGTCTTCTGCTACATCGTTGTCATCATTGATCTCTTCTTCCGGCTCCGGATCTGCACCAAATGCAACGCGCTTCATCGGACTCATGCTCTTTCTGGGAGTCGCTTTCTTGGGAGTCGCTTTCTTGGGAGTCGGTGTTGGCTGTTTTTGAGGAGACTGGGACTTCTTTGGCGTCATCCCTCGCTTCACCGGCGATGTCAAAGTCTGCTTTCGGGGGGTGGACAATAGCTTGATGTTGTTGCTCAAGAGTGCGGTGCTCTTGAGAGTAGGTTCCTGGCGTGGTACGTTCAAAGGACTGAACTGTACTGCAGACAAGGAAGAACGGCGTCGGTCCAGGATTGTAGCTGTGATCGGGTCCTCGGGGATTGCCATGGGTGTCCTCTGTGGTGTCGGGTTCGTGGGTGTCGCAAGGGCGTCTTTCTCTTTCAAGGCACTCAGCGGAGTTCGACGCACGAACGGTGACGGCTCAACCTCCTCAATATCTTTTTGCCTTACAATCTCTGGAGTTCCAGGGTCAAGGATCGGATAGGACACCTCTCCTGATGTACTGGGTGTAATCTCCTGTAATACTTGAGGCGCGCTTTCGGCTTCGGCTTTAAGCATGGAACTTCTTCGACCGGGTGACTTCTTTGGAGATTTTCGCGGAGTCGGCGTCTTCTTTGCTGAAACAGGTGTAGCATCAGCAGGTGTCTCTGGTGATGTTGCTGAACTGTTAGCACGCCTGATGCCTGGCCCAACGATCTTGGTAAATTCCATGGAGAGATCCTCGTCCTCGACCTCATCCTCCAGGTCCTGCTCTTCTGGTTCTTCTTGTATTTCCTGCGCTTGTGGCTTGTCGTTCTTGATACTTCCCACGGCCAGGGTAAAGTCCATGGTCGCATCATCAACAACGCTTCCAATGCTAGCACGCCTGGCGGGCTCAGGCTGAGGCGCTTTCTTAATCGCTCCGATCGCCATCGTAAGGTCCATGGTTGCGTCTTCTTGATCGTGCTCTTCGGATTGTCGACGTTTTCGCAAACTGGTACGCCGACTTCCAGGGCGCTTTGCAGGGCTACCCTGAGAATCATCCAGCAAGGAAACTCTCCTCTTAAGACTTTTCCTCTTGTTTGCTGGTTTGTATGATGCTGTCATTGCCTGTATACTTCCAAGTGGCATGGTCAGATCCATTGTCATGTCGTCGTCGATGTCCGAGTTTGCTGCATCAGAATGTTGTTGTTGTTGTTGCTGCTGCTGCTGCTGCTGCTGCTGCTGTGGTTGTTGCGGCGGCGGCGGTACAATGCGACCCACTGCACGTGTGATGTCCATGCTCATGTCGTCGTCCTCGTCGGCTACCGTGCGTGCTGGAGAGAAAAGAGGGCTTGCGTTCTCCTTGTCGTACTGTGCGACAAAGCTCTTCTTTGCCCAAGGCTTGAAAGATGCAGTAACCTCATCTTGTGCAATCTCCATAGTCATGTCTCCGTCTTCATCATCAAAATCCAGCTTCTGAGTGCCTGCTAGATTCGCAGCCTCTCGGAGTGCAGCATCCAATCGAGCGCTGCTCATGGACGAGTCCTCCACTTCTGGGGAAACACCCACGTTCTCTGTAGCATCATCAATATCCATATCCTCAGAGTCGCTGCTCTCGTTGTCATTTCCACCAGGCGAAGCATTATCTCCACTTAGTGGGCTGGAGGAGTAGACGTCATCTGGGTTATTGAAGTTCATTGGTGGTATACCTGAACTTCGACGGTTCTTCTTCTGGTGTTGAGCGCGCGCGCTTGCCGGTGACGAACCAGATTCTGGCTGAGGCTCTTCGGCTTGTTCTGGTGGCGTTGACGGAGGTTCGGCGGGGTCTGAAGGAGGGGCAGGCGATGCCGGTGTCGATGCTTGTGAGACGTTTGAGGCTCTGCGTGTCGCCTCTGATGAGGCAGAAGAGGTGGTCGCATCGCGCATATACTCGACTACGTCCCATGTGTGTAAAGTGGCTTCGGGGGCGAAAGACACGCGTCGCCTTGCTACGTACTTGTCAGTCATGCCTCGAGACCATTTCCGCACACCCAACACGTACCCAGAGACTTGCGACGGGCTTCGCGCCGTTTCTTCTCGTCCTCATCATTCGAGGCTAGGATAGACTTAACGGCGGGGATGAAAGCAGACTACTTGGTAAGCAACATACTATTTCGCGGCCGCATATGTGAGACATACCTTTCTGCGGTTTCCAGCCGTCTCCTTCAGTGGAGGTGCTTCCAATTCCCCTAAGCCTCCGGGACCGATACTTTTACTACGCGTCTTTTTCTTTGGTGACGGCGCTAATTTCTTCAGAGGTTGTGTAGAGGCCTTGAAAGAGCCATTCGCGATCAGACCATCGGCGATGTTCTCTTTGCCTGCTTGTGCCATGGTGATGTCGTGATTTCGTTTGTGGTGGTGGTGTTCGGGACGGCAGCACTGATGTAAACATCAAAGGCGCCAACCCAAACAATGGGGTCTGAGGTCCGTGCACATATCGCCTGATCCTGTGACCAGCGCTCCCCGCGTCGCGTCTTGCGTGGCATGGCATTGATGGCTGCGAGAACTCGCAGCCGCGTTTGGTCTATCGTCTAATCAAAGTCTACCTAAACGCCTTGCTTCTGTATACATGGATGCACTGAAGTAGACCGGGTCAATCCCCCTGAACCCTAGAACGGCACATCCATGTCCTCAACACTCTCCTCCTCCTTCTTTGCCCCGCCCTCCTGTTCCTGCAGGACTTCTTTGATGAATCCAATCAATGCATTGACGCTAGCCTTCTGTGTGCTCGGTAGGAAGTGCCCGCCAGGATGATACACAACGTACTTCTCCTCGCTGTGTTCACAAGCCTGGACCAAGGCCAAACTCCTTGCTTCCTCAACTACAACGTCCTGTGTGCCCAGAAAATGCAACATCGGTGTGCTGATCTTGGGCTCATAGAAAGCGTGATATGGGTTCTTCCCACGCGCTGCAAAGCCACTATAACTGATCGCAAACTTCAGCGGCGGATGTATGGTTCCCTCAACATAGCCAGTGTCTTCTTCAAAAGACTCTGGGAACCTCATGCCGCCTTCTGGGTAAAGTTTCTCGAATGCAGCGCGACGGTTAGGTTCGAGTAGACTCGCGACCATGGCTGCCGCGGCACCGCCCTGGGAGAACCCCACGACACCGTCAAAGGGACCTTGTTCCTTCAACACGTTTGCGATATGAGCCAGACCTTGCTCTATGCCTTCGTATGTGTATGGTTCCCCTGAACCTTTCCTCCTCCACCACGCCCACGCATCGATCTCCTGCTCCTCTCCGTCCTTTCCGTCCTTGCCCTCGCCATCTTTGCCCGTGCTACCTGCTAGGAACGATTCGTCGGCGGGTGTCAACCGTATCGGCGCGGTAGGATACACAAGTTCTATGCCCTTAGGGAAGGCTTTAGATAGTGTTTTACGCAAGGCACCCGTCTTCGCCTGGAACAGAGGCCCTGACTGTGTATAGCCATGAAGCATCAGTAGCTTTATGGGACGGTTTGGGGGCGGAGCGGCAGCCATAGTGCGCCAATGAGAGCGGACGCGGAAGTTGGCGAGCGTGTAGAGACGAGGGTCTGCGAGGGCGACGAAGCGGCGGAAGCGCATGTACAATATGCGCTAATGGATGAGGGCGTTGGATTGGAAAGCTAGCTTGTGAAGAGTGATGCCGAAGAGCCTGAAGTTTGGCGGTCTGCTTCGGAATGATACCGAATCTCGGGATACGCGGTTGCGTCATACTAGTCCGGTGGAGCCTTCCTTCTTCGACCTCCAGGTACACAGAAAACAGCACGGCACTTTTTGGACGGCTGAAGTCAGACATAGTCTCCTTGAACATAAAGAGTGTATTTGGTCTTTACACGCGTGAGTTATGCACCAATGTCACTCATAGATTGTTAGATTTTGTATGGATCCAACACGGCAAAGGCGCCCAACACACATCTCCGCGTATATCCTCAATCCATGAGATTTGGTGAGCCAGACAACCCGGAACTATCGTCGAAACCAGTGTCTTCCGTGACCTTCATATACTTACCCCATGGGTTTGTCGATTTCGAAGCCCTCGAAGTCCGTGAAGCCACGGAAGACGGTGTCTCCGACCTCCTTGACTTGTTGGCACGGGGGCCGAGAAAGTTGTTGACATCGCCAGTATCAGAATGATCGGCATCAGAGATGGAAGAGCTCTTCTTGCCCTGAGTCTCCGTTTCGGAATCCTGGCAGATTGTAGAATTCTCACCGGAGTATACAGATGAGGCCGAATATAGCGAAGGTGTATGCGTGCCCGGATAAGGACTCATGGGTACCTCGGGATCTTTATCGTAGTGCCATTGCAGCGGCCGGTGCAATCTCCGATGATTGTTTTCTCTCATTAGGAACGAACGTTCAATGAGTGTTTCAATGTCGCTCTGGAGACCATTAGCACTAGTCTTGCGACTGCAAGCGTCGGGACCTTACATATGTCAACCTGCCATCAAGAATGTATGTTCCTGCTTCGTTGGTCTGATATCCGAAGCCCAATTCCTTGAGTGCGTACTCTTCGATCAAAGCTTTTTGTATAGTGATGGATTCCTTGCCTGGAGCTGTTGTTGAGGGTCGAAATTGCGGCTTGTAGTCAGGGCTGAAGAAGTAGGTATGGACGGGCTGACTACCTAGATAGTGAGTCTGTCCTTTTCCTACAAGATCTTAGTACATTGACATCGAGAATCGGCGACCAGGCATTACCGGATATACGAGTGTATGTTGGCCTCCAACCGGCTTGCTTCATGGCCAACAAAAGTTCACTACCTAAGCTAAGCGCGGATGACTCCCAGAATATGGTGCTTCTAACAATCTGATCACCTGCATCTTCGTACTTGTACGGTACGAGCTGACCAAAGTTCAAGAGCTGTGGTTCTTCGGGATCTTCGAAAGCAGAATTGATTCCAAATGCAGCCAGCGAGGTCTGTAACTCGGCTATTCTGTGGGAATGTCTGTCGTATTGGATAGGGAAGATGATCATCTGCTGAGACCTTGAATTCGTATCTGAATTGTTTGTGTTGCCCAGTGAAGTACGCGAGGACTGGAGAGAGGCTGTTGAGCTGCGAAAACTATCATGGCGGGGGCGTCTTTGAGGCCAGTAATGGTCTGTTGTCCTATCCGACCTCATTTCCAGGCGCGCAAAGCCATCTTGAAGCGACGAATAAGACGAGGACAGAGGAGAAGCTCGTTTACTAGTCACGTATTCTGTCACGTCCACACTACGATTGCCCTCCGCGATGCGAGTGCGACGAAATGGCCGGTCGTTGTCTTGGTCCAACTTTTGCTGCTCTTGCAACCCACGGACTAGATCTTCATACCGCCGTAACTGTAACTTGTGTCCTTCCTCAGTCTTTCTCCTCTCTTCTACTACCATGGCATCAGCTCGTTTGCGTGCTTCCTTTTCTGCTTCCAGCCTCTCAATACTCAGAGCGATCTGAGCTGCTTCTTTTGCCGACTGTGCTGTTGCGATTTCTTTCGCTGCCGATGCTCTCACATATTCAGCTTGCTTTGCGTTCTTTTCTTCTATAGCCTTCTTTTCTTCCTGCCACATAATTTCCATGCGCCTTTGCTCTGCTTTTTGATCCGCTACAAGGCTTTCAAGTCGCTGCATTGTTTCACCATCTTTTTCACGGGCCTCTTGCAGTTGCTTGACATACACCTCAGTTGCTGCATTAGCTCGTTCTCGTTCATTTTGAACCTCGCGCTCTTGCAATATTTGCGCCAGTTTCGAAAATGGTAGCTGCTCATACTCGATTCGTAATTCTTGATTGCGCTTTTCAAGTAGCTTTTCTACCGCGGCGAGAACAGCATTTTCTTTGGCTTCTATCTCAGGCGCCGTAAGACTCTTTTCTACCGATTGAGCGGGATCTGGTGGAAGTGGAGGTGGAGGTGAAGGTGGACTTTGGGCAGTGGCTGGTGGAGGACTTGGAGGAGGCGATGAGTATGACCAGTGTCGACCAGCTGATACATATGCTTGTTTCGGTGGTTCTTGATGGGTTGGTGGAACTGGTGGCCTTTGTACCGAGTTTCGCCAAGGTGGCATAAATCCATAACTGACAGGTGGCGGGTGGTAGCCAGGTGCGTAAGGACTGAAATAACCTGAGGTGGCTTTGTTATAGTTGAAGTCATCATTCGGTGGGCTTGAAACTGAGTCCGTTTGGTCGCTATGAATCGTATGAACTCTGGATGTAGGCCTTCTGGCTTCGGCATCTACAGATCGCGGTTTGTCTGTGTACCTCCTCTGTCTAAGCGGACGTGGAGTGGGCCGGCTGATCGATGGCGTTGCATCCTGCCATTTCACATGTGACTCCTCAGCATTTCGCTTGGATCTACCGTCGGTGTAAGTTGGTGAGTATCCATCTGTGTCCGCCCATGGGTTGGCACGATCAGAGGACTTTGTGTTCCGTTTTCGGGCGCGTTGAACATTGTCACGGAAATTCCACGTCGGTACATTGACACCGACAGTACTGTCCTCTTCGGCGCTCTGGAATTCTTCGTCATCGGATCTGACAGGTGTGTTCTGCTGTTCCCACTGAGCAAAAGATAGCTCGTCCTCCTTTCTTGCCTCTTCCAACATCCTCAGTACCCCTTCCCTCCAGTCATCGCCATCGTGGCGGGTGGAGCTAAGGCTGATTTGGTCGGTTGTGAGCGTCGTCCATGAAGAGAGCAGTCTGTCTACTACTAGGGCAGGCTCTGTCTGTCTACTCCAAACAATCAAGGCTTTTTCATCTGGACCTGACAATCGCCTGTTATTATGAATGCCGTCTTCAGAAGAGGAGTAAGCGCTTCTCGCAGTTGTCTCCGTGCTTTCATCGGTGACGGATGCTTGATGGAGCCGACGTGTTCGCGGGTCCGGCACTGGTGCAGGATCTACGTCATCTGAGCTAAACACGAAATGGTAGAGCCATGTAGCAGTGTCAAAGGACCCTTCTTTCCATACATCTATTTCTGCGGTGGTGTAGTGTCGTTTGGCAGTCTCGGAATCATCTTCTTCCTGCTGCGCACTCTCAACTACTTGCCGGTTTGCCTGGACAGCACTTTCCACAATCTTACGGAACCGATTGGACTTTGGGATGGGTCGGGCTTGGGCGTCGGGGTCCAGCTCGGTGTATCTGACCGTGTAAGCAATTCAAACCCTTCGACAGCATCGTAGATAGTGCTTACTCTGGTGGCCGAACAACCTCTTCTCTTGCAAGACGAACGATGTTCAATTCCAGAATCAGGGCGGTCTTGATGCCTTCGACCTTCTTGAGTAGACCTTTCGCCCTGGGCTTGTTTATCAACCACTTCAGACCTGCCAATTTTTGAGGCGTATCTATGAGTTTTTTTATTTCCGCATCTACTTGCTTCCACCGCAGTATGATTTTCTGGGTATTTCTGAAAAGTGCAGGCTTGCACAAAGTTTGATGAGCACGGATAATATCTGCGAGCGTTTGCAAACTTTCCGCGAGTAAGGATATCTCTTCCGCTGCTCTTGTCAAATTGAATGTCAGTCGAATACACGAAGAGGTCGCGTACCGATTTCTGCTATCTCTCGAGGTGCATTCTTGAGTGTCTGAACTACGCTGAAGAGAGCGAGCGAAAGTTGCGCTGCACTTGCGCCAACGGTGAGCGCGGACGCGATGATGCTAAGGGGATCTGCCATTTGAAGATGAAGGATGCGAACGGCTGTTCGGTGGGTGCGGGGAGCGACGTGCTAGCTATGGAAACATGAAAAGGTAGCCTTGTGGCTTACACAGCCTCCGTAATGCTCCTCTGCAGTATTACATAGCCTCGCCGGTCCGCTGCAGGCTGACAGCCAGCAATTGGCTGTTGTGCCATGCAGACTACACTTTCAAGCATTGGTTGCATTCAACTGTGGCGGCTGAACGTGTGGGGGCTAGAAAGTGCTGCAAGCTGCGTACAGCTAGGCAGGTAGAGTGGATGTTTAGCGATAACATTTGGCTTACAGAGACCCCGGGTGCACGATGGGTGGGCGCGTGGATCCTCGATTCATGTTCAGAATGGGGTTGAACGTTGAAGCGATGTGGTTATCTCTAGTGCAGTGGTCGATGGCTTGATCTCGGTATTAAAACACTGGAGGTAACATAAGGCTGTTGAGACATTGTGACTACTATGGCTAAGAAGTTAATGATCCCGGGATCCGTGCCAATCAACTGATGACGATTCACGTGGTCTGCTCAGGGTTTCTCTATATTTCTGTAGTGTTGCGCTATCCACCAGATAGCGCAATCAAAATGCTGAGTGGTCATGGTGGCTTGTTGGAGTGTGTAAGGCTGGCAAGGAGACGCGATGTGTGATAATGCGGGATGTCTGAGTGGCTAGCGCGCCCCGGCTCTTGGCAGTGCGTACATGCGTCCAAAAGTAATCACCTCACGCCGACTGCCCGCTACAGCTCAACCCTATGCCGCCATGAGCTTTCGACCGATACTGCCCCGGCCAATTGCAGTACGGGACACGAGTAAACTATGTCTGCGATGTTGGCGAAGACTCGCAAAGGCGCCGCTGCAGTCGCGGAGACCGATTTCTTCCAATCCATCGCATAAAGAGAACGCCATAGCTGCCACGAGAGGTGGGGGTGCTTTTGGAGATGGCTACTTCCGGACGAATCCGATATTAAGAGACACGTTTTGGAAGTCGAGACCGGAACTGCAGAGCTCAATCTTGTCCATAAGATCAGCGAATGCAGGAGGGCAGCAGGCGGCGAAGGCGGATGGCGTAACTGGCACAGAGGAAGTGCTGCCACATAGGCGGCGGAAGAGGGCAAAAGAGCAGGCAATGGAGACTCCGGAAACGGCATATCCAATTCCACACGATGCATCCTCCAAGCTGGCACACATATCCTCGAGCCTCCCGCAACAGTCACTCAAACGCATCATGACCACCTACCTGTCGCTATCGAAACCCCGACTCTCCTGCCTCGTAGTCCTCACCGCGACGGCCGCATACTCGCTGTACCCCGTACCCGGGCTGCTTGCACCCGCAGCAACAGCCACCCCGTCCCTCTCGACCCTCACACTCTTCTTCCTCACATCCGGCACTGCGCTGTGCTCGGCATCCGCGAATGCCTTCAACATGATCATGGAACCCGCACACGATGCCAAGATGACCCGCACACGCAATCGACCACTCGTTCGGAAGCTCATAAGCCCACGAGGCGCCATCATCTTCGCCGTCGCGTGCGGGGTGCTCGGCACTGGCGCCCTCTACTACGGCGTCAACCCCACGACAGCGTTTCTTGGCGCTGCCAATATATTCCTGTATGCGGGCGTGTACACTCCCATGAAGCGCATGCATGTACTGAACACCTGGGTTGGCGCCATTGTAGGGGGCATCCCACCGCTCATGGGTTGGACGGCTGCGGCAAGTCAATACGCCCATGACGGCACATGGGAAGAACTGTTGTTCGGAGAGGGCTCCGCTGGCGGATGGCTATGCGCTGCACTCCTATATGCATGGCAGTTCCCTCACTTCAATGCGCTGAGTTGGGCTATCCGCGACGAGTACAAGAATGCGGGCTATCGCATGTTAGCCTGGGTAAACCCCGCAATGAACGGACGAGTCGCACTGCGTTATTCTATCATGATGTTTCCCGTTTGCATCGGCTTATCATACTGCGGCGTAACTGATTGGAGTTACATGGTAACGAGCAGCGTTATCAACGGCTGGATGACGCTCAAAGCTTGGCAATTCTGGAGAACCGAGGGACAGAAGGGAACGGCAAGAGGTTTATTCTGGGCTAGCATCTGGCACCTTCCCATAGTCATGGTCCTAGCTATGGCTCAGAAGAAGGGGTTAGGAGAGCGTATTTATCGGAGTATCTTCGGGTACGCAGACATCGATGAAGAAGACTTGTACTATGAAGCTGGCGAGCTTGAAGAGGAGGAGCAGAAACAATTAGCCGTCGTCGAAGGCAGGCGAGCCGCATGAATCAGGCGTGCTATAGATCCATATTCCTCACTGGCTTAGCGCGGCATTCGTATCCGCCATTCCCTCACGCCCGTTGATGATTCGATCGACGGGTACATGTTTCTATACCCCACTGTAATATATGTCCTCAACATGCATCGGAACGACCCTGTTGAGTTTTACGAAGTCAAGCTAGTGCTTATGGTGTCCCTCTCGCTAATGCTGATTCCTTCCAAGTATGCCTCGTGTATAGATCGATGTTGGCAGTCATATTACTAAACGAGCTTATTGTGCCCTCGGCGATGAACCCACAGCTTACCCGCAGCGTGTGTCTGCTCAATATCCATTCGTCCGCCCCTCTGAAGACTTCATAATCTTCTTGCTGTCTTCATTTGCGATACAGAACATCAACATAACTTCGTTTAGAGACCATGGCTACTATGACTACTACCCAAGGGACGCTCCACATGGTTGGAAATGAAGATGTCGACGTCAAACGAGACGACCTTCCCGCAAAACTTACAGAAGACTTTCTGTCTGATTTTCCTAAACTTTCCAACGAACAGGCTGGTCACCTCCGCCATTTCCATAATCTGGCTTCCCAGCCCGATGGCGAGTGGCACCATATGGGCACCCAGGACCCCGGTCAAGAGTGGCTCGATGCTTACCGCTATCAACTGGCGACCATGACATATGCCGCTGGAAGCGCTCACTATCATCGACTACCTGCTCTACGATCGATTTTCAAGAACTTACTAGAGCAACTCATCCACAAGATGGTACGGAGGGAAGTCTGGGGTTATTGGTACCTGACCAGCCAGAGCGGAAAGTTTGTGGATCCCGACTTGGTTGAGATGCGCAAACCTTGGGCGGATCCAAATAAGCAAGAGAATATCATGGTGAGTGCATGAAAGACTAAAATGGTATAACGTGGTCTAACCTTAGTGTCTCCAAGTATTCTGGACATCTCCTCCTCATGGTCTCATTACACGCAATGCTCTTCGACGACGACAAGTACAATCAGCCGGAGGCGCTAACGTTCCATTGGGATCCGGTATTCTGGGGTTTCGGGCCAGAAAAGTTTACCTACACCCGCAGTTCCCTTCAGGATGCTATTCTTGCCGAGATGGAGCGGCATAACTGGAAGGGCGTCTGCTGTGAGCCGAACAGCATTTTCATCGTCTGCAACCAATTTCCGGTGCGATTTGAGCCATTCAATAACTGGGGGAGATTTGCTTACCGCTTTTAGATTATCGCGATGCGGTACAATGACATCCGCGACGGAACAGCTGTGGCTGACAAGGTTCTAAAGAATTATACTGCGGCTTGGAATAGGGAGGGCGGCTTCCTGCAGGATGACAAATTTGTCATCAATTGGTATATGGTAAAACAAGATCGTATAGTACCCGGAGGGGTCGGAATCACCGCCTGGTAAGCTGAGGCGCTGCTTATAGCATGATTTGATATCAGACTGTTAACAGTGCAGAAGGACATCTGCATTCATGAACGGCTGGAACTCTGAGTCCGTCCATTCACTCTTCCCAGAGCAAGCTCTTGGTTTCTTCACCAAGACCTCCGATGGAAGAGTGAATGTGAACGACGAGAAGGTCGCCAAAATTATTCGCGAGCTCACCAAAAGTGAGGGCGTGGATCCGCAAGCTTGGAGCACCAAAGAAAGGGCACAGAATTTGGCGAAAGAACTTGAAGAGGCGCCTGGTATGCCATTTGCGCAGCCGGTATATGGTTATGTTGCTCAGTGGGTGTCTGAGGTTGCAGACCCAGCTTTGAACGATGGTCTCCTGCGTCATGCAGACACGTTCTTCAACCCAACGTGGGAGAATGGTGGTCTTTTCTACCCACGTAATGACAGCCAGGCGGACGATCATGGGAACTGGAAGTTCGTAGACCCTTTTACAGGCAATGGTGCCATCGCCTATGCGCGTCTCAACGTCCCTGACGGCCAGAAAAAGATGTGGGACAAGCCGTGGTCGAGGGAGCATTTCTCAAGCTGTCCATTTGTTGATGAGATCAGCCTGGCTTCCAACGTCGATTTTCTTAGAGGCAGCTGGGATTCAGGGAAAGGAGCTTTCGTTGTTACTATGCGAACTTGGGATGGCTCCACGAAGAAGTAAGTTGTAATTTCCATCACATACTTTCAGAGAAAAACTGATGGCATCAAGCGTCCGGCTCCTTGTCAAAAACCTGCCTGCTGGGCGATATGGCATCTATCGGAATGGACATATTACAGGAGCGCAGGATGTGAACGACGGCTCGCACAGCGTGGAGATAGCTACCGAAGTGGGAGCGGAAGAGACGGACATAGTACTACTTAAGTCAATATCCTAGGCCTCGGATGGTCATAAAATCAGGTAGTAGACGTGAGAAGACATTGACGTTCACTCCCGAGGTAGTGTCTGCACACGTCTTACACACTAGACTTGCTCTCGTTTACATTTTAGGTTAAATCTGAAGAGATTAATTACCCAATGCGTGCCGTATGGATGGCAAGTATGGTTCAACATGAATCTCAGTAGAGCAGCTGCAAGGCCTCAGTCGAACTTGCCATTACCCGACTCAAAGCGCATGCAGCGTATCTCACTTTCGACATGGCAATCTGCTCATGCCCAGATTACGCAGTGAGGGAAGGATCGATATGGGTAACATCCGATGTTCTTCGACGAACATTCTGCTCCTTGTCAACTCTCAAACGCTTCCTAATACCACCTCATTATCCCAAAGCTACCTACCAGACGCCTTAGATTTACTCATCATTATTCTGTTGAGCCTTCCAACCAACACGACTCATAGGATACTACTCAAAGAGAGAAGATGTTTAGCATCGCAATCCTTTCGCTCGCCACTCTTTTCTCTCAGCATGCCTCCGGTGCACCATACCCGCAACCAAATTCAACGTTCCTAGAAAACCATACAATTTGTAACTCGACCGCTCATCTTTGTGAAGGCGATCTCACTGCTGCAAACCCTCCTCCCACCAACTCGACCGAGTATGTATGCCACGAAGTATACCCAGCCGATCTCACTGTCCTCAACGCGCGCTATCCCGACTACGATATCGACCACCTACATCAAGCCAAGCAATTCTTCATGCTACGCCGCCAACTCAAGGATGCTGGTGAGATCGCTACGCGAGTACAGTTTGAAGGCCTACCCGACAGCACATCGAATTACACATGCCGCCTAGAATTCGTGCTCCCACGCCTCGAGCTCCAAAAGATCTCCGGCCCAAACCCAAGCTTCAACATATACCAAGTCGCACGAGAAGCTGGCGCGATCGCTACATGGAACACGTATGAGGAAGAGAAGGATGCTTTGTTATTCGGTACGGTCAATGGTCAGAGCCAAGCGCTAGAGAGAACAAGGAGTGTCGGCGGCGTCGCCGCTATCAATGCGACAGCATGTAATCAGACATTGTCATTCCAGATGGCCATGATGTATGACAGTCCGTCTGCACCGAACTACTGGGAATTCTCGAATGTTGGACCCCCTGCGTTCCCGGTGCAGGGCTTCAGAATCGTATACGGATGTTGAGTGACACGGATTGTTTGTGGATGTAGCGACGAGGTAGCACTAGCTATCCACTGAATCAACGTTCATGTCATTGGTGCTTTGATGCAACAGTTCCGTTCTTATGGACGTTGTTGTGGCTACTATGTGATCAATTGTGTCCACCTGTCTCTTACCATACCACACATTGTGCATCACATGTCAGTCTCACAAGGTTCTGAGCAATCTTGCATACTGGGCATACACAATATCAAATGGCAAATAATTGACGAGGAGAAGCAAACGAATGGTGGAAGAAAAGAAGATGCCCAGCTCTTTCTTCTCTGGAAGAATCTAACGGTGCAGGCACAGTTGGAAACATACGGGCTTGTGCGTATTTCGTATCATCGCGTCTTGCCATCTTCAAAAAAGCGATTGCTGTGAATGACGTCATTACGGAGTGACGATTACCCGCGTTTAGCCTCGCAAGGTCTACCCATCTAAGCCTTCGCGACCGCGTGTAAATCCTTCTCATGCGCATCGCCCACTACTAAGATGACCTTGGAATCGTTGAAGACCAGTATAGACAAGTGTGTTTATACGATGCTTGGGGCTATTCGTATCCAATGGCATCAGCCTCTCTTTGACAATATAGGTGGCACTGGTGTCGTGCTTGCTCGGGACGAAACCTCGTGTGCAGCCTGCCTTGTCTCGTTCAAACCATGACCACACAAAGTCCACCAGAGAATGACCAGTTCGTTCTAGAGACCGTCGCGCAGCATTCCATGCTTCAGCAAGCACACGCTGCCGCCGCCGCTGCAAGCCAGACTGAAACTGCAGGACCAACGAGACAAGGGGTCCTTTTACAGCAGGCCGACCTTCTCACTGCCGATGTGAGCGATGATGAAATTCCACCCCCTCCGTACGGCGACATCTATGGCGAAATCCGAAACGAAAAAGACGGTTTAGGCACTAGCGCATCTGTGACTGACGACGGTCGTGTCAATATCCGCATCAATCAGCTCAACCGTCGTTTATCCCAGGTCTTTACTCCTGCTTTACGTGACCATCTCAAAAGTGTCCAAGACAGCAGTCCGCCTCCTCCCACATACATACCGCCCTCATTAGGAGGCGAGGAAGGGGCTCCTCCACCCCCGCCCCTGAACGTTGTTATTCAGGTCGTCGGCTCGCGCGGAGACGTGCAACCCTTCGTTGCGCTGGGAAAGGTCTTGAAAGAGATCTACGGCCATCGTGTACGTTTAGCGACTCACCCAAATTTCAAGGAGTTTGTCGAAGAGAATGGCCTGGAGTTCTTCAGCATTGGCGGAGATCCTTCCCAGCTAATGGCATTTATGGTCAAAAATCCCGGATTGATGCCGGGCTTCCGTAGTCTAGCAAGCGGAGATGTTGGTCGGCGAAGAAGAGATGTTGCCGAATACATTCAAGGCTGCTGGCGATCGTGTTACGAAACAGGTGACGGCATCACCAACGACAACGCTTCAGATCAATCTGTGAACGACCCTGGTCCCGAAGCCACAGCAAGGTCTTTCCCCTTTGTTGCAGATTGTATCATCGCGAATCCGCCGAGCTTTGCACATGTTCATTGCGCAGAGAAATTGGGGATACCGCTTCACATTATGTTCACTATGCCATACTCTCCCACCCAGGCGTTCCCTCATCCTTTGGCCAACATCCAGTCTTCCAATGCCGATACTCAGCTTACGAATTACATAAGTTATGTCATGATTGAAGCCCTCACATGGCAGGGCTTGGGCGACATCATTAACCGATTCCGAGCCAAATGTCTCGGTCTAGATCCCATAAGTATGATCTGGGCTCCTGGAATGCTCCAACGTCTCAAAATCCCTCACACGTACTGCTGGTCTCCAGCACTGATTTCGAAACCAAAAGATTGGGGTCCGCACATTTCCATCTCGGGATTCTATTTCCTCAATCTAGCCTCCGGCTACACCCCTGCTTCTGACTTCCAGGCGTTTCTTGACGCTGGACCACCTCCTGTCTACATAGGATTTGGAAGCATCGTTCTGGATGATCCAAACGCCATGACAGAACTCATTTTTGAAGCTGCGAAGAAGATTGCAGGTGGTCAGCGCGTCCTACTTTCCAAAGGGTGGGGAGGTATGGGTGCAGACGAGCTTCATGTACCTGAAAATGTCTTCATGTTAGGTAATGTGCCGCATGATTGGCTTTTCAAACGAGTGTCTTGTGTAGTTCACCATGGTGGCGCAGGGACCACAGCGGCAGGTAAGTTGTAGCTGTACAACATGCATGTGAGACATTCACTGACTTCGTATCTCCGCATCTGCAGGTATTGCAGCCGGCAAGTCAATCATCTACGTTCAACATGTCAAATAAATATTGACTTAATGTAGGTCGGCCAACACTGGTCATTCCTTTCTTTGGCGACCAACCTTTCTGGGGCGCTATGATTGCACGAGCTGGTGCTGGCCCTGATCCGATCCCATACAAGCAACTCACGTCAGACAACCTAGCAGACGCTATCAATTTCTGCTTGAAGGCCGAAAGCCTAAGCCGCGCTGAAGAGCTGGCAAGCAAGATTGCAGCGGAGCGAGGGAGCGATATGGGTGCTCAATCATTCCATCAGTATCTCGAAGCTGACCGACTGCGCTGCACTCTTGAACCATCCCGGGTAGCTTCGTGGCGCCTGAAACGCACGCAGATCAAGCTGAGCGCTTTTGCTGCCTGCACTTTAGCAAACGCAAATCTCTTGGACTTTCACGACTTGAAACTCTTTAGACCACAGGAGTACTGCACAGATGAAGGGCCCTGGGATCCCGTATCTGGGTTCTTCACAGCGACTTGTAGGGCGTTTGGCAGCATGTCTATGGGAGTAGCTGATCTCCCTTCGGAGACGTTTAAAGCTGTACAAGCTCCTTTCAAGTATAATAGATCACAATCTCAGGTATCAGTACAGATTGTCGCAAAGAGAAGTGAGACATCGCTTTTAGGGGAGAGTTCGGCTGCTCCAGCTATGCAGCAACCTCTTACTCGCGCTCAGACTGTTCCCAACCTCCCTAGTACAGCACCTCGTACTCCAAGTATAGGATCAAGCTCCATGTCGGTTCGCAAAGATCGCGATATGATGCGCTCTACTGGTCTGCGTACAAGTAGAGGTTTTGGGCGCATTGTCAAGGAGGGCATACAATCGCCTATGAATATGTCGGTGGGTATCACTAGGGGCTTTCACAATGCTCCCAAGCTCTGGGGCGACGACACTGTACGCCCTCAAGAAAAGGTCAGCGATCTCAAGTCAGGCATGAAAGCGGTAGGAAGAGAGTTTGGGTTTGGCTGGTATGACGGCGTTACTGGTCTAGTTACCCAACCCTGGAAAGGTGCTCAAAAGGAAGGTACCAGCGGCTTTTTCAAGGGAATCGGCAAAGGCATTGGAGGGTTCATTACCAAACCAGGTGCTGCCCTCTTTGGCATCCCTAGTCATATGATGAAGGGAGTGCATAAGGAAGTACAAAAGCTATTTGGTAACAACGTGCAAACCCACATTGTCACATCTAGGACAGCTCAAGGATATCAAGAATGGTTACAGAGCTCCGATGCAGAAAAAGAAGACGTTATCAACCGCTGGAAGATGATCCAGACATACTTGAAGAAAAAGCATAGCGCGGACGAGATGGTACAAGACATATTGGATGCACAGCGGAAAGGAAAGACGGATGATGGTGAGACCTACCGGGATCTTGTAGCTGCTACAAGTTCAGCTCAATCCACAGATAGTCTTGTCCAAACTGCCGAAAACGATACGCTTACCACAAGAAACTTGCAGTACCCGTTACATACCACTGCTAGCAACGAATCGCTAGGAGCGGTTGATATCAGTGGCACTGTCCGCCGATCCTTCCAAGAAACGTCACGTGGAAATCCGGAAGATCGTTTCAGTATGAATGCGACGCAAGACAACATATCTCCACTTGAATCCCAACCACAAGGAGATTTGGATCATGAAGCAGATCAGGATTTACTCAAGGCAATGGCGTCTAGCGAAGCTGAAGCCCAACGACACGCAAGAGAAGCTTGGGAATATGAGGAACAGCTGAAGCAGATTATGGCCCAGAGTTTGAAAGAGTATGGACGGATTGGTAGCGAAAGTAATCAGGAGGAACTCAACAATGAGCAGACAAGAGGGATGACACAACAAACAGCAAGGAAGGCGGTACCTATAACTAATGGATCATCGAGTGCCCAACCACCTTCATATGACCACGGCCACCTTGCGGGTACTACGCAGGACGAGTTTCAGGCACAACACCTGGGGGAGAAAACAGCGCAAGAGAAAACGGAAGAAGAGATTGTAATGGAGTACGTTAAGAAGCAGAGTCTTTTGGAAGCTCATCATCAAAACAAAGGCAAGAGCCGGGCTACAGCAACAGAGGACGATGAGGAAGAGTTGCAAAAAGCTTTGAGCTTGAGCATTCAAGAACGTTAATGATACGCGAAGTGTGGTTGGGAGTAACCTTCAGCCATGCTGTCAGTCCTGTTCACTTTGTATGATGAGCTCAAGTTTATAGAGTGTGATGCGAATACATTGCTCTTGGTCTTCATATCTTTCGTATATTATATACAATACTGATACATGCCCCTTTTCCTACATTCTATTCGTGGACTACGCCTTTGCAGTCTCAGTCGCCATCATACGGCTTGGCGCTTTGACAACGTTAGCTTCGTCTCCTGGGCTGCCTTTGAAAGTCCATGTCCCGTTTGCCACTTCATCGTCTGTAGCGTTATCCAGCCTCTTCAGCTCTTTCCTCATGTATCCTACAATTTGCGCTAGCTTCTCGAAGTCGACATCTTCCTTTGCGCCAAGCAGATTTCGCCAGACAGCCGCGGCAAGCATGGCGTCACCCTTCATCAAGCCCTCGTCGTACGACAGGAGCACGGCACGCCATTGTGAGAACATGTCCTTTAGGTGCTTCTGACGCAGCGAATTGGCGTTGAACTTGTGCCATATCACGAGACGGTCCTCGGCGGCGTAGAAGGCCTGGTTAGTGAGGTGCTGGATCCACACGGGCGCATGCGACTGGGGGAACATGCGGAAGCGGACTTGCAACATGTACATGTGGATGAAGGTGATTTGGGCCCAATTTGAGAAAGTTGGCTTAAGTCCGAGGGCTGTGCAAGTTGTTAGCGAATGCCTGCCTGTCGTCATGTCCAGCACCTACTGTCGTACCACCAGCCCTCGCCCTCGCCCAGGTGCACACCATTCTCGTCGACTGGTATCTCACCGCGCTTCAACAGCGCCTGGGGTATTTTGTATTCACCCGGCTTCGTGCATTCCTTGATGAGGTCTCGTGTTGCGCCATATGCGACGTAGGTTTCGGTCATCAACGGTGCCTTTTCGCGCAGCCTCTGAGCGAGTCCAGTCACACCGGACGCAACAGCGGGGTGCGGCTTCTTGATTGCCTCGGGCCTGACGTCGGCCGAAAGATGTTGCGACGCATAGTATGAGGTAGGCGGAGTGGTAGAAATTGTTCGTCGCGCTTGGCGGAGAGATGCTCCATGGGTCCGCTACGACAATTAATATCCGCTTTGGTCATGGGTGGTGGCTATGTACCTGTAGCAGCGAAGACGAAGACCTCAATAGGGCCTTGGAGCAGGCTGTGCATGTGTAGGTGGACGACATTGCTGGCGATGTTTGTTGGAGCTGGCGTCCCTGGTAGACAATCAAAAAGTCGCGAGTCGCGCCCTCCATCGATGACGGCACGACCCCGGCCACCAACACCACCAATGAGCATCACCACAAACCGCCTCACCGGCGGGGGAAACCACCAACAACGCCAGGACGAGCTCATGTTCGGAAATTTGAATGACATGTTTTCCCGCATCCTTCACAAATCATTGTGGCGGAGCTACCAGCCTTGATCCAAACGTCTTTAGGCCTTCAGGGCGTCCAGTATCATCAACCCCGTATACCAAGCTGGAACTTCGGCTACTGCATGTGACCCCAGAAGCTTGGTATGGCTAGTTCCGAGGAGCAGGGGCGGCAGCGAAGCGACATCGCCGTCGATGCATGACCCCTTTCGCAGCCTTATATACACTCGTGCAATGCAAGCCTTTCTTCCAGATTGATCATCTCCAGGCTCCCATTACCGAGTTCAACGTCACCTGATCATGGCATTGTCGGCCTCTGCGACTGGCTCTCGAGCTAATCGCCGGGACAACTCCGTGTACATCGATGTGCTCAATCCGCCAGTCTTCTACACAAGTCGAGATCGTATCCAAGGCAGACTACTCGTGGAGCCTGCGTCGCGACCTCATCGCATAAGCATAAGCTTAAAGGGCTTCTCTGTACTTGTGGATGACAACGCCAGGAGTTTCCGAGTCGACCTTTGCGAAAGTTCCCAATACCTCTACACATCCACGGGCGATGACTTCCAGCGTCTCACCAGAAACACGGCAGACCCCACCAAAGTCGAATTGCCTTTTTCCTTCGACGTTCCGCAGCATGCGACTCTACATCCACCAGCCGAGAGACTCTGGGTGCATCCAACGGATTCTTACAACCACCCGCGATTTCAGCATTCCCCAGGATTCCCACTGCCACCAAGTCTTAGCGGCCCCACCCCCACAAGTCCACAAGTCTTGTACCACTTGGAAGCTTACATGGAGTCCGATGTACCGAAAAGAGAGCCTTTGAAGATTCGACAGGAAATCAAGTACATGCCGCCAGCCCCAGACTTTCATCCAGCGCTCCTCCAGCCAGATCTAAACTTTGGGAACAAACTGCCCAAGCACTGTAGCCGCCAAAAGTTGATCCGTTCACGCAAATTGTACCCCGATTACAGCGAAAAACACAGCAAACTCGGAAGATTCAAGGACAAACTTGTCGATAATGAAATGCTCTTCGGTCTTCAAAGCTTTGCGGAGATACCCTACGCCCAATTCAATCTATTCGCCACTCCTGCTAGCGTTCTGGTCACTGGTTCTATGGTTCCAGTCATAGTAACAGTGCAGCATCTGAAACGTTCAGAATCACTTCCCTACCCTCCCGATCTATTTCTCAAGCGCTTAAAAGTTCAGCTGAACGCGATGACGAACATATTCGTGCCTGGTGAACAGTTCGGACGACATGCCACCAGGGCGGTCAATACCTCAGACAAGAAGAGCATCGTCCTCTGCGACGAGAAGTTCGAGAAAGAACACGAACTTCCGCTATACGATGGACTCAATCTTCTGGACGTAGCAAATATCGAAATTCCAAAAGAGAGTACCCCAAGCTTCACCAGCTATGGCATAAACTTAGAATACGAGCTGCAGATTGAAATTTCAGGAAGATGTGCAGATCGTGAGTGGACAGGCATCGCTTGCACCCAGCCTGTACAAGTCGTCACAAGCTGGAAGAAGACGCCTAACCAAGCCATCGGCCCTTTTGAAGCAGGTCCTGAGCCAGAGTACCAGGAGCTAGATCCCATGGCGCAACGTTGCGAGGTAGATACAACCCGGCTACCAACGGAATTAGGGGTACATGCTCCAGCATACGAGCTTGACTCAAGACACATGGCGCCACGTATGGCAGACACCGTACCACCACCAGAATACACTCTATCGCACTGAGCTTCATTACCTCAGCCTTCATATCAGAAGTTGCACAGCCAGTCTCAGCCCTTTGTTGTTTCGCTATTGAAGAACAAAGGTCTGCCATCCTTCCATCGAGCATGCCCGGGCTGCAGTTATGTGTGTGACTAGAGACATTGCAAACCGCTACACTGACGTCCTGGAACTCCCTTCGGTGCGCGAGAAAACGTTACAGGCTGTTCGCCTTGTAGGCGTACACCCAACATCACAATCGCGATCATAGTCACAACATGTTCCATGACGCCTACCGTGCGAGATCAGCTTTCTCGGCCTTGTCCTGTGGGGTATCAAGTTTTTCTAGGTACTTGGTTCAGTTAATCAAAGACCAGCATATGTCCTTGAGTTCTTCTACACACATCGAGACTCTCATAGAACTCAACAGCTTGAACACATCTCGAGGTCTCGACTATATCAGAAAACAATAGGAGGCAAAGATTGCGTTTATGCGTTCTTCGAAGGCCATCAGTGATGAAAGAAAGCAATTCTATATGAGCATGTCAAGGTGCCGAATTGGAAGCAGAGATAGACCTCAACACGTGTGATAAAGTGACTGCAGGAGGTTGACCGCTTTATGTTCTGAACGCGGCAACGGTCGATTGTGTAGTGAGAACAGGGCGATTTTCATTTCGAACGTGTAGTTTGCAAGTGTTTTTTTTTTGAATTTGACATATATGCTATGTGCTACAAGCAAGTGTGCGATATATATTTGATCAGTGTATGGCTTTGGTAACCTCACTTCTCCCCTCTCGCCTTGTTTCTCTCCCTACGCCTCTCCCTCTCTGCCTTCCTGGCCTGGTTCAGGCTAGGTGTAAGACCCTCCTCGTCAATCTTAGCCTTTTCTAGACTTTTCTCATCGATCTCGTCCAACAGGAAGCGTCCCATCATGCCGTTCCTCCATTTCTGTATCATCCACAGCGATGTCGCTTCTGTGTCAATGACACCACCCTTACCCAGCCTACCAGTCTTCTTTGCGATTTCAGACAGAAGCTCCATGATATCGTTGGTAGGCGGTGCGTATTCAGAATAGAGCGTGGGCGATTGGAGGTTGAGGTGGTAGAGGAGGTAATCTGCAAGCATGACTGGCGCAATGATTGTATCTTTCACGGAGCCGCAAAGTGCCAACTTCATCATAGCTTCCGCGTTGGGAACGTATGGGATGAAGACACCGGGTGTATCAAGAAGATATACACCTCCTCCAACACCCTGAAGCTTCTTCTTCGCCCCACCGTCCGCTGCTTCCATGTCGTCTTCGCTCGGTATGATCTTCACACCGCTGCTACTGACTTTACGCGTTACGCCGGGTTGAGCGCCGGTAGCTGCAACCTTGCCTTTGCCGATTCCTTGCGCGCGCAATGCATTGAGCAGCGTGGACTTGCCCACGTTGGGCATCCCCACTACCATGACGCGGTGTCCGACCAATTTCCACCTCTTCTGCGCATGCTCCCTCAGAGTATCCAAAAGCTTGATGACACTCTTCCGACCACTGGTCTCGCCCTCTGCATCTTTGCCGTTCCTCACAAACATGGTCGTTGTAGGATGATGCCATTTCGCGATGACATCCTCATTTCGATTGTCTCGTGACCCACCACCCAGATCTCTCTTCGTATAGACTACCACTCGTTCTTTTCCTTCGAGTGCATCTTCGAACAAGGGGTTGCGCGAGGTTAGCGGCACACGGTAGTCGCGGCATTCGATTACGAGGTCGATCGAGGACAGAAGCGATTTCATCTTCTGCAGGCCGGATTTGTGGTGGCCCAGGAAGTAGGACCTGGGCAGTGACGGGATTTGCGGGAAGGCATGGCGGGGGATGAATGACATCGGTTACATTGGCGTTGATGGAGAGGTAGATATGGTTGAAGTGAAGAATGGAATTATTCCCATTGCGAGTCAAGCGACGACCGCACCTTGGCGAGCATGACTAGCGCGATTACAGTCTCCAGTTTTAACGCTTGCGCACGACTCTTTCAACACCGTTGCCCTTTCATCTTAGTATCTCGCGTCCAATTCCATCTCACCTAGATAATTTCCGGTAACTGAAACCATCGCCTTACTCTCCTATTCTGGATGAAGCCGAGGTTGCTGCAGACTGCCGTGCGTCCTAGGTCTCGACAGCGCCAGCATCGTAGCCAGGAGCATTCACATAACACATGGGCCACAAACGAAGCCAACTGGACCAAACATCCTTTCCAAGTGAATCACGGGATAAGCTCATTGGGTCCTTAACCATGGTAGCGTGGTACGTGTATGCAGTCAGCGTCGCTTCGCTCTCCGCGGAATACCCGCGGAATCTTGGCATGTCCCTCAAGACAAGTTTCCTAAGGGCCTAAGTGATTCGTAACTATCTACTGAAAAATTCTGCCAATATATCAATTTCTGCAGTTCTGTCGTGGTTCTCTATCGATCGTATCCATCTACCGGGTTACTATGCCCGCTTCTGGCAAACGAGAGCGATCCAGTCGCAAGGGACAATACTCATGTAACTTCTGCCGTTCACGCAAGCTTCGTTGCGATCGGCCACTGCCATGTACGAGTTGCAGGTCCAGAGGAAAGGTATGCACGTTCGATCCTACTCCCGCGGCACTCAACACCCAAGACCCTCATACACCAGCTTCAGTCGCGGTTACGCCCAAATATCAACCATTAGAGCGGACTGTGAAGACGACTTCACCTGTATCAGAGGGGTCTGAACTTCTTCGTGAGATACGTGTGCTTCAAACTCGTGTGAACGGGTTAGAGAGGAACACTGTCCCCGTCCAGCATTTAGGCCTCAGTGACAGCGAGACCTTCTTGTCACAGTCCAGTCTGAACCTTGCGGAAGAATACTCCAAAATCACCGGGCAGTCCGAGATCTACAGGGTAAAAAACATCGTCGGCCATCTCGAGTCTGTCTCGATGGGGCAAAGCTCTCTCGAATCTTTCTTTACAGATGAGTTGGACTTCAAAATTGGAAAGCTTCGATCGATACCACAAGCACCCGCTTTCACAATACAAAATGGAAGGCTAGTGCCGTGTATATGGCTGCCACTACGGGAAGAGATCATGAAGCTGCTCGATTACTACGTCACAGAGCTCAACTACATTCAGCACGTCACGCATTATCCCTCACTAGCAGCTACATTTAACGAAGTGTACGACCAGATCGAAAGTTGTGAACTTGTTCAGTCTGGCAAGGTTGTTCTTCTGCTTGGTATCATCGCTCATACGACGCATGTTTGGACCGCGCCGAAGAACTTGGAAAGCGAGCTCCCCTTGTTTCTATCTTCGTCGCAAGCCCGTTCTCAAACATCCGTTTGGATCAAAGCCACATATACAGCACTGAATGCTAGCCAAGAAGGCAGTGCATTAGTGTTAGAGACCGTACAAGGAATTGTCATCTTGTCATACGTTATCTGCAATATGGAGGGTGTTTCATTACGATATCGGTGCTTGATATCGACCGGTTTGTTACTTGGCCGTGAACTGGGTCTCCATCGAACCGACCATGAATCCAACATTACTACGGCAGGAACGCTTAAAGCTGAGATTGGTCGTCGTGTTTGGTGGTATCTGACTTCCACAGATTGGTATGTCTATATGAACATCGTCGAACATTGGGCGTTTACAGAATGCTAACAAAGTCCTCCAGGCTACTTGCAGCAAGATACGGTGGATCTGGCGAAAACGTATACCAGTCTAACCCGCTGCATATGAACGTGAACAAGCCGCTGAACATCAACGACGTTGACTTGTCTACCGACGGGCCCCAGCAATCCCGACCATTATCACAACAGACAGATATGTCGTACTTCCTTCAGCGCATCCGTCTATCAGAAATCTCACGTAACATTGTCGATCAAATCAACTCCGACCCATCTAATCGCCGCGCTAACATTATGGCAATGGATCGCCAGCTCGTCGGAATGCTGAACGAAGTTCCTACATTTTTGCTGCTGAACAGTTACCAGGACACCATCGGCTGTACAAACTCGAACCACTCGTTCGTCCAAGCCTATTTCCTCAACACTCTTCTCCACACCCAACGCTGCAAACTTCATCTAGCAACTCTCACGCGCACGTCCACCATGGATCCAACATACACGTCCTCTCATGCCGCATGTCTCCAATCAGCGCGCCAGTTACTTCATATCGAGACAGCACTTCTACGTTCTCAAAACCCCTTCGCGCGCCGCCCCCAGCGACCTCCAGCCGGTCTGTACAGTATCTTCGTTGCCACTATCACTCTACTTATGGATGTTTGTCTCAACAAGCCAAGTGAAATACCAGCCGTGCTTCAAGCAGGTGACCTAGTGGAAGGCCTACAGATGATAGCAGATGCAAGGGAAGATTCACTGGCAGCGGCGAAACTATACGAGTCACTCATGCAGATCCTAGGGAGATATGCAGAGAAACAACACCCAGAAGAGCACAGCTTGAGTGCGCCAGACATTCACGCTACTGCAGGGACTTTCTCGGGTTCACCGTCGGATGTTTTGCGAGAACAGCAGTCGTATTCCTCGCAGATAAACGACGCAATACATCTCGACCTGGTTGAATGGGATGATCTGTTTGCTAGCGTTTCTTCATCCCCGTTCTTCTGAGTTGGAACAGAGAACATGACGCCAAAAGGAGCTGCAAAGAGTGAGCATTTTTACCATTTCAAGCCCTGCAATTCTGTTCTGGATCTGATGTCGTATTCTACAGTACGTTGAGACAGATGCTTTCTGAGACAATGTCTAGGGCTTCCCCCGAATAGGCGGCATAGGCGATACGGGCATCAGCCCTACCCTGGGCTTTACCCTGTCACAGCGATTCACAAAGGATCTGGAGAGACTAGCCTAACGGGAGATATAATCTTATATGCCATACGCAACTGAACCAAGTTCGCCACAAATACATTTGTGGCGACCTCTTAGTATTGTGTATAGTTCTGACAGAATGAGCTTTTTCACGCTATGACTGGCCACGTATTTGCCCACAGAAGTCGAATATTGCGACAGGGT